GTAATAACCATTTCTACGATGACGATGTGTGTAAACTCGTTATAGGTACGCCCAAATATTCGAATATCTTTAGATTTTACGACTTGTCCATTCCGCATAGCGTTAGGGCCGAAGAATTCCTCACGGTTTTTTGTTTTGCATACGGAATTTGTTTGCATGCCCGGTCCTTGTACGATTTATGCAAGGACATCAGGCATGTTCTGTAACAGATAGGCGAATACCTTCAATAGCTTAAGAGAAAGTAATATAATATATACAATCATATAATAAATAAAAAACAACAGACGCGCCCGCCTTTTTTTACGTACAACTAACTGACCCTCGCCCATAACTAAATACTATTTTTTCATTGCTACTTTACTGTCTACATCTGTTAAATGTTCCGTTCATCAAATCATCAAAAGCATTACAGATGACTAATTGCAACAATGGAGTAGATGAGTCGGCTCTTCAAGGCCAAAAAATAATAGTTTTCCCAAAATTTCTAAATCGGCAGTAGGATAAGAACAACTCTCTAGCCGTTAGAGTGAATGAAAGATCCCGCAGCAATGAACATCAATCACACTCGGTAAGCTTTTCAGCCATAATGAAAGTGGGTTGGATACATAGTTAACGATTGAGATATCTTACCTTTTTCGCAATACAATGTCAGCTCACCAGCACCTCGTACAAATAGCATCCTAATCAATTTCTTTTTGTCCTGACAAACCTGACAAATTGTCGTTTGACGCAACGGACAAAAGCAGTCTGTCAAAGGCTGGTCGCATTGCTTATCTAGTTGCTGCCTTGTCTAAAACGATCAGGTAATGCCAAGCGGGTATTGTTACCTTTATGACAATGCAACGGTGACACGTTTGCCCACGAAAATTCGGAGCACGTAAGGTGGTTCCAGGCCATGCATTGCAGAGCTCAGTCTCGTGCCCCGTCTGAAAAAAGAAAATATAACTAATAAGGCATTGTCGGATACAAAAACATCTACTTGATCTGACTCACGGCCATCCCGTTCAGCCGAAGACTGAAGGCCGGGGTCACCCGATTTTTTATAACTGGTTCGTGCCACCTATCCCCGCTGTACTCTTTGAGCTCGAACCGATCGTCTAAATTCGCAGATAAATATAATATTAATTAACAGCACTGCTAATCGCTATCAAAGCAACACGTTCCTGATTTTCACCTACTGTCTAAGTTAAACGAAATCTAAATGACTCTCAAAGACGAACTAATAACAGCTCTTTTCTTAAACTTCATATGAAAGTAACATGAACTAGCCAAACTTCAATATTAGAAACTGGAACCAAGGTTTTATGTGAGTGGAAAGCCGTCAGGGCTTCTTGCCTTCGCGGATATTGAAGTTTTGTTTGCACTTCGAAAGCCTATATTTGATCGATATATAGCCACAATAAAGCCACGAAAGAAGTTTATATATACTCTTTCCCTATATAAAGTACGTCAATATCGCTACTAACAAGAAATACACTATACACACTGTCACTCATAACCGGAGTAGAGGATCACTACAGCTTAATTTTATATCACAGTCAGTGGCGAATTCATTACTATCCTCTGAGTTATGGAGGATAGCTTTCAGATCACGAAAAGTTTACGGAAGAATTAGGCGGGGCTTTGTAGCAAAGCTTGTCTTCCAATGATAAAGCGCGATACAATTCGTTTACATAGTCTGTATCTTCCTGTTCGTATACGTACTACTGCTGTGATATTTTATCTTAGAAAACACGATAACGTTAATTGTCCACAGGGCAATTGGACTTATCGCCTTGGCCTTTGGGATTTTGTGCGACTCAATCTTTAAGGCAGTCCATGGTACTCCTTAGTAACACCATTCTCGAACAGACTTCGCGTAGTATCTTTTCAACAGCAATCAGTTCTGCTTCCACAGCTAACGTTTTGCATTGTAGATCGGGTATATATTGAGGATCATTAGACCTTTCTTCCGACGACATCGTGCCTCACTATACATTTCGCTATTTATTATAATTTATACATATTTTATGTAATTGAAGGCAAATGATTGCTGTTATTCACGCTCGACTCGGTGTTGTACAGCGGTTCAAACGGGGGTTTTTTTTCTTTCTAAATAAGTAACACTTATTCGCGCTGAGAATTGAGGATTCCCCGCTTGAGGATTGTTATCTTAGAATTAGAAAAACGCAGAGGAAGGCTATTTGTTTTCCGCGAAAACGACCTCGGTTTTTAGCCTGCGAGCTCACTTCCATACCGTGGCAAAACCATACAGCCTGACCTTGAAATGATAACTATGCAGATTTTCATTCTCTGCTTCCTTTTACCACCTTATGCGGTACATTAATATGCTGCAATTGTTTGTTTCGTTTAAATAGCTCTTGTATGCAACATAACCGTGTGCGTATGTACGCATTTACGCCTTACCGATAAAGTAAAATAGAAAAAAGGTTGTCCTAGTGAGCCTAACATGAATTTAATCACCATAAAGCCATTATATATATTCAGCAATATACTATTTAAATCGAATCCTTTGTCGTTGATATCGGCAGCCAAATAAATAGTTAAACAGTAGGTGATTACGCATGTCTCAGTTGTACCGTGTCTGACTCTGTTCGCAGAACAAGAACAAAGAGGCCTTTAAGCTTGACGAGTTACTCTTCAACGATAAGAGCTGAAATATATTTATAACAAAGGTCGATGTTCGTTCTTCCTGATGTTTCAGGTTTTCCAAACCTAAGCCCGAAGGCTAAGTTTGGAAAACTAAAAATCCCACATCGCTTCTAATTATAGCGAGTCATAGGCGAATCGAATTCTTTAATTTGGATTAAATTTAATTGAAATATAGTAGTAATCGTATATAAACTATGCTAGCAACTCTTATTATTATGATCACAAGAAATATGTTATGAGTACAGCAACATATTAGAGTTGTTAGGTAGCGCTCCATAGGTTTTTTTTCTGATATCTTGTATTGACAGCAAACAAGTGTTTAAGTGACTTTTTTTTCAACTCGAGCATCTTCACCAATAACAGTTTAGCATTTTTCTTTATATATAATCATGTTAGCAACATGCCATTTTCGCCCTCTGCCGGATAATAAATACAACAACAATGTGAATTTGCTCATCCTATAATATGCTCTTTTTAAATACTCGTTCCAGTATGCGTCACTTTTTGCCAAGTGATTACTAAGCTCGACGTTTGCCACATGCCAAACTTACCTCGAAAGTCTTCATTCCTCAAGCATTTTGTTTCAAAACCTAACTCGTATCTGGATCGCCTACCTTTACGTCTGACCCCTTGGAATGATAATTATAGATTCGTTAAAATTAGTCAAGTTTGGCCACCCCTGTTTCTCAGGGGATTTGTGACAGCTATATTTTTCCCTTGAGATTACTGCTTCTTTAGCTCAAAATAACAGTTGCACTCATGGTCACTGGTTCGAAGCGATTGTGCACGGACCGGTACTTACCTCAAAATCACATCGTTTGCTCGCAGGGCGCCCATAGAATAATTACCAATATTTTGACCTCTGTCCAAATACAACAAGGAGGCACAGATTTCAATGAAGTGAAAATCTTGCCGTGAACATTTCCTGGGTAGTTCTTCGATGTGAAGTCATATATCCTGAGGTGCTCAGGCAGCTTCTTAATCTCAGCAAAAGACGAATTGGAGAAGGGACTAAGAACAAAATTTTTATTAGAATCGTCCGAGCCAAACTCATGGTGAAGTTCTGTCCATCGCACCGTCTTCTCGATTCAGACCATAAGTGTTCTTAGAACCAATCAATACAGAAGTGCCTAAAACGTAAGTCCTTCATCGCATTTTGTTTATTCACTCGCATGAAAAGTACCGGGAAGCTTGATTTCAGGACATGCTTTATCCGCATATATGAGACCTGTTGATAGAACCGGTCAAAACAATAGAAATCTCTCAGTGTTATTTCAGCTGACGTCAAGTTGGAACGTATGTATTAGCTTCCAGATCGTCCGACAAAAGTGAAAAATCCAATATCGTTAAACAACATATAATTAGCTATAATAACTAATTTTTAATGCGCCGCGGAGACAGACGCTAGGACAGCTTGAGCAAAGCACTCCCTCCTTCCCTTCCTCCGTCTCTTCCTCTGTCTAAAAACTCAGGACGTCTCAAGGTTTCTTACGAAATACACAGGATCTATCGAAAAAACAAATTAAGCATGCTGAGAGCATTTTTACGTCACGCTCGTCAACGTTACTATTATATAACCGTCGCAAACTATTTTTAATTAAAGAATTGCGATTTTATGTCAAATGACGACTCGTTCCGCATTTCAAGAACATGTGTCTCTACCGTTAGCGCGTTTACTTTCCACGTTATTAAATGATAATAATGATAGTGGATTATCAGTCGATTATTAAGGTATCTTCTGCCTACCTAACAACAATTGACAACTGCATGAACACACAAGAGCGACATTACTAACTGCTGTTGTTCAGAGCTTTTTCATAAACAGCAACGGTGGCATCTAGGTTTTTATCAGTGTAAATCCACAATCGTTAATAGAAGCTCCTACGCCTACCGATAGAAGCATGGTCATTTCATTACGTTGCGCCTACTTCAGGAATGAATCTGTTCATGAAATATACGCCCCTCCCTCTCCCAATAGTAACGGTGTAATTAACAAATCAGCCTATCGTTAGCAAATACGTAACACCTGGAGGACAACTTCAGCTCCCCTGGTAGAGGAAATGACTACTGTCACCTTCTGTCGACAAGAAGTTTACTGCACTCTTGCAGTAGATGCTGCCGTACCCCCATCTCACCTCCTTTCTTTCCTATGATACCTCCGCTGACACTAGGTCGCTTGTGCGCTGAGTTAGTTAGCTTTGTCTCTTTCCTACCCTTAGCTTTGGTGCGACACCGGGGGCGAGGGTCGACGTGACGACGTTTAGGGAGAAGGGTTTCTCAAATCGGCCGCGGCCCGTAGCACATGAGCATCCGTCTTTAAGCCCGCCTCGAGAAATGGTCGCACTATAGCAAGCTATTACCTATCGAGCCACTTGGGCACCTTATCTGCTTTGGCTGCTTCAACGGGCGACCTGCTACCCAGCAAACTTATCGTCGGCTGAGCTCGAGCGCGTCCCAACAACCTCGAACGGGCAAAGAGCTATTGTAATGTTGTATGGTGTTGTGCAGTATTGCGCCTTTTTGTGCGTATTGCTGCTATTTCGGTATGCCGTTCGAACGTACATAGTACGTCGCATGTTACTTGCTGTTCTTAACGGGTCAAAGTTCCTGACAGCAGTGGTGACTCCACCCCGGATTATTGTTATGTTCCCGGCCGTTCGTGTCAATTTTGTTCATACTGGGACCACTGGTTGGATGTCTTTGGCCGCGGTAGCTTAATTCGGCGTCGTCGGCTTCGCTATTGAATAGCCGTGATTTTGTGCACGGCGTCTACTTCAAATCGCCTTGTCTTTGTTCAAATGTGTGGCAAATCACTACCTCCACTTCGTGTGTGCCTTCACCGTACGTGAATGAGCAGATGTGTGCATATGGATCGCCGGTATCTTTTCTCGAACCTGTCGACTCGAATGGAGAACAATCCTAGCCATTGTTCGGTACGCTACTGGTGAGCAGAAGTGACGATAACAATTACAACAACAACAAAAAAAAGAAAAAGTGTCGGCGGCAGGTCAACTCACGAAAGAATAGCCCTAACTCAACCCACAACAAATATGCGGACCACTTCAGCGATAGCAGTCGCTCGACTACTGACGCTTTTGCTAAGCAGCGGAGCACTCGCACAGAAACGCTCCGTCAGCGAGTAAGTTGCGCGAACGAAGTTCTATCAGTAGTAGTATTCTGACTGCATAAATTATAAGGAGGGAGACCAAGGCATCTTTGGGCAGTAGAGGCTTCTAAGCGCCTTCGGCTGTGACACAGTGGAGGCTACTAGCACGAAATCAATAAACAACTGTTCTGCTGTAAGAGTCAAGAGTAATATTAATATATAAGAAAAATCACGAAAGTATTTAAGAATCGCGTGTTGGCCAAGAGGGAATAACAGAGGAACGAGCTTATGTAGTAGGTAACGATAAAGCAGGATTATTTGGATTGAAAGTTCATTAAATCGGCAACAAGCACCAAAAGTCTTTCATAGAAAATATTGCCTCCGCGATCAAATCTTTAGCATAGGCTAGACGCGCAGCGATGCGCTTCAACGTATATATATATATATATATATATATATATATATATATATATATATATATATAGATTCATAACTCTTAGAAAGAGGTCTTTGAAATAAACTGACGGATGGATATTCACATAGCAACGGTCTCTAAATTTGAAAACAGTAAGTACGCCAGCTGTGACCACCTGATGCGGAGAGCTCACAACGGTACCGAGGTACACTAATCGCTCTTACATTGTAGAGAACGCGGTGTACACAAACGATGTCTTCAAGCAAAATAGTTTCCCTTAATCGGATGCTGCGAAGATAAACGTATACGTCACGAAAGTAAATATCTCCGGATGCATCCCTCAATCAAGGTGTGATCGTCAATACGAGAGCCAATCGACCTTGCTTATGTGATCTTATAAGTCTGATCAGTCATCGTCCCTATAATGAACTGGAGAACAGAAAAAACCTGACATAGCCCGCTATTCGAGCGGGATAAAAACTCAGTGAGACGTATTCCGTAACTACTAATCACCCTAGACGCCAACTATTAGTCTGCGTATGTATTCCCGAACCACTATTTATGGACGACGTGATCACGCACATGCCAGAATATCGTGTCAATTTGCCCCGCTGCGTTGCCCCGCTGACTGTAGCCTTCGGCAAACGCTGCTTTACATACCTGACCGCTTTAATCTCTTTTCAACACAAGTATTATCTGCTGGTACTATCCGCTTTCTATTGCACTAACCACGCGTTTGCTGTATGATTATATGGGGCCACCGTAAGAGACCACTAGCAGACTCGACCATTTTCGAGCACGGTATGGAATGTCTCTCTATGCGAGCGCGCGCGCGCGCGCGCGCGCGTGTATGTCTGTTGGTTGCTGGCGCTCAGTCGCATCCTGTAACACAGGTTGCTAGGCCTAGTTTTCGAACCGGGGCTCCCCACAGCCACTAAGATTTCTACTCCTATATTTGCCACCGATACGATGAGGCACAACAGCAGTATTGGGTCTTAAACGACGTCCTTTACTGTGAGAGTGCAATAGTAGTCGGTAAGCAGCTTCTACTGCTGCCATCGCCACCGAGTTCTAATTTTATCCCTCACCAGCGCTGTTGTAGTCGGATATCGACTGGGGCCCGCTGGTGCCGTCACTAGCAGCAGAAACAACCGATCTGTGGCAGTGGCCGCCGCAAAAATCACCGGCGCTGCCAAGGTATAGACGTCCTTTGGTAGTAGCGTTATCGTACGTTGAATATGAGCGTTGCGTCTCCTTAAAAGTGAGAAAGCTCTCTTTGTGAGCCTGCGATTCTCTTTCACATGAATGAGGAGGCATAGGACTCACTAGTGATACTGTGTTAAAAAAGATTTGATTGAATGGTAAAGAAAACATTTTTTTCACTCGGCCACCTATGCGCTGAATATGCGGTGCAATTGGATGTTCCCGGCTAACATACTATACTTAATAGGCAAATTAGTAAATGAAGGGAAATGGAATATAATATTTTGGTGCACTGTGTCATCTGTTACCTAAATATTGTTGTGATCCATCTTGGATCTCCTAACAGCAATGATTGAAATATCTAGATGATTCCATTGTTTCATACGGAGTTTTCGCAGATTCACAAACAGCCCTTGTTATATTATCGATATTTAATATATACGCATACATGATGTTGTAAAGTATGTTGAAGAAAACAATGGTTTTATTGATGGAGCGCATTCTGTCCCCTCACATAGTGACCGGCTCGTTTATCAAAGTAAACATGAAACCAAAATCGCAGAGTTTATTGTGTCTTGTTAATAGATGCCATTTCTTCTGAAGTCAAAATATACCTTTTAAATTTTTTAAAGTTGTGGATCAGAAAGCAGTTATCAAAGCAAGGGCTAAAAAACAGTTGTCATCTAACAGTATGAAAGACAATATTTATTACTAAAAGCAAAAAATGGCCATCCTTAGTTCTCCAAACACGTGTACCGTTTACAGTATGAACTGTGCATAAATTCCTCGAGTTACTTATTGCCGAAGGACCCAACCCAAGCCTAATTCGCAATATACCTTTCTCGGTAATATTATAATTTATCAATATTTCTAGTATTAGTGGCTCCTAGGAATCATATCGACCTAGGTTCGTATCGACCAGATAGCTAAGAGGCTAATACCTGTCAGGAAGAGCTATGGTAACCCTTGCAATTTGCTAAAGTTTCATTGCATTGTCTCTCGGATCATGCCCTGCGATTGCGAGAAAGATCTTTTTTGCATGAGAATCCATGTCGTTTTTTTTTGCCACTTCTATTTTTTGTTTGCTAAACGGTACCATTTCCTACTGATGTTACTGGCTAAATTTAGCCTCTAACGTGTCTATACAAGCAAGATCAAATGTTCATTTGCAGATATTACCGTCGACCTCTTAAACGGTGAAGTAATACTAGGAAAGGTATTGCGTCCACAATGCAACAGAAAAAATTCCAAGTGAAATAAAGTCCCAGCTTCAAATCCTCGGAGCTTTACCAAAGCTTCACTTAGGTACATTCACTTTCGATAGCAATTTCTTGTCTACATATCAGTCCGTTCTTTTCTGTTGTCACAGACGCCAAGCGTCGCCACTTCAGTCGAATCAGTACTAAATACTTTCAGAAATAGTGCGTGCAACGACGAACTATCCATTTCACACTTCGATTAGAAAGCGACACTTCACCAAAGCTTCGTGAATATATTTCACGTCATCGATGGACCGGGCTTGTTCTATACACCTGATATACTATAATATTACATTAAGAGAATCGTATTAAGATATTGGTTTTTATCGTGCGTTAATTGTCAAGAACGTTCGCTGCATTTTTATGTCAGCCTTGAGTACCACTGCGTTTATAACAGATATCGTTTGAACTATTATATAAAACCAGAACACGTTACCAGCCAGCGTGATGCAAATTAAAATACATGTGTTCAAAAAATAACGTTCTCAAGTAATTGTTTTTCTAATAAAGGGAAGCTTGCTATCGCGGCACAGCTTGACAGGTAGCTAGTATATCTAGGAGTGCTTCGGGTATTCGAATGTCTGTCATATGTTTGCGATATTACTTAGTAGTTTTACTTTGGTAGCCATGTTCTTCCTGTTGTTCGTAAAATACCGGTTATATGCTCCGTCAGAATGACAACTTTCCCTGCTTTTTTCGCGTTATTTTTTCTAAATGAGAAAATCGGTGGTTTCTGTCAACAACGCATTGGGGTTCAAGATATCATTACCCACCGTACGGAATGGGAATGAGTTTGAGAAGTATCAGTATCTTTTTCTCCAGATTTATCCATGATCTAAGTGCCCTGAAGGAATCCTGTTTGTTTTGCGAATCGAACAAAGCTTCCACTATCGGAACGTTTAGAGGTGCGAACACGAATGTTATTATTTCTCACTTTGCCCTAAATCGGATTGAAAGATTATAAACCCGCATGATAGCCCTTACAGTCAACCAGACGACAAGATGCTATTCCGGAATGTAACTTGCGTAGTTCGCAGTTAAGGAAAGTTTAGCTTAAAAATAAGATGACTTGATTAGTTGCTGGAAAGGGTATTTATTTATGTCTAACGAAGGCCAACAATTCAATGGCATTGAATAGCATACACGATCTACTGAATAGGACGACTATCGTATAAATAAGGTTCTAATATGTACGTCGTTGACCGAAACTACTAATATACAATCAATGCTATGCATAGAGTATCGTTTTTGTTTTCGTACGTCATTAGCGAATTATGAACCCATTAGAAACATCCGCCAATGAAAATAGTGCCTACAACCTTGAGTTAGCTACGTGTTCCGGAGTTCCTGAACATGTCCAGTCTTTACTTGGTAAAAGTGGTAATAGAAATATAGTAGTTACGTTCGGAAAGATAACTACCATACAAATTTAATCATTAACCATACAAATCAATTACTAGGTACACATTTGGCTAGCGTACTCTGAGACGACATGTATCTGTCTTGATACATCCATACAGATAATAACGAGCACAACATATACAAATATTCTCAATACATAACACGTAGACATCATTGTACATCACTGTAAAGTCAGCACATTAAGTTCACGATGGGTATGTAATTGATCCTGACCACATACGCTTACTTTAATGGGCATAAGCTGAACTACGCTATAGTTTCTGGAAGTGCGCGCGTGTATGTATGCCTCTTTGTACATAGGCTTGGATGAAGCCTACCAGGACTCCTTTTCGCCAGTAACTTTGACTAGCGGCGATTTCACGCAGGAAGCTATGCAGAAAGGGCAGCTCGCTTCGATTTAAACAGATACGCACTGAAGCACAGGCTGGTTACATCTTATTACAAAGATACGAGCTTCAATCTGCCTCTATATCGTTGTTCCTTACGGGCTCGTTCCCTGTATTCGCTACCTCGTTTTGCCGGGCTGAGGTGTGTATTAGCATTGACAACTGTAGTGAGTTCAACCTTAGTATTAGCAGGGCCACGAGAAGTTGTAGCGATGTCTACGAAATTGTGCTATGCAGTCACAAATAGTCGACAAAGGTTGCCACCTCGATATGGCGTATCTCGAGATACTGACGTGGACGGTCTCGTCTGACCTTCGTCCATTGGGGTAACTCGACCACCGGGCAACGGTCTCACCAAAAAGAGGCATGATCGATTGACAAACGCAAGGAGCAACCCAGATACCAAGCATATGACAAGCAAAATTGCAAACGGCAAAACGAGGGAAAAAAGTAGCAGCTATCATAAGTTCAGCAGCAGGGGCTCCCCCCGTACGATGCAACCGGACACAATATTAATTGCATCCGGTTGCATCGTGCAGAAGTCTCTAGACTCACTCGGATTTGCTATTTACGCTATGCGAACAAATATCATTTTTTTTTCTATGGTTAATTCTTAAGTACCCCTTCTGTAACAGAGCTCGATACGCTGTTTAGGACTGCTTTAAGGTCCTCTGAGGCGCTCGGCACGATTAATCTGTGTGGATCGAACCGGCGAGGCGATGATGATTATTGTTATTCAGCATCGCCTTCACTGTTTCTTTCTCGATCCAAATTTTGCCTTACGCGAGTTAACAGGTAAACACGTTATCATTGCACCATTGCAGACACAACAATGGACGCTTACTAAATGGAAACGCATGAAGCTACTGCATGGTAGGGATGTTTAACGTTTCTCGTATTTTAGCAGACCAGAAAACAGTGTGAATTCTCCGTTATGTAGCAGCTACCGCACCCTATAACGCTTATGCTGCTATATAGAGCACTAATCCTATCGGGCATCACTCCTTCATCAATGGTACCGTATACAGTAGCTGTGCCAGGGCAAACATGCCGGATTGAATGTACGGACCGGATTATGGCGTCTGAGAACAGGATGACACGAGGATGTGTAACCAGATGGGTGACTGTAAAAAAAACCTATCTACGGTACATTAGATCTGCCGTTTTCTGCCATTTAAATCAACCATGCTTCTGGTGTTACCGCTGTATCTGATGCTGTTTCAAATTTGGGAAGATTAAGTGTATTTGCCAAATTGTCTGTCACTTACTCACACCAAAAGAACCACTGGTCAAACAGCGGATAGCAGTAAACAATGGGGACCGGTGCATCTTTGTCAAAGTCGGAACACCGGAAACAATCAGAACAGCTTATCGTTTATTAAGACTGCACTCACTGTGGTACGGAGCAAGTACGCCACTTCCGAACAATTGTACAATAGGTAGCATTTTAGAAATCTATTGAGGGTAACTGCAAAGTGTGACAATGTAACAAACTAAAATCTGCTCTGTTAAATTTCAACTAAGTACCCGTGACATATAATAGATATTATTCTATACTTAGAGTCGAAAAAATCGTGCTTCTAGTGAAAGCTATCTAGATAGTTAAAACGGTTTTGCCAACTCTGCTATCACAACATTATCTGAGTAGTCGATCTAGAAACTGTCTTCAAAATAGAAATTCAACTGTCTATATGCTCCTACCTTTCGTGACACCTCTGTTGGCTGATCGTGCTACGTAGCAATTTCAAATATATCGTTTTTAATCAAACAGAACTTCATTTGTGTTCTACAGGGACAGTCCAGCGAGTATTTCCGAGGACAAAGTTGTCAAAGTGGACGATCAAGAAGAAACCAGCTTGATATCTTTGACGTCTCCATACCGGGAAACTAAGTAAACAAGATATCGTGTTCTCCTAAATTCAATACGCTTGGCATGTTGCATTCGTAGGACTAGAGTGTCGTGCAAACATATCAGCCTTCGTTATCCCGCACCCATTACTGCATGATCCATAGGAAATGAATCTATTTTGTGGAAATAAAGACTCCTATTTTCCCGATGACTTACAAAAAAATCAGCGAAAGGGGGCAGCAGAGATTTAACTTTACGTCGTGGGTGATTGCGTGACAAAAACTCAATGGCAAAAGCGAGATAGCCTCTACCTAACCACGGGTACTACGCCTTTAAAGGCGATATCAGTGTTGACACGCTTTAACTAAAGGGTCTGTAGTTTTATTTCGTCGGCCGAAATTTTACTGACTTCATAAGCTTTAAACCAAATAATCGTATCATTAATATGTGCGACTTTGTGTCTGGAAATGCCTGAAATACATTATTTAAGACAAGTTCATTAAATGCTGAATGCTGAGAAGAGCTCAACATAGAGTTGTCTATCAATTTACACGGTCAAGTAAGAGTCTATCACAGATAAACCATATAATGATATTGACTTTAATTCTAGGCATTCAGATGTTATCGTGTGGCAGTTTGTTTCATTCTACTTCTTTAGTACTATAGTGTTTCAAGTTAGAAATTTCAACATGGATTCGAAGACCGATGCGGCCCGCCTATCGTTCGGTCTGCTAATCGCTTTTGGCAATCGACTGTTAACCCGCTCCCTGTGCTTACTGTTTGCCATTCCAAGCTCAGTCCGTTTATTGAATATTCAGCTGAAGATTGCTCATTTCCTTTACACTTTATTCTATTTAAAATGACCACCTTATCAAGCTCAGCGGATGCTTTACTACTTATGTCCAGTATTACTGGTCCAGTCGGTCAAAATGACTGGGCATATCAGTATCTTAGTTTTATAAAGACAATATCCATGTTGAATCGTACCTACTCCGTTCACCTAAAATCCTGCAAGCCCTTTGAGACTAATAACTGTTTCGAGTTTTGCGTCCGGCGCTCTTTCTAGCGCCTAATAGAATATGCCCAGCCCGGTTTCCGACATAGACACCCCATTTGTTTCTAGGTCTAATGGGTGTTCAAAAACCGCTGTCCGTTGGCTGACTCTTCGAGAGTTAAATATAGAATTAATGGTCAGCCCCAAAAAAAACGAGAAAACGCCACACGTGTCTACCTGCTGATTTTCCGATGTCGCGATACTATCAAGTTTTTTATAAATAATGAGCATAACTACAATACAAAGACTATGCCATAGTTTCGTATCAAATAGTTGGGTAGGAATTCACTCAAAGCGCGATATGCCCGCCTTCAATCAGATTCCAGTTAATCGGAATTAGAGGTATATCAAAGCAGCCAATTTTATTGGATTTTAAGTGCAATAGAAAACGCTTTAAGTGCATTCTATCAAGTTTTTCTTTTATAGTTTTTGAAAATTTGTAGGATCACTCAGGCTGAGCTTGTAGAAAAATTAAACTATGGGCATAGTTTTTTCCATTGCAGACGTAGAAGTGATTGACTACCAAGGGTTTTTGCCGTACGCAACCATGATTGGTTCCTTAACTGATGCACTCTATTCAGTAGTTGTAACGAAAAGAGACTTCACACTCTCAGTTAATCTTAGCTAAAAACTGAATACTCCTTAAAGTAGCTGGCCTACTCACACCTGTTAAAACGACGAAAAACTCAGGCCACTTTTGCCGCCCCAGTCTATGTGTCAGGCAACTTTTGGTACATGTCTACTCACCTACCAGTTGTAGCCTGTACACTGAAAAAATAGGATTATAGGACATCTGGATTTTAAAGAATTCGCTATGCAAAGATTGCCCCTGTTAGCTAAGTTCCCGCCGCGCTATTGTCTCTGCGTATCCAAAACAGCCTTTCTATGTCCAGTATCGCCGTTAGGCATCCCATCAGACGGCTGGCTTCCAGCCCGGGCTATGCTCGGCTTTGAACATGTCCCTAAGATCCAAGAGTACTCAGGCGATAGCATTAGGTTCTAAGCGTTAGCGTGGTGAATAGAATAGTTTTTCCTTTTGAACGCAACGCGGAAGAAATCAGCAATCATTCGTATGAGTCTACTTACAGCTCTCGATTCTTTGAGGTTATGACCTCTTCGAAGACTGGACTGATTTTACAGGAAAAGCGAGAGCTGCCCTATCTCAGCAAGGGTTTTCAAGCTCTCGAACTAGTGCAAGTGTAGGACACTAGGAACTAGGACACGATCATGGATCCTAGAAACATGTATATATGCTTGTTTATAAATTTTAGCTTGAATTAAACAAAACCTATTTCTTTTAAAATAGGTTTTGTAATTAACAACTTATGAGCCCTAAGCCTTCGTCACCGAGTTTGCTTGTAGTTAGTGCTGTACCAGTAATATGTCCCGCTTATCTTTCTATCACAATATTTTGCCTGTTTATTTAGCCTGACATATCCCATTCAATCGACATTATCTTATCACATTATTTTTTTTAGCATATTGTTGCCTGCTGTAAACACGACATAAACGAAATTCTGTGTATAAAAAAAATATCTGTATAGAAAAAAAAAGAAGGGCATTTAATAACATTTTTTTTTTTTGTTTTCTTTTTTCGTTCTACCATTCGAAAAATTTGTATGATACGCCGAAAATCTTTCGACATAGCACACGGGCACAACTTTTCACGATACATCCTGTCTAGGATCCGCATATTTACCGGTAGTTCTAATCGCTTGTGGTATAGCGGAGTTGTTGATACGTTGTTCGCTTGTTTTCCATCCTAACTCTTGAATATGATACTTGCGTCTAAGCTAAGCCTCTTTCGAAGAGGCAAACAAATCTTTCGAAATTCTAGAAAAGCCTGCGCGGCAGAGAAGTTGAAACATTGCAGCATAGTAGCCTACAATGGTCGTCCCGTGTATTCGACGGTGGTTCACTCAATGAGTTGTACGTTGTTACAATCATATAACTAATTATCTAATGTTATGCTTGAATAAGACTGCTACAGTTGTTTCAGTAATAAATAAACCTTTCCGATCAACAGATGAGTCATTCAGAGTAGCAGCAAGGAAGAAACTGATTGAATGTCAAGTAAACTGCCTGAATGGTGTTTTCACGTCCTATTATATGGGTGCTATCGCTATTTTCACTAGAGAAAAAAGATTCCAAGATGTATCCTGCTCTAGACCAGGCCGTCAGGTCATTTCGGATACCTGATGCCGATTAAATTGGCCTTACTTGAATAACAATGATGAAGTACAGGTATGCAGGCTAAATCTCGCATTGACCCTTAGAGGTTCAGCAAAAACCATCTGACCGTATCTGACCTGTCGGTGGGTGACGCCTACTCGATATAAGTGGGACCTGATGTAAGTAATTTAGTAAACGTTTTTATTTTAAGCAGCTTAGTAATGATTTAATATTGTTTCTCAAACGCTCAGTGAACAACAGTTATTCCTATAGAAATGTAATAAAGTATTCAATACGAGAAGCAAGTATCTCGACATAAACAATAACGAACTACAAATAAAATGCTGTTTCTACTCCGACAAGATAATAGCTAACCCACATTTGTAGGTACAATTGCCTGGTGCTGGTCTAATAGACCGTGTTTTCAAACGACCGGACTGCAGCTAATTCCGGAGTAAACTAAGAGTTTTCAAATTTAGAACAACTATTTTTAATACGTCTAACTATGCATTTTGTCGTAAACAAACAAACCTAACAGCATGGCTCTACTTCTATGGTACGTGAAAAACCATGATAAGCATACGTTTGTTCCCAACTCGGAAAACATTAAAGGTCAGGAGATATCTAAATACGTATTATTTGTGATATTATACTGAAGACCCGCTTCATTAGTAGACGTGCGAATTTCGCTGGGTCCGCTTTCACCGGTACCGCACAAATCAATTAGCGATGACGGCTCTCAGTCGTTTAAGCTGGATCTGGGATATTCAGTGTACTAATAAAATACTGCATATCAAATAGTATAATAGGACGGCTATGTCTAGTTTTAAGCACCGATAATAGAAAAAGGTGAATTTTTTATCTGTTATAGATTGAATGTTTATGTAGCTCGATTTGCTTCGTGCTACATTGTTATCTCATTTTAATCCCAACTAGTGATACCTTCAAACCAGTACCTTTCAACAAATTCATTTGTCTCGGACCCGGTCATCACTGGAACATAGGCTTCCAGCCACAAGCAATAACTGCACGAACTAGTGTGGGAACTGTATTTTACGTGGCGGCAAAGTGTTTACACAACGAATCTAACGCTTACGACCCAATTACTGGTGAAAGCAGGTGATTTTTTTAAATCATTTTTGTATTATTGTTACCAGCTTACCGTAAAGTATGACCAGGCTAAATAAAGGCTCGCTCGAATATTAGAAGTATTAATTCTAAGAGGCATAAATCAGGTCGATGTTGATCTTAGTGTATGCTAAACCCTTGCACCAGGAAGATTTTATATCTGCCCGGTCCACGATTCGTGCGACGTGTAATAAGCTACGTCACACAAAATGACGTCATGGATCACGTAATCGATATGGATCTGAAATGAGACTGCAAAGGCTGACTAGCCAAACGTTTACGACGAGGAAATTCTACTTCAAAACATTTCTCAGTCGCTTAGTTTTCACAACTCTGTATGATTCAGATAATAAATATATAAATCTTACAGAAAAACATTTGTTATAGCAGTGTTCATTCGAGTAATTAGGTTATATTATTCAGAGTAAGGAAGTGTTCTTTTAGAACTGGTATTCCCAAAAGGGTCAAGTGGCCATGGTCCAACTGTAATTTTAGCTTTCAATTCTTGTGACAAAGACTTGAAGGCCTCGTGGAGTCCTTAGATTCACATAGTATTTAGATACCATTGTCCCAAGAGTATATCGACTACCTTTCCATGGTAATTATACACGAATTCAAGATGATCACAGATATCATACAATTAAAAAATAGGAAAATTTTTTAGTTTACGGGGTTGGTAGAAAGCAAGTTTCCTGATTGACCTTACCCATTAAGAAATATAATAATATATAACGTCATGAGTAAATGAATCACCATTACGCTTAATTATATCTATTACCAGGGGGTAAACGCGTTACCCTTGAGGTTAGCTTGTAATTACCGAATCAATTACCAAACGAATATAGTTTTGCATTTTTTTACAATTTGTGCCCTAAGATCGCCACGGTTCATACAAACAGAATTTTCCTTGCATAACGTCTTACCTATATATTATTAGGTTACGTTATATTATATACGTCTATTCTTCATATTTTATTCTAGGTAGGACAAGTATATTGCGCTATTCCCCAAATACGTATGTTATAATATTATGATCTAGCGTAAAATGAAGCTTGCGAGTCAGGCGGACTGATCTTTATGCAAGCGCTAAGATCATTCAGATTCCTTTATTTACTTTGTCATTGACTGGAATATGAGGATGAATACTGCCCTGTGGTGTGTTTAGCGTTCGTCTTCCTGGTGCCTTACGGTAACCGGTGAGGGGGCATCCTCTAAATTTACTACGTTATTTTCGCAAATAGGCGTGCGTAAAGCAAAATAGCTACTGTCTTTCCCACCTTCGGAAATGAACCGTATTTAGAAGTCTATCCAGCTAAATTGGATGATTTAACACCTTTGAAATAAGTCTTGTGTATTCTCAGCATCTCATAGTTCATCTCGATCCATGCTAATCGCACAATGAAACAAGTTGTTCTACTATTCAATTATAATTCAATCTATAAGAACTGTACCACACCTTTAGGAAGCTTCTCATTTTTACAGAATGTTCATATAGCTAGATCTGCCGTCTTTACATCATATGTTTTTCTATTTATAATTTAAATGATAACAACAGGTGATCTTTCTTTGTTTACATTATGACAGCCTAATAACAGCCTTGCAATAGATAACTAATTGATAACTATACCTGCTGTAATATATATATGATTTCTCAATGTAATTTGTTCAATTTTCGTGCCCTGTATACCGGGTCTGAGAAAGCAGAGATGTCCCTGACTGAACTAAGATAACCGCTTCATATCAACAACCCCAAAAACTTCACTAACACACTACTCTGAGCACTGCGCTATGACAGATAACAAAGTGCCCTGTCAAGGGTAGAGAGTTTAGTCCAAAAAAGTCGATAGACTTGTTCTTATTTACATTAGCACTTCAAATTGAAGCATTCTTCATTTCTGCACTCGTAGACCATTACCAATGATTTTTCTATGCCATCTGCTATTAGTTGAGACAGCAAATCTAGTCCCTGTGAAGCATAGTTGCCGTAGCATTAAAGAGAACCCTTCGATATACAGGAAGCGATTATAACACTTGTTCTGTGAGAGAGAAGATATAAAAGCTAAACGGTACTGTTGTAAAAAAAAATAGTGATCTATTCCCAGTAACAACGTATGTTTCAGCTCTAACTCGAATGAATACATTTATTTTGCGGTGATTACAACACAAATTGCATGAAAGCCGTAACTCGATTTTTATTCCTAGCTAAATATTCAAGCGCTTTCACATTAACCGATGATTTACTATTCATCCGTCCTAGCTTCTCAATATTGTTTTAGCGGAGTTTCAACAGTCGCTATTACCGGTATGCCCCCTATGTTTCGAATTTTATGTCCGGTACCGCCTTTAGGCATCTTATCAGACAGCTCACTCCCGGCATGAAACGAAATCTTTCTATACCCGGGTGCAAGACTAGACCACAACATGCTCCTAAGCTTAGCAGATAAATACGTTACTTACTAAACTATCACAAGGACTACCGGTATGTCGAAACCGATTCGTCCTGAAGAACTCTCATAGCACCGTTGCTACTAAGAGCACTCGCTGCAGTACACATCTGATTTAGGACGATTCTCCATCCTGCATCACATGCAGCTTTTACGGCCTTACGGTAACCGCTTAGCTCCTTCTAGAAGGCGATGTGACAATTGTCTCCTTCGGCTCCGCCTAACCCAATTCGATTCACTTGTCTTGAAAAGCAAATGTCCCTAGTAGAGGCAGCTGCCCTCTAAATAGCTTCGAATAATCTGTGTAAAAACATCCCTTACACCGTTAGGTTTGGCCTGTGCAGGTGAACAACATTTGGCACAAGGCCGACAAAGCTTAATAACGAATGGTCGAGCGGCAGGTGGATTCAAGATGACTTCATTAAGCCTTCATCTTCGAGCCTACCTTACCTTGTTACGGATAAGTGGTCTACGTTTTAGATTTTACTCAGTTTAGAGGCAATTTAGGTCAAGTCCGTTTGAGAAGTTTGGCGTATACAATGCAAGTGCATTATATATGAATATATAACGAAGATATAGTATGCACGCACTTATTTGTAGCATTCAGTTACCAAAATAGTTATTAGACATCATAGTCGCGTTGCTAGAGATATTTTACTCATTGTTCGGATCGACGAAAAACGTTGTTGGCTTAGTATTTACATAATAGATATCATTATAACTCTGTATTTTTAATTCAATCTAGTCGGAAACGCTAGCCCACCGCAATCGATTATCATTGATCCAATTGTTTTATACTGATGAATAATTATTTTACGCTTAATCACATAGAAACGAAATGTATTTCGAACTACCTAAAGTAATGGGTCTAAGCTTCGCTCTCGTTGAACCGGCTTTCTTGCCTTTATGCTATTCTTAACCTAACGATGACAACGCACAGCAGCGCGTCGATGTTCAACAAAATAAAATTTCTTCCAGCGCAGTGTACTTCTCTAAAGAAGAACTTATCACCGAGAAAATCCGAAGTACTAGTACAGATAATATGAATAGTAAAAAAAGGTGTGCTGCACATAGGAATACAAAGCAACAATATGGACCAATGTAAGTGTCAAAGGTAACTAGTTTCTGTAAGCGAATTTCTGCGTGAAACTTCTTTGTGTTACAAAGTATTAAGAGCGAGTCATGCAGGTGGAAAATATTGAGAAGGAGATGGAATTAGTTTCGTCCAATTATTGCAAATAGTTATTACTGGATAGTCAGATTTGCCTTGTCATCGGTCTTCATATTTAGACCACTTACTTGTCTTCAAAGCCATTACAATTATTAAGTAGCTGTGACTGTCAGCCAAACTGATGCTTTATCACCACACAGAGCTTTCAATAGCAACTGAATCTACTGATAGATATAAGCAGGCCACTAAGACTGGCAGACAATTATATTGCTCTATCTGAACCTTCTTAGCTATTTTTTTACAACATCGAATTGCTTCCTGGTCCTTTTAGTATAGTCACCTTTGTCCATGATTAATGGTAGTTAATTAGGCGCTTGTTTTCAAATTTCTGCAATTACTGACGCACTCCATATCGTGGGCTGGTCCTTTTTTCTTTAACTACGTTTTAAACTACACAGCAGCTCTAGACGGTTCATGCCGTCCCTTTCGTCGTCATCTAATGAATGTATTCCTGAAAAAAATATTCCACTGACCAGTAATGGCATATCGATTAACTCAACTTCTGACCTAATCTTTTTTGGTAACCCAAGATCATTAGCTGCTTTCAAGATGCTTCAGCCCTCTGAATCCGTACCATCTACCAACTATACAGAGCTGGGTCGACATGGATACCGCCGGCTTGTCGCCGTTACGATTCGCCGTTTCATCTAGCACTATAGTAGTAGTAATACAAATCTTCTAAACTTTTGTAACGCACAGCGGGTAAATCCTTGTCGACGGACCTGAACACCGTCGATAGAAGCCAACTTAATGTAGGCTTGTCATGTGAGTGTGGCCCAGAAAAGTCGAACTATTTAGCCACATTATTCTGAACCTGCATGTAGTTTTCATTATCCTAGGCAGCATCTGATTCCGTACTAACAATATGCGTACGCTAAAAATTTTAAACGCTAATTTTCCACTTGCGCCTGATTGGCTACCTAATTATATAGTCCGTTATACATCGCTATCAAAAACGACATGGTTTGACGGATCTAATGCTCTTCAACTTTTTTCTCGCGTATGTTATATACATTCGCGCTCACTTCAGGCCGACCCGAAACGAGAAAGCGCATGCTATTGTCACCCAGTTAATTAATCCAGTTCGGTACGACCCGCGCATGCAGGCGCAATCCGGCGCAGACTGTGAGCACTCCACCTGCGACGAATCGCCTGTCCACGTTAAGGTTAACACGTTCGTACGACAGATGCGTTTCGACCAAGCACAAATGGTGAGTTTTAGCGTATACCGAAGTTATCAACGTGGCACGTATGCATAACAGATGTCAGGATGATGCGGAAATGAAAGCAAAAATCATTTACGTAATTTTGTGTATGAAAACAAGCTTTTGTATGCATTCATCGGATATGCTGAAACTGCGCAAATGTCATTGACTCGATACTTGCTTCAACGCTCTCAGAAGAATATCGATTTTGGGGTTTTGATATCAGGACTATAACAACAAGTATTAGGATCTCTTGTTCTTAGTATTTTTTTATATTAATAATGGTATTTTTTATTGCACTTCAGCAAAGTGATCTGATGATAAACTGAGCCAGTTTGCTGATGTAATTCAGTGAGGATAGTTTGATAGGAAAAATTCCGACTCCGTGTCGACTGAATAAATTTGGTAACCCTATTTTGAGTTTTACACAAGCACTTTCCGGCCATAGCTTTACCTTTTCCTATAGCCGTCTAAGAAAATGTTGGCCATTTAATTGAATTCAGCAAGAACGAAAACTTCTCAAAGAATGTACTTGTAAATACATATCCACCTAAAACCATATGTGACTTTATAAACCTATACGCGCGTCTTTCTAGCTATGATAGCTGTGAATTGGCGTATCTTTGCAATACTCATAATGTAACTAAGCCTTACGTGAATACAGAAGCAACATGACTAACTGTGCGGTACTATTTAGAAAAATAGATGCCAGGGGATTCTAGGCCACGATGGTTTTTAGTAGATAGGCGCTTTAATCAAATATGCAACAACGACACGATCAGCATGCCTTTCATATCTGCACTATTCTCCTATGAGTCCTTGAGACATGTGACCTATAAGCTGCTGCCTTAGCCTTGCAGACGCTATGAGATCTATCGTTGAGCTTGCGACAGGTTCTGAAGCAGAGCCTTCGTTTGCGGCAGCTTGCATTACTGCACAAACGAAGGTTGACAGAAATACAATTTTATTTACGAAAACTTTGAAATCAATCGCAGTTATTAAAATCATTCGAAACAAAGCAATTCTTAAGACTCGTGTCTTACTAACTGTAAAATAAAATGAAATTTTTGCTTACTTTAATATTTCACCTAAATGGACCTTGGAAAACATAATCTGGTCTTCATGCTATCTACACACGAGTGCAGATTGTATATGCATAGATGATTACACACGTTAAATCTGCTCATGCCGAATTCATTAAATTTGTCACTGCTCTGTTAGAAGTACATTGCTTCATATTGAAAGATTTTGTTGTCATAAATTAATTTAAAGTAAAGAGAAAAAAAAAGAAAAGGCCGGTTTTCTATGAACCTTTGGGAACCATTAGTGACGTTTCCTAAAAGGGTCAAATCTCGTTCATAAAAAAGAGATGTGACTTCTTTTCACCACGCCAGTCATCAAAGTATATCGCGTACTCAGTTGTGCGATGCGGACACTTAATTTGCAATACTTCGTGTGCATACACAATAAATATGCAAATTAAAACTTCCATGAAAAAGGAATTCTATAAATAATAAATTATATTATGCATAAAGTTATGTTATGCAAAAAGTCCAGCCACGCAGTGGCGAGAGATTCGTTGGCAGCGGTGGGATTCGAACCCACGCCCCCGAAGAGACTGGTGCCTTAAACCAGCGCCTTAGACCGCTCGGCCACGCTACCACACATCTACCACCGCACGAACTGCTATTTTCAGGGGTTCGCTGAAAATACGTCACAACTGATTAAACGCTACGTAACCATTTCATTACTTTTGTGTATTTGCCTTTAACTGCTTAAACTTCTAAATATTTAAAACTTAGGCATTCATTTCAAAACTAATCTACAAAACCCTTAGATTTGTATTGGTGTAGCGTTTTCAAAGTGCGTTTAAGGCCAAAAGTTTACCCCGATATTGTGGCAAGTGATTTATTCTACCATTATAAATTACAACAGACAAATACCCTCATCGTTTTATTCGTAAAAAAAAACTAAGTCACTGTAACTTTATACGAATGACCCTGTTAAGAGGAGACCACTATGGCTGAGTATGTAATTCATTATTTTCAAAAGCGGACTCCAAGCATACTTTTAAATTGCGCAGTACATTAAAAAAATATTTTGTATATTTATATTATAGATTTAATCCATATCCGTATTTACCCTCATTTAGATTTAGCTCTCATTTAGAAATCAGCACTTATATTCGTATTTACCTCGCTTCACCTATATTCGCATAGATTGCGTGAAATTATTGATGTGTTTATGCTTGCTAAATTTTTTGCTTACTTTATCTATAATAACTTATACTTTAGCTATACTTTATTTTTTGCCTTACTTTATTTACCCTTGATCATTCCTAACATGTATGCGTAATAAAATACAATATGCTTTTACGTTTTTCGTTACGAAAAGAGTAACAACTTTATTTGCCCTTCATCATTTCTAACACAGTAATGCTACGACTAAGATTTGAATTGAACTTATGCCGTGTTTGTTTCCTTGGCCTATGCGATACCACACGACGCAGTGGTCACCCAAGATATATACAGAATTCGGGATATTCAGCGATCAATGCAACAAGCGTCATAAAAACATGATCCCGCGATGCTTATATCACACGCCTGCAGGAATTTACGAAGTGACACTGCGTGCTAGAGACTACCACTAGCACGGTTAATTCGTTGCTCCTCTTCTTCCTGTTTGCAGTACTCGTAAATTACTTTTTGTCATCAATTGCCTTACTGCCCATGTCGATATTGAGACGAACTTGGCCACTCTGCTCCGGCTCCTTGAGAGGTGCCTCAATTCGAAGTCGACCTTCGATACTATCCACATATGCTTCCATCTTATCCATGAGAACCGTACTGTCATTGAGTTTTAGCTCCTCATGAAATTCTTTTACTGATCGGAAGTTCTCCTGATTGACCTCACTACGAATCGAAACGCAAAGACGGCCATCTTTCAGTGCAATCTGTGAAATCGATCAAATCTACAACGTTAAGCCAAGTACGAGCTTTCTTTACCTAAGAATACCTATTTCTTGGAACGCGAGTTAATTCGCATTTCGTGAATAAGTATGCATATTAATATATCTGCACACAATATTAACACAAAATAGCCATGTTCACGCCCTGAATGCCCTATGTAAGGTCAAAAGCATTTCTTAGAAAAATAATCAGTTTTTTTCTTCGCTAAAGCAGTTACCTTAACATCTTCTGGCTTTACATTCTGTGGAAGTCTCATCTGGGCCACCAACTTATTATCTTCCCTGAAGAGGCGCATACCGCTTAGAACGCCGTAAGGTTCCACTTGGGTCAAAAGTCGCGGGCCGGTGAACAGTGGCTCCCTGAAAAAATCTTCCACAAGACGATTGAAAACTCGGAACTCTGGAGGCATCATAAAATGCCGACGAGACAATAAAGCCGCCCGCGCCAACGGCTGAAACCGTCGAAGGCTACGTGAAAACATTCTGATGCAACCAGGTTGTTGATGAGAGCAAACACTCCTGCCGGACTTATCGAGCTTCAGGTGTTAGACTGTTCTACACAAGCACCAGATTACCTTTGAAATTCACCTGATTTCAGTATTTTCCGCTAATTCTCTAACCGTAGTCACCTAAAGATTCTTTGCCAAACACCGATGTGCTGATTGTCTTGCCTTTGATGAGACAACGACTATGTAGTAACCGACGGCAGAGCAGAGAGCTTAAATAGGCTCGGTGGCGCCCTCTAGTGAATATTCGTCTATGCTAGGAGATTCGAGAGGAATCGACAGCAATAGTTGGTTACGTTTCTAGTTTGTTTACAAAATATTCACAGCCATAAGGAAAAGAAACTGTATTATTGATAGCTTAAAACCACTAATATACGTTACATACATATGTCATTATACAAGGCGGTATCCAATAATATCTGTTTTGCTAAATTAAATGACGAAAAGCCCAATAATTTTGACAGTCAATGTACGTAGAACAGACATTTCAATAGCTCTTATATGGTAAGAGCTAATTTTTATATAAGCACTAAGGTAATTAATCAAGCACAACAACAGTTATACTTCGAATAGAATAACACGATTTTTTTTGTCAATAACAAAAAAAAACCGTAGAAGATAAATGTTAACATTTTAAAAGCTATTTATGCTTAAACAACAGTTTCAGGACGGCTTATATTTGTTGCCCTTTAGAAGCAGCTTACACCAAAATTATATATACATTCAGTTAACCAAAGCTTGCGTTGTGCTGTGAAATCATTACATATTGACTGACACAGCCAGGAAATAAGTTTATATAACACGTCATCGCGAATTATCTTAAGCTATTTTCCATTAGATTATTTTTCCCAGTTTATAATGTTTATAAAAGAATTCCTGCAGTGATGGTGTTTTTTGCTTAAGAAAATCAAATTAGTGACACTTGAAGGAAGCATGTTCACTGCTCTTGTGAAAAGAAGCTATAAATAATTCAAGTGATAGCTGCAAGTTTCCCTAAGCCAAACTGTTACGAGGTTACCTTTTGGGTTAGTTTAGTTTTCGTATTTTCTACTTCTGTAAAAAGATGTTTTGCTAGTTCTAACAACACTCAAGGAATCGTTATACATATAGTTAAGAGCTTGACTGATCATGCTCTTATAACAATTGTTTTGCTTCGCCCTTTAGCTAGGTCTAAACGTGCCATTTATAACACAAATAAGATGACGCGTGTTCTGTACTGCGATTTTTGTCTATGTTTTAGCTATTGGACACTCAGTTGATATTTCGAATGGAGTGGAACGATCCTCGATTAACGTATCTAGATAATTCCTCTCATCTACCTTATGTTTTACTTGACAAACCATCAGATATTTGGGTACCTGACCTCTTTCTTAGTTCGGAGATACGCACTGACCGTCACGACTTCATCATCCCTAATGTTCTTATACGAATCTACCCGAACGGCGATGTCCTCTACAGCACCAGGTCAGTGAAACAGGCCTGTGCAGTAAATACAGTGAACTTTGTAATTAGATAAGAAACAGTCACATTTACAATTAGGTTATGCCGTATATACTTTTTTGAACTAAGTTCGTCTTCAACATACGTTATCCAATGAAAATACTTGTACGGATACAGATCGTAGTCCAAGCTATGGTAGATAGCAAAGTACAACTATCTGCTAGACAAAAACTACCTGGAAGCAGTCAATCTAAGTTCAATTTTCCATTTTCACCCTTTTAACACGTTTCAGAATAAGTTCCAAGTTGAATTGCATCGTTGATCTTGCGCACTTCCCATTCGACTCGCCGGTGTGCGAATTAACAGCAGCGAGTTGTAAATATCGAAACACTGCGGCATCGGCATGAAGTTGTAGATTTAGTGTTTAACGGTCGAGTGGCTTAATGGTAAAAGCCAAACAAAAAGCTTAGAAGAATTAACAATGTCTCTTTAAGCCGGAAAAACTAACAACGTTGATATCACCTAAATGAAGTAGGGAAATTAACAGGCTAGTTAAAGCTTCTACAGGTCGAAGTAAATAAACAAAAGTTGGAAAATTTTGTACGGCCTTATTTGTGAGCGTTTACGTTTGGACTGGATTTCACTTGCCTCGTATAAAGGTTAGACTTTTGCCTACTGGAGAGCTATTTATGGACTTTTTATCATTAGATATACTAGATATCCATCATTAGATATAGTATATCTAGTTATATAGTAACTGTTTCTGAATTTTTTCGCTCGCTCTCAGACGCACATACGACGGACGACTTGGTTTTCTGGTGGAAGGAGAAAGAGCCGATCCAAATAGATCGAGCAATTAAGCAAATATCCAATGATATTCATTTGGATAAGGTAAGGAAATGCGCAACGGCCCCATATAGAATTACAAATATCAGATAGAGAAAGCCTTCAAACTCTTTTTTTACTCCGATTTATTTTTGACGCTCTAAGCCTAACTACTGTGTAAAGAAATCCTCGAAATCACTTCTTTGGTACAGCACCAAAGATCTGTCTTACTCGATGACCTAGGCGGGGTGGGTATTGGTTTTTTCAAGAGCCAGCTTCCGGAACGGCATGATAATAACAGTGAAATTTAAGCCAGCGATGGCCACATGTTAATCGTTATAAGAGATGCCTATCAACCATCTAGACCACGCAACCCCAATGCGACTAGGCATAGAACGAAAGCATCATCTATTCGAATGTTTGCTCTTTTGTTTCACGTCTCTTATCATTATATACATGTTTTAAGGTGACTACACGGTCATGTACGTCATCAACAACTACAGGAGAGTACACCTGTATCAAGGCGCAGTTCTTCTTCAAACGGAACTTGGGCATATACGTGGTCAAAATCTACGCACCATGCTTATTTCTACTACTTATAGCCTACTCGGGCTTTTTTGTAAAGGTAAGCTCTAAGATGAGTAAGCACATCGGTCCATTCCATAATCGGCACGTATATATATATATATAGCCCCAAAAGTTAGTATAGATTCAAGTTAACTAAAAATTAGCCTTTGTCTATTTTAGATCAATGATTTCCTTGATATCAAATGGAGGGGGCCTAAAACTACCGTCTACTGTTTTGGGTTATAAATTTAACACATTGTAATCAAATTATTGTCGTCATGTTAACTGGACGAACTGAGTCAGGTTCACAACAATGTCATTTATGCACTACTTATTCCTGTTTTAGCACACGGTATCATCAGTTCGATCGTTACTCCATTTGTTGCCTACATTGTTGTTGGCGCATTACTCGTTTTCGTTTGATCGCGAGTTCGCCAACACAATGGTGCACCAATGGATTATCGGCTGCCTTGTGATAGCGCTCGGATCGCTTATCGAGTTCCTCATCCTCATTTATATGCACGAGGTACAGCGATGCGAGAAGGTTAATATCCAAATCCTTTTTGTATCATCAATAGTACGTTTTTCATCGCAATACTAATCATATTAAAATCGACCAAATGATTAAATCTCGTTAAACTGACGTTAGACTCAATCTATGAAGAACCTTATTTTAGAAGAAACTTTCTATCTCTTATAACTGAACAAATGTTACCATTCGTATTTCGGTATTCTATCGGCACGATTGACGCTTTATACTAATATCTATGTTCTCCTTTCAATTCAGCTGAACAGCCGCGGGGTCGGTCTAATGGGCAGTTCTTTTAAGGAGGACGCGAGACAAACAATGCGCCACTATCCCGTCAGTAACCTCGACATCCTTGCACGGGTCGTGTTCTTCATCGCTATTGGCATCTTTAACCTCGCTTATTTCCTATAGAAGCGAATCAATATAAACGATACGGCACAATCAGTACTACAGATACACATAGAAATGGTGAAGTAACAAAAATAAACACCATCCAGATATCATCACCATATAAAGCTAGTAATCATCTCAGATTAGTTGACCGAGTTGCGGATTCAAACTGACTGGGTTCGCGCGTGTTATTTGATGTGGCTGGTCTTAAACAATGTGATGAAACGGCGTACTATTGCACATAACTTAATGCCATTGGGCTACTAAAACTTAATTGAATCCTGACAAGTTTTGAACTGTCTGTTTGCTTTTATAGACAAAAAGTCAACAGAAAGTTTGTGAATTACAAAAAACGCATTTTTTACCAGCTTCGGTCGACACTGCAGGGCTCCATCTTTCTATAAACTCCCTATAGTACCTGGCTCATTTTTCGAAACTATGTGTTTTTATAGAATGGTCCCAGTACCTCTATCCATTTACGGCAAAAACAAATAACTCACAACCATAAAATTTCATTTAATAGCACAGTTCATCAAACGAACGCAATGATATTGCCAAAAACAAAAGAGTAATACACTTACAACAATTCCACACAGATATTTGCTACCAGCTATATTAACACCGTTAATCATAATCCACCCATATATAAATAGCCGTAATTCTTCCTGCGAAGGGCCGAAAAAACTCCAACTTATCATGGAATCAAAGGCAAAACGAAGCTTTACGATTGTGAATTTGCATACACTGTCGTACGCTGATGACGGCAGGTAATAACGAAGCACGTGGAAATTTCTCGTATTAAGCGGTAAAATAGACGATCATCATTGAAACTCTACGCTGAGACTTGCTAGAGTGAATTCGGCTGAGAAGCAGAGAAAATATAATCGCAATGTATGGAAACGTATGAAATCGATTACCTATTAGTCATTTATAGTGAAGTCAAGAATTATTAATGCGTACCCGTGCATGCAGACCACGTTTTCTCTATTATAAGTTATTACTATTATAATCATACGGAGAGATATCGGGAGAGAGAGAGAGAATTATGTTAAATCCACATCGTGATAACCCGGTATATACAAATGACGAACTGATCCGGATATATATACAGCGAAATAAACAAAGAGTCCAGTATTTATATAACACTGTTGTGTGCTATATCAATTTGTTTTATTTTTTCAAAGGCATGATTCTCGCATTGACAATACAGTAAACATGGTATAACGGCTACAGGTCCTCTTTTTAACTTCATTCATTTTTTATTAAAATAATTCATTATCATCGTTATAGAATACGAATTTCCAAACTGATAAACAATGACCCTGCATTGTTGAATGTTTTATAAAACATCGGTTGAGGAAATTAAGTCTGCATAATATTTTCATTAGGTATCTGCATGAGATATAATAGTGATTGCGCTGTCCTTTTCGCACATGCGAAGTTCAACTTATCCAGTAGATCCTTCTTCAGTTCACCGGGACGTCTTTTTACCGTGCTCTGAAATCGTGATTAGGTAAAACTCTGCAACATTAGCTGCTATGTAGGTTGTAAGGGGATACTTAACCACTAACTTCGCATTGCACCGGGGCTGAGTGAACCTTCGTTATAACCTTAAGCGGTCAATAAACACACTGCATTAAGTCCTGTATAATAGAGAAACCTAGATTTATCTTATTTCTACGACTGTCTCATGAGATTCCACTGGAGTGGGTTCACGGGTTTAGACTGGGCCTTAAATAATGCGTTTATTACATCAGTCATTTTTTCAGTGCTTAATGATTATGAAAAAAGAATGTTGCGTATTTTGCTTTAGTAACAACTTCATTATAGATGCGCCTACCTGTAGACAAGCCATTAGCCTCTGCAAGTACGCAATGTTTTGCGGAACTAGATTGTCATCTCCGAGCAGTTGAACTGCATCCTCAAGCAGGCGAACAACGAAAAATCTTGGGGACCATTCGGAATTAACTAAAAAGAGCAACAGTTCGGCTGCACGTGCTGCCCCTTCGAGATTATCCGGCCCAGCATTGTTACAGCATTCGTCTCGAAGGCGTAAAAATTCAGCATATTTTGCTAGAAACATTAGTCTTTCGCTTACCAACATTTCCTGCAAATAGTTGAATGGTTAAATAAAAACGTATAGTTAAATTCCAAACAACAAGAACATTTTACGTGGGTATTCACGTAATGATCAGACCTGAGAGAAAGCATTGCGGTAATTCATATCCAGTTCGGTCGACGGAGGCTTATCTAGAAAAAAATAACAAGGATATCTCAAAGGCGTAAACTTTACTCCGTATATTACACAATACAAATAGCAGCGCTAACAGTTGAGTAGAAAAATTGCACGCATTGTTTTTATATTCTTCGGGTATTAGTATAGACAAAAAATCACATTCGAATAGTTCACCGCAACGGTGACCGTATTGGTTAAACAAGTGTGAGACATAGACGTTCTACAAGCTGCTAATGTCTATGGTACACAGGCATATGCTCAAATAACTACCTGACCAAGTCCCCGTAATTGGTCGGCACAGATGAGAGTACCGGAACGCAAGTAGTCTTCAAGTAGCATTTCTGCAACCCGGGACACTAGCGGTGAATTTTTTGAGCGTATTGCCCAAACCAACGCCGAATCTGGCCAAAACAAGTAGATATTGAGGAACAACAAACATAAAAACATAGATGGCGATTCGGAGTCTATACATACATACGCTATGTTATATATGTTGTGCTCTTGTTAATGTTATAGCTTCAAAAATGGAATAATAAATTGTAACGAAGGTGGTTAGCCTGATTTGTGAATGGTTAATTAAGCCAAGGTTAATATCAGCGGACAAGGTGATTATTCTTCTTCTACAGTGTGATAATGAACATATTTAAAACAATGTTTCGTTCGACAGTACAGAAAGAGAGATATATTTTTCGAATTAGATATCCTGTATTGCTCTAAAGATTAGTTTCTCTTGTTTAACATATATAACATCCATACATTTGAGATGTTGTACGCTGATGAAAAACACGACCATGTAGGCCGGTATAGAATCAAACTTAGGTACCTATAACCCAACACGATCTGTTCATTTCGTCTAATTCAAAAGCTAAAGGCTGTAGTGCGTCCGACCAAGAAATACATCTGAGACCATGAACTTCTTGGCTCCGTCATATTTCATACTATGTACCTAACTTGTTCTTCTTGAGCCATTTGACACTCTGCATCCGGTAAATGGCGAAAGTTGCTTCAGGCAGCCCTAAATTTTCAGCTACAGCGGCCACCTTGAGTGCCTATAATCAGAAAAGTTAATACACGTTAGGACTGATCTTTAGCTGGATTGCTATCTCAATTGTTTCTTGGAAAACCTTCACGCGGTATGGCCTACCCTTTAATTTTTCAATAAGAAGTTGAACCCAATTGTGCCATTGTAACCATGCAGTCTTACCACGCACGTATTCATTGAAAAGAACTAAAGACTGTAATACGCTGTGAATGTTATCAAATTCTACCTTTAGCATAATAATAAAAATATATTCGTTTCACAATATATTTGTATATATATATAGCCCTTGCGGACTTCGGGCAGCACTTGTCTTCCGCGTAAAATCTTAATTAGTTTAATTTATTTTATTTGCTAATCTTACGCCCAGTCTAATGTAGACTATAGTATATACCAACAGTTACTCTGTTGGTGTATACACACTCAATTCGTTACCCTCTACTAGTTATTTTATCAACATGTTTTTATACGAACTGATTTAGCTAGAATCACGCAGCTCACTTTTCAATTAAAATGCATTAAAAGTCACACAAAAAGTCGGTCAAGACGATCTTGAAAGTTGACTTCATCTTATTGTTTAATAGGTAAGCCAAAACGACCAATCGGATTTCTGGCCCTTTTTACATCAATATACCCATTTTAGGTACCGTTTTTACTCAGCTCATCAAAACCTATCGATTAGTACCCAGAAGAACCGTCATAAATAATACTTTGCATAGAAAAAATATTTTCAATGATTCGATATTCTTTCGAGGATCTCTCTGAAAAAAATGTTCCATCAAAGTGTTCGGCGTATCATCCGCCTAAATTTTCCGATTAATATGGATCAGAATTTCACTCATAGCAGCATTCAAAAGTCTCTTGAAGCAGATTTTTCTCTATAGCCACATGGGATAAACGAATGTCATATTCGGGTTTCCGCCATTTTTACTCCGAAATATCCATTTTAGGTAAAAATGTTCAGTCGGATACCTGTACTTTATTTACCTATTTTCGCAATTTATTTTACCAATTCCGGTATCTCGATGCATCTATCCCGTTACAGTTATTTTGTTTTCCTGATTCAGTCAATTTATTAGCAACTATTTTCAGCTGCCCTCCTACATATATTTTATTCTCCAGTCAGAATCTTTTGGCGGTCCTGCTGCTATACTGCATCAACGTGTCACAATACTTGATATTTCGAAAATAAGCTAATTCTTTTATTGCAATTATCATATTATGTCATTTCACCAAGTTTTGCCACAAACAAATAACGTTTATTCAACTGAGAGATTTAGATTATATATGTCAAAATGATTCAAATTTCATCACCTATTTTGCAACCTATTCTACAAATACACCCCCGCCCTATTCGCGAAGGGAAGTATCCGCACATTTAAACAAAATGAACTGTAAAAGTTAACTTCTATCTATTTAAATTTATCTATTTAAAATCATAGATTTACCATTAGATCACGTGCCCTAATTTTGTATATCGATGAACTTAAAAAATAAACAACTTTCTAACGTGAGCTCTTTGCAAATTCTCAATGGTTTCTGGGCTAATTGCGAAAAATTATCAATCTCTCCAAATTAACACTATCTCTATGGGATAGAAAAATATACCTCCCGCGTAAGACGTTTACCATATACGTTCTATCTTACATATATATACGTATATATACTCTTCTGTCTAACAATTTATGTTGAGAAACATGCGTAAATATTTAGACCTATCTAAATAATATCCACACAGGCTCACCTTTTGTTGTGTAGAACAGTGAACGCTTATAACAGCCTGAATAAGCATTGGCCTATTTTCGGGCTTGCAATGATGAAGGTACATTAGACCAGTCTGCCATAAGGGCCTCTGCGACAGTAAACATAAAGCATAGTCACGTAGCAACTGTTCATGCAACGCTTCTCTGAAATCAACATTCAATATTATTGTAAATATTAAAGTCTTCTTATTTCGATTGAATAGGATAGATATAAATGTTTATAAATAACAATGCCGTCCATGGATAGAATAGAAAGGTAATCAGTGTATTAGATGTATTTTTCCAGATATAATTCACACCCTATAGACAAGGTGAATGCGTATTCAGTCGATTTGTTCTGGCTGAAATTAGCCGTTCGTGTAATTACTGTTTATCCAACAAATAGTCAATGTTAGAGAGAAGAAAAACATCGAGACACTTTGAAAGCTTTGCTTCAATGCCTAAGGATCATTCGCGACTGAGGTAAAGGTTTATTAAGATTATTCAGTCGCGGTTTGATTGAGCAAACATCAACTATGCAACTGGGTGTTATAAATACTTCTCCGTCTATTGCTTACACATGAGGTACGTTACGTGACTGAAGGTCACCTCCTTCGCGCAAAAGATCCACTAAGTGGGCACCGGTCCACCAGAGATCATCCAAGTTGGCGAGGAGCCTGGTAAATGCCTGTAGATCTCCATGCAGAAGAGAAAGCACCAGCTGGCTTAAAGAATCTCCGCTGAAAAAGTCCTTACTGGCTAAAACCTGCCGAAACAAAAAATAAATATAAGAGCAGGGTGAATTTCCCATTGCAGTTTTTACGAACCTAGGTAGCAGTAAGATGCTTGGGACAGGTCAGTGGTCGATCGGACAGATCATAGGCGTGTCCAAGGGGTACGCACCTCATCAGCAAGTTTGGCAAGGTCTGCCACTTTGAGTAATGGCTGTGAGTATGCTGCTTTCGTAACAACAAACTGAAACCACGAATCACATAGGTCTTTTCGACGATCAAATTCCTGAGGGCTTCCATATAGGAGTCGGCATACCGAATAAAATCGCGGTTCATCCTGAAAGCGTTCTCCTTGAACAAGTTGACGGACAGTTTCCTACGCAGCACAAACAGTATAAATAAAAGAAATAATTTTTACTAAGATAATAATGACATTAATACCACGTAGGCAGTGATATATATATAATAAGATGATAACGAAGGTGAAAAATTATTTTCACTAATTCTGACACCGACCTGCCACTCGTTCCATTTGGTTAGAAACTCCATGTAAACGTCCTGCCCGAATAGTGGCATCGACAGAAGTATTTGCGTCATGAGCACGAAGTCTTCGGTATCGCCTGATCCGTGGCTGCGTAACATTGAGCAAGCGTCCTCGATTTGACCTGGAAGTCGGATAGTAGAAGACGAAATTGTGATCTATTTACAGTTATATTGGTGTTTCTTAAAGTGGATTTTCATAATAACCTTAATCCAGCGCAGAATTTCTAGTGGACAGCAATAATTTGACTACACATGAGGGAAGGCTCTCTTGTTCAGCTGGTACCTGATTATCTGCAGTAAACGGCTATAAGCACATGTTTTGTTTACCAAGCATAACTAAAGTTGTAAAGTTATCCCAGAAGCTTTCATCATTGCCATCATCGCCAGGAACTGCTTTCGGGGATCGCTTGCCAGCCGGTGAAGAACTCCATGCCGCTGCCCACTGTTGAAGCTGCTACACTCCATAAAAGCAGCGATGAATATTAAGTTAATCAACCAATATATTATGCACGGACACGTGTTCTTATATTCTAGCCGAAGCAGGCCACTGTTAAATTGCTACCCCTAACAAATACATCAAAGGATCATCATTGTTATACATTATCTTTCATTAATGAATGATAACAGACAATATGATTCTAGTAGTGTTAATATATATATATATGTAATAATAAAAATAATAATACAACAACATAAAACATCTGCAAAAACATCAATCTGCCCAATCAAGTCTGTTCAGTTAGTCCAACCTGAATTAGTACTCCTGGTGCTGGCTGGGGATCTAAAATCAAAATCTCGCATAGATGCCAGACGCTTTCAACGGCACGGAATACGTGCGGTGGGGCCCCTTCGCTTGCTCGAGACTCATTTAACTGTGCTAAAGCAGAACGGTACAATTTTGAGAATCGCGAGATCAGCTGACGCCTACAGGGCATAAATAAATAAAAAAGAAAAAGAGAAATCCATAATTAATAACTATAAGAAAAATTAATTCACCCGCAAAAAACAATCATCAACGCTAGAGCTTCATAGAAAAGCCAGTTTAAGTGAAAACTGACTTTAGGAATACATTTATTTACGTTTAGTTAACAAGTGCCTTTTCGTTATCACGACTACCGCTAATGACAAAGAAGACATTCCGGTCTACCAGAAAGACAATAGGCCTTTTTGAGTTTCAAATAACCCCGTATGCATATACCTATAAAATCATCAACCCAAAAAACATGTACTCACTTATCGCCTTTTTCTTCTAGAGACGTTTTAAATGCTATATATACACCTGCGGTATGTGCGATAAACATTCGAAGTGGGCCATCAATACGACTGCTGACAAAACTGAGCGTATGGATTGGTCGCGAACGCTCGCTACCTTCGTTGGGTGAAGTTACAACAACATCGAGGGCTCCTGCCAATGCCACAAGAGGGGCAGCCCCCTGTGTAGCCATCTTTTTACGTAAACGAGTAGTACTTTCTGGCTGGAAGGTGGTATTTTCCTGTTATTAGCGTTAATAGCGTATAAAGCTATGATGTGGTAAAAATAGCGTAAAAATCTTGACAATTTCGCCAGCATAAGCTCGAAGAAGTCTTTATAATAAGTTGTATGTAAGGTATATTATAAAGTAGGAATGTAGGAGATCTTGCGCTAAAAATGAATTTTCAACACAATTCCACTAAAACAACCATCTGACTTTTGCTACTGAAAACCTCTTATTCAAACTAAACTAAAATCGAGCACGCGGACTGGATCTCACTGTACTGTTTACAACTCCCAGTTACTGTGTACTTTAAATAGCTATGTAGCTACTTTTGCGTTTAATATTATAGGTTTAAGCGAAGCTATAAGCGAATAAATGATGATGATTTATAATATCGATTACGGTTTAAATATGGGGTACCGGACACATGTTTTTCTGGCTATTTATTTTGACGAAACAAAGTTGAAATATTTGTATTGCATACTCAAAATAGCGTTATACTTTTGCTACTAAAACCCACATAACATTATTGTGTGTTCCTAAAAACGGATTATGCAACCGAACAATTTATTATTAGAATAGTTATACATCACTAACTCGACTGGTAACCAAACCTAAAAATTCTATATACGTGACACTTGCATCTATTATGCCGTAGTGCCATGTATAAGCTCCTAATTTCGGCAATATCACATCACGTCTCGAAGAAACCACTGACGTTATTTATCGTCAACAGCAAATCACTGCTTGATATCTATGTCTGCTTAAGTTAAGAAAAAATGACGAAATAAAATTTGATCGAGAGTAATCTCATACAAAATGGCAATGAGCAACGATAAACGGAATCTAGTAATGGAACTAATACGAAACATATTAATTGACGGCGAATACGCTCGAGTTACAAAAAAATATTTCATGACGAGGCGTACAGCTTCTTTTACAATCCTATTAATAATATAAATACGTGCATATATACACATCCCACACCTTAAAATCGCGCCAAATCAACAAACAAGAATTCGTCTCTAAGCGTTGTCATCCACTGGGCAAGCGAACTCCCTTCGCTCTAAGCAAAAAAAAAACGACACACAAAGGTATCGTCGCTCGAGTACGCAATTCGATGACTATGAATTAACCACTAGAGAAATATGAACAAAATGCACTCACAGACGGTCAAACAAGTTATTAATGAGGCAAACTAAATACACGTTTCACCCGCTTTTGCAACTTTTCGAGCGAGTTCTGGTTCGATCTTCGCCGGCATTCAACCCCACACATCTGCCAGGCAACACTCACGTGTCTTCGATGCATTGGTTTCATCGAGCTTTTGCGGTGGTTAGAATTTAGACGACAGACGTCAGCAGTTTACAGGCGCAACTGTCACTATCCGTTAGGTTCTTAATTTTAACAAAGCAAGAAATCGACGGAACTCGACCGGCTGTAGCAGACGGCCAGTCCATTCAGTCGATCTTTGCTGATTCGTGTGGCGTTGCCTGGGCTCATTCTGTTTATATTTGATGTCCTATACAAGACACTTTCGAAACCCCGCTACGAAATCACATACAGTGCCCCGGCTATCTATATAGAGAAGCCTCTTATTCTGCGCCTGAATGGCCGTGTGTCTGTGTGTGTCACAGGGCAGTTTTGTCAGTTTAAATGTCTTGATTGTCTAGGGAAGCTAGTAACACCGGTTCAATTCAACTTGTCGTCGTGCTGCTGCTGCTGCTGCTGCCGCATCCGTCGTCGCTACCGGTGCTCGGGTTTATGTTCCCTTATCGTCGAACGCGGTAGACTCCGTTCGTTCCTACGCTGCTGAGTGCCGGCCGTGCTGCGTCCAGCGGCAGTGGCCACTGGAGCGCTCGCGACCAATGCCACGGTGACTCCGATACTTGTTGGCTTCCACCTCGACTCCCTCCGCCCTGAGGGGCTGTTGTGGTTCAACATCTTAATGGTGGTGATTCGATGACAAGCCTACAGTGAAGGCAGCTGGAGTTTACGCTGTATCGTTTTACGATTCGTTTGTGTTGGGACACCCTGGTGGTGACGACCACGGACCGTGCGATTTGTGTAGTTTCATTTCGTTGTATGCCTTTCTTTCTAGCCGTGAGTTCGATCTCGGTCACCGCCCTAAAGCCTGGTGCCTTTCTGGCGTTTTTAAGAATCCGATCTTTTCGACATCTACCACATGCTGTTGGGCAAACTGGGTTTGAGCAGTTGTACGCATTTACAACTGTCGACCACTAATCTTTAAACAGCGCCATAATAGTAATCTCAGCTGATGAGAAAGTGAGTGTCTTTACAATGCCGCGGAAAATAGCGGCATTGAGTTTTGTGTGTATATAATATAGCAGTGTTAGAGTTCTTAATGTGTGGAAGCTGAGTTAACTAAGTACAAGGAAAGCGGGTCAAAAACGACGCATTTTAAAAGAGCGCGAAGGCTTCAAACAGACAAAGTTATCCACGAGAAGCGCAATTACGTGAGAGATTGATTCGAGTACATTTGAAAATAGCATCCGAATTAATCGGATATCGGATAGTTCGCGTTTACGGAAGCTCTTGTTCATCTTTCCCTGCCGACGCATCAGGTAATCTATTGAACTGCATAGTGCGATTAAGTGTTCTTGTAAAGAGCCAATTATGGGAAGGTGTTATAGGGTGAGCGTCCGTTATCGCTTGTTATTATTACTACACCTCTTTACGGCCTTCGAAATCTGATCCCGGCAAGCAAGCCTTCACCCATTGCTACTTGGTCCCTATATAGAACCTCGGAAACAACTAAACGTAAATAACTACCTGCTTATTCAATTGATTGATAAAAATCTGGCTGATGATGGAATGGATCTATGTTATGCTCGGAAACGCGCGTGCGTATGAAAAGAAATAATACGCTATCGGAAAGTAATAAGTCTAAAGCAATCGGCTTGGATTAGAAGTATTTCGAAAGTGAAAATAACTCTTTGGAGGATGCATTTGTAGACACACGATGGGAAATATTTTCGGTATCTTGATCAGTTTGTGATTCAGTTAGCAATGCGACGAAGTCTATAAACAGGCAACCTAAGTTTTCTAACAAATATATAGTTGTTGTGTTGAGTAATGTTGTAAAATAAATACGTGAAATACTTAAACTGAGTATCGCAATAATATTTGTGCTATATCACGGTTGAAAAACGTGATCTTGACTCAAGTACTATCAGTTTTTAAGCAAATTTTTCTAATCTAGTCGAAATCCTAATTTAATCCATACTCGCTTTCGGCAACCTTTAAACCGGTTTGTCAGAACCCGATCATTAACAACAAACTGTTTAATCTTTAGAAACTTTTTTTTTAATTAGAGGACAACCTTCTGAAAAAAATGTCGGGTGAATCGGCGCCATAAATCGAAAAAACCTAACGAATGTATTTATAATTTATGATTTAGTTTATAATAACGTTTGCATTAATTAGCGGCCAACTGACCAACTCAGTTACATGATTTCCATGACGGTTAATACTCTCATTATCAACCATTTCTTTGAGTTTTTCAACATGTCGTTACGTAAAGCAGGAGTTGATGCTAAAAAGGAAGCGTTTTGACATTGCATTATATTGAACCGAAGGTATGCTTTGATTGAAAAATAGTGAATTCTACAAAGCGGAAAATTCTTTATAATTCTTTATAATACATGGTCTTTTTTGGAGCGTGACTGTTCTCGATAGATTTACTACATTCAAAGCTTATACCAATATACGTAGTAGGTATCTCTCCCAAACGGTCATTACATATAAATAGTGACGACTGATTTGTGATATTAGAGGCGCCTTGCTGTTACACAAGGATAGCCACGTTGTATTATTAATTATGGCCTCTTTCTTAAATTCTCAAGAAGGGGCCGGGCAAAGCTTTGCAGGATATTATTGCCTGATCTCTAGTGTAGTGGTTTCTTTTTAAAGAAAATATAATACCTATGCTCATACATAAGTAATTCAAATTTTCAGGTAAAATAATCCAGACGGGCTGGTAGTGAATTTTTCTACCTCCCCACTATATATCATCAACTATGGTGGTTGGTGAGAAGTGCAGCGGAGCGAGTTGGGGCTCCGACGTTGTGCTTCTCGTAGAGGCAACTGCCAACCTATTTCCATACGTGGAAAGTATTAAGACCAATTATATTGTCCCGACGCTTGAGTTCTTCAACGGTGCACCAGCTGATGACAGGTACGGTTTTAAAAACGCTGCATTTAGAGTGTATCTTAACGTTATCTTAATCCTATTTGAGTCAGATTGTGTGCGAAAACACTGTTTACTTACAAGTTATCTTAATGGTAAATGCCTTTCGAAACAGATGGTGTCCAGCAATGTCTACTGAACAAGACGTACATATTTAATAGTATAACGAGTCAGTTATACTTGTGCGCTTTGATATGTAGCATTTCTAATGCGGGTTCCTATTTGAACCATGTTTTCAGGGACTTTGGTTACGATTCAATCAGCAACTGTTCTTACACGTTGTTAGCATTTACGGCTGCCGATTCGGCACCGGAACCAGCATGCGTAACGGTAACACCTCCGACTTCGTCAATAGGCAAGGTTCTAGCGGCGTTCGACAAATTGCTCTTTGGAGGTGGCGCTGCCGAACAGTGTTCGCACATTGGGGAGGCACTAGCAACTGCGCTGCAGGTATTCGATGACCTTGCAGCTTGCAAGGGCCCACCGTCGAAGGAAGGTTCCCGACACTGCATTCTTGTATGCAATTCCCCTCCGTACCAACTGCCAGTTCTTGAAACTGTCGGCTTTCAGGGCCAGACCCTCGAGCAGCTGGCAGCAAAAATGGCGGAGAGATCTATTCAGCTAAGCATTGTGTGTCCGCGCAAGATACCGCAGCTCTGCAAGCTCTTTGAGAAGGCCGGCGGGGATTTAATGGGGACGTTGGCTAAGAACTATGCCAAGGACAAGCGACATCTTGTGCTTCCGAGCGGGTTCACGCTGGCTGAACGGCCTGTCACTCCGCCGCCAGAAACGAAATTCGCCCCTGCTTCACCCCGTAGTCCAGCCCCGGGTCAAAAGCGACCTGCACCACCGGGAAGCTCGCCCCCACGAGAGACGAAAATTTTCAAACAACCCGGTAACGTGCCTTCTCCCGTTGGTGCACAAGGTTAGTGTATGCAGCGCGATTCGTAAAATTGCATTTGTACCACGCACTGTGCATTATTCATAAAAATCCTTACACTGAAGAGTTCTAAAAATGGAATTGAAGGTCTCAAAAAGATAAGTATACGTTTCGTAACAGCGACCTTTCACAATGACTGCTTTCCGTTACCCTTTGCAAAGTGTGTGTGTTTGCGCTAACAACTGTGACCAAATTTTCGCTAATCAACTATTATAGGTTGCACTTATAATGCAGCATAATATAGCTGTATATAAATATTGACTCCGCCTCTAGTATTACGAAGTCGCACTTATTGATGACGTCTTTTATTTATAAATTATGAGCTCGACACCAAAATTCGAGTAGACTCATGGAATAGTCGTAATGAGGCATCAATGTACTTTCAGGTCCGCAATCTGTGGGGCCTCCGGGCACAAATGTACAACGAGGTCAAGCACCGACACCGCCAATGAATCCGATGGTGCAAATGAACCAGGCGAACCCGCCGAACGTTAATATTCGCCAGTTCAACGCGGATGTTCGTAGCCCTGGCGGTGGTCGTCTTCCTCCCGGAGCACCAGTTGGTCCCGTGGTCCCGGGCGGTGTGGGGGCTCCGCACTGGAACAATGCGTCACCACCAGTATCAACACCTTCACCCTCAGGACCCACTGGGAACATGTCCTTACTTCAGAGTCAGCTTAGCACGGCTCCCATGCGACCACAAAATCCCACTCCGCAAGGGCAGTTCCCGCAATTCCGACCGAGAATGGTCGGCCCCCCTGGGCCTATGCCAGGGCCAGGTCAACAGGGCAATCAAGGTTCACCTGGTGTTACTTATAATCAACAGCAACAACAACAACAACAGCAACAACAACAGCAGCAGCAGCAGCAACAACAGATCATGAATCAAGGACCTCAAGGTGGAATGATTGGGCCTGGTCCAGGAGCTCCTATAATGAATCAAGGAAGTGTACCACCAAACCAAGTTAACCCCAACCAAGGTCCCATGAGTAATCAGAACCCCAGTATGATGGGTAAGCTGATTTCAACCGTATATGTACGCTTGCACGAGATCGACGATTTTCAGTTTTTTTTTATTTCTATTTGTTTACACCTGATGTACAGTTCAAGATTAGAACACATGTCTACTCGTTTATAAAACCACTAACTTAGTGCTCCACATTTTGTGAATATCCTGATAAAAATTCTGTTAGATGAGGGTATTTCAGCTAACACATACTTTTTTGGAGCGATTTACGTTACTTGTGAAGTTAGTAAAATCGAGTTCCTTTCTATATAGGCAAATCAGCAGCAATGAAGCCTCGCCCGACCCAAAAATTCGATGTAAAGCTTTGAGTGTCCTGTCTATCATAGCATTAAAAAGACTGATTTCTGAAATAGATGATTTACGTTTGAAGCGGATTATCCTCCGCAAGGGCTTTCGTAAAGACCACAATTACAAGCAGAAATCAGAGCTCATTAAGGGAACAATAAATGTAAATTGAGTTGTTTCTGCGTTTATTTCAAAGCCCGTACATTGGTCATAATATATAAGTAAGGGCTATTTGCTGACTTTTTATTTAGTACTACAAAACTTCATTCTGGCCATTTTATATTTCCGCATAGTTGCATAACCATTTAAATTAGTATCCGTGCACTGCACACACGTATTCATACTAGCCGAAGTCGACAGCTCAACATATTAGTGTTGTTAAATCCCTGTTTGTACGGCGATGTGCATTTCAGGGCCGAATCAGGGTGCTATACCAGGGCCAGGACCCATGCCTGGACAACAATCCGCTCCTGTGCAAAGGCGCATCATTTGGCGAGGCGATATCGAATACCACGATCGTGTGTCTAATCCTCAGCAACGGGTTCAATACAAATTGAACTGTGTTATTGCTTCTCAGGTTAACAACGTTTTACTAGTAAATAAAACACCTATCTAAGAAAATCTTTAAGGCGCTGAAAAAAAATCTTCAGTCAAATTATTTTTTACTTTCAGGATCTTACTAAGATTGAACCAGCTAGAATTTTTGCTATGTCCTTTAGTAATTACTCTTTACCTGTAGCTGGTTTTTTCTGTTTAATTTCGGTAAGCTGGTACAGCTAATTATATCATATCTAACCACATTACCTTTATTATCTTTTGATGACCACTTTTGGGGTGTAGGTAAACCAGGCGACAAAACAGCCGGAGGTGAATGCGGGAACGTGGCCCGACAAAATGCAGCTCCAGCTGCTTCCTCGGGTACTACTCATGAACGTCATGCCAAACATTAAGAACGCCGCCCGCTGTGTCTATCTTAATTTCCAGACTCAGGACCTCAGTCAGCCGGGCAACCCGCAGTTGGCTTCGGAACAGGCTCTGCAAAATCTCTGCAGATTAATGAGTCACAATAGCGGCTTTCTCGGTTTTATTCATCTCACGCCGCCTTGCGAAATCAAAGTGATGATCGTCGTGTATATGGCGGAATCGAACACGTTTATTGCCCTTATAGCGAACGAACAGGAGATGCTCCTTAACTCTATCAAGCAGGTGTTTGAGCATCACAAGAAGGCGCAACAGCAGCAGCAGCAACAACAGCAAAAGAATAAAATGCTGATGCAAGGCCAACAGGGACCTTCGGGTCATGCGATGCCTGGAGGCCCTCAAGGAGCACCGATGACCAACATGGCCCAGCAAGGCCCTCCAATGACAATGGGTCAACAGATGGCTAGCCAAATGAGCCAACAAATGGGTGCACAGCATGATGGGCCAAGACCTGGCATGATGCAGCAGGGCCCCATGGGGCCAATAGGAGTTCAAGGGCATGTAGGTGGTCAGATGGCTAGTCAGATCGGTACCCCTATAGGGCAACAAATTGGCATGGCTGGCGGTCCACATCCGCCTAACCATATGGCCCAACGGCAGATGGGTATAACGTCACAGGGCGGCATGGGCAATCCACAACAACCAAACGTTGCCATGAATGCTCAAGGCTTAGGACAACCTAATGGACCAATGGGAGGACCAATGGGCATGGGGGGTTCGGGTCCCCATATGATGGGTAGTAACGTTCCGCAAGGAGGCATGATGGGTCCTGGACCTAACGGGCCTGGTGGACCGCAGGGGCAAGGGCCTGGTGGTCCTGGCCAGCCCGGCGCGGACTTTGTCTCAATGGACGAGCGTAAGCAGAATCTAATAAAGATCCAACAACTACAGCAGAACCTCGAGGCGGCACAGCAAAAAGAGTTGCAATATAAACAACAGCAAATGCCTGGCCAGGGGCCGGTCGGAGCTGTTGGCGGGCTGGGCGGTATGATGGGTCCCCAGGGAGGCCCTAGGCCAATAGGTCCAGGACCTCAGATGCGAAGCATGGCACCGCAAGGAAATCATAATCCTCAGCTCAAGCATCTTTTACAGCATTCAGTCCAGGCTCAGCAAATGCGCGTACAAGGACCCCAGGGAATGATGCAAGCAGGTCCGCAAGGGCCACAAAGTGCGCCACAAATGTACGCCCAGCAAACTCAAAACCAGTATATGCCACCTGGCGGTTATAACCAACAATTCTAATTAATGACGAGAAACAAACGGCGACGAAATGAAAGATGAGCATACATTTTGCGGGCGGACAGAAAAATAGACCAGAGATCGACAAATGTAAATCAATCGTTTTAGAAAATATACACCGACAGACACTATTCATGTACGAAATACTGTGATCGACTGGGAACGGTAAGAGAAAAAGTAAGCGCTCTGCGCTCGTTGACATAGACCTTGTAAATTTCTCCAATTTTTAGGGGTTATTATAAATGATTATATAGAGTCTGCATAAAGCATACACCAGTCCCTCCTATTCAAAGGAAAATTGTTTATGGAAAAATGTACTTGTTAAAAGTGGGGTAACTCACACACATATCCGCACAGTTATAGTATTAAATAACAATTCGTTGCGCAGTATAGAATATTCTGTAGTTCTATAGTTTGTGGGCCGCGGTATGTGTGCGTTCTTTTGGTAGGAACGCATGGGCGGGATATATTGTAAATTTCAACGAAACTATATTTATTAAATTAGCAGAAATTGAGAAAAAAGGGTTATTAGTTCGCTTCGTATATATCACATATATAGAGAGAACAATTTCTGTACTGAGTCTACTGTGAAAATTTGAATCGACTTTTCTTGCATGTTGACAGTGACCATTGTATCATAGCGGCTTACATAGGTACCCAGGTGACAAAAAAGGAGGAGAAAATAAAAAACTGTAAAGGTGTCACTCACCTCTCCCTGCATACGTTGTACCGTTTCACAGAGATTTTACGTCGCGAGTGAGTACTATCGCGGCACGTGAAGTAAAGGAACTTAAATATTGAATTACCAACAAAAATCTTTTTTTTACTTTTAACAAATGTTGAGCAAACTAGAAACCTACACGATTTGTCCTGGCAGATCGCAATGCACGTATTCTGTCGCCAGAAATTAAAATCAGCTTTGTGAAATATCTACAATCGATTTCGCAAAACAAATCAAATAGACAAGTCAATGATAAGCAAGTCTATTTTTATACTATGTTTTGAAATTAAAGTCCATTCAACACAGTTTTGCTCTTTTTAAGAAAATAATGATATATTCGACGTAAGTAGATGATATGACCTAAGCTTCAAAACGACATATAAAAATAATCACTTCTTTTTCACTTCTAAATCTGATCTATTTGACAAGAAGAGACGTCATATTCCTTAACATATAAACAGTAACCTATGCGACACGATAAATATCATCTTCAGAAAAGTCAGAGACACGGTCGTACTGTTCCCTAGCTGGGCCAGTTCTTGCCGAATTTTTTTTATCGTGATGCTGTGTAAGCTAAGGTACTAAATAAAAAATCCCTGGTTTGTACTGAAGTAAGCAGAATTTTGACTATATTTAAAAGGCTCGCTAAAAGAATTTCAAAGTACATATTCAAAGACTGCGAAGTGGTGATCACTTAAAGATCGAAGGATACGTCTGTGGAAATAAATATCAAGGTAATATTAATCTTCGAGATAGATAATGTACAACTGTAAAGTAGTAGTGATTTCAAACTTAATGGACCGTTTCATAGAATGCTTGATCAGGCAAACAAATGTTCTGATGTATCGTGCTATAAAAGATTTCCTATACTCACAATAATATTCAATATGAATGTTTTGTATGTCAATGTGTTTGTCTACGTACATAACTTCTATGTACGCAACGACACTGCATTGGATTTCAGCTGGCTGATGTAATAGTAAACTGAATGACTTCAAAAACCCGATCGGTTCTATTGGGCAAATACCCGAAGCCTTTGAGAACTGAAATATTTCTGACATCTGTTTTGTAATTAAACGCTTCACAATTAAGCCGATTATTGTATGTTTGACTACTAGTACTATTAAGTTTTGCTTCAATTATAAGTAGTATCGTTAGCTATACAATGAGGTATTTATTACACTTTGATGATAAATGTGACTCTTTTTGGATATGTTAGAGACAGGCTTAACACAGGTGGAGAAAATAAATGATTTCAAGGAAATAATAATTTACTTCTATTAGGAAATATGTGGCCTTTAAACTAATATTCGTTCAATGTGTATAAAAAAATGAGCTTATATTCATACGAAGCTCTTCTCTTTATTACTATTATTAATTACAATATTAAATGGTTATGATGTTGCTCAGCCCGCCCCAAACCCAGAGAAGACATGGATATCACAGCCCGCTATACTCCCTGCGGCCCCTATAATCACCGTGCTTCTGTAATCCATAGGGAGGAGTCTGCTGGAGTTCGCCCTTTCCACAGCCGCTCCGGGCACCGTAGTACGGTTCAGCCCTACAGATATCAACAATAACAAACCTACGACGGCAAATTCCTCTCGCCTGTTCCCTGCCAGACCCCCCCCCTTCCTTAAAGGGCCGTCCGCCAATAGACGTGTGACCGTGGCAGCTGCATAAAGTTGCCCAGCGGCAAACCATCGGGATACGCAACAATATTCTAAACTGCTTTCTGTAGAATTCATACTGATGCCAATATTGTAGCAACCGACAGACGGTAATCCCGCGGCACAATTTCTAATCAGGCCAAAACGACCAGGACAACATCGAAGACGATAAAAAAAAGATCGCACGGAAAATGGTAGAGTGATCGACAGAATAGTATCAAGCAAACGAATGACATAGCAATAATATACGCGAAAGCCTAGAAAAAAAAGAGAGCATACCAAATCGAAGCTGAAATGGAATACTGATAGAAAAGTGCGAAAACTACGACTGTTTGATTCACGCGCGAATTTACCGAGACAGAGCAGGTAAGAGTCAGTTTTTTAGTTTTTAGGGGAAGATGCATTATACTAAAGAAATTGCTATCTTCGGTAACTATGTGTAACAGTGTATGCGCTACTGAAAATTCAAACACTTAAAACTGGAGCGGAGTTGGGCGTTTCTGTTTCTTGTGCAATTAGCTAGGCCCAACAGTTCAAACGCTGTGGATAATTAATGTAAGTTGAAATAATTGCAGATTTTTAGTGTTGCTTTACCTTACAGCAGTGACACTGTAATTTTGTTTGTATGTAAACGCGTTGTTCCGTAGGCTGGTAAGCCCATTCGAATGTCGAATTCCTAAAGAAGTTAGGTAGGGATGTTTCCAGTGAACTTTTCAGTGGTACATGCTTGGACGTCGTTACTTACATTTCTTTTGTTGTATCTATGGCTGTTATTTTAGAGAACGCCATCTACTTAATACAGTACAATTGAAGAACAAACAAGGTTCGTGCAAATTTGGGTACAAAGTCATATACAATAGCAAAAGAAGGTTTCTATTATTACGTCCAGTACTGCCATTAAGAATTGCTTTAAACTCTAACGCTGAACAGATGCCTGTCTCTTAGAGGGCCACTATATAAATACGATTCGTGTCAAGCTTTTGAGAGCGTTTTTCCGTTACCATCAGAGTACTGGATGTAAGATAAATTTGTTTTTCGAGCCATAAATTACCTGTATGGGCGACGGCAAACTAAATCTAGCGTGTCCCTATTAACCCTGTTGAGCATACTATCAGTTGTCGTTTTCTTGCAGAAAAACATGTTAGGCCTCATGTTGAAGGTGTTGCTGTGGCATATTATCTTAGTGGTAGCCATTGCAGTCTATCCATGGAGCATCGAATTTTCTCCCACGCCATACGAAGTCACCATCCAGCCATTGGAGGGCGGACTTAGTCAGAATACCCTTTTGGAATCAGTGGAATTCCTTCATCGTGGAAAGTTTCTCGGTCCAGAGAGCCTCGATATTTTCGGGGAAACCATCTACACAGGCGTGTATGGCGGTTACATACTAGCCATAGGAGGAACAGGAATCCACAAGATCACCCGTATAGGTAGAGAGTGCAACGGTCTGTACGACCAGGAACTTTGCGGACGGATACTCGGTTTACGGGTTAATTATGATGGAACTAAGTTATTGGTTGCCGATGCCTATCACGGCATATATATGGTGGACACGGAGAGCGGAGATTCCAGCCTGATCATACCTCGGGGTGTGTCTGTCGAAGGCAAAAAGCTCCAACTTTTTAACGATATTGTGAGTGATTCCAAAGGTGTCATCTACTTCACTGAAAGTTCAAACAAATACCCCCTATACAAGATTGTGTGGGCAATTATGGAACACGATGCGTCTGGCCGAGTGATGGCTTACGACCCGGTGAAACGCGACATGCGTGTTCTTCTTGATGGTCTTGTTTGCCCGAATGGTATTCAACTGACACATGATGGGAAAGCATTGCTGGTGTCGGAGACTGGAAACTTTCGTATTCTTCGATACTACCTCGAAGGTGAGAAGAAGGGCACATACGACGTGTTCGCTCAAAATCTGCCAGGAGAGCCTGACAATATCCGAAAGTCTCTGTCGGGAGGCTATTGGGTGGCATTTGTCAATGGCCGAAGCCAACGAACCCTTTTCGATTTACTTGCTCGCTATCCATTCGTTAAACTGGGTCTGATCCGGTTAACGCACGCGGTCGGCGCAGCTGTCCATGTCCTTGCAAGTCTCTGGAACAGCACTGGTCTATACGAGCTAGCTGCATACTTCAGTAACGGCTGGGTATTCTACGATCAGATACCAAAATACGGCATGATCGTCGAATTGGACGCCACCGGAACAATCAAACGATCCCTGCACGCGTCATCTGGTCGCATTAACTTCATTTCCGAAGTGCTTGAACACGATAACTACCTCTACCTCGGCTCGTTCCGCAACGACTTCATCGGAAAAGTGAAGCTCGACTGATGATACGAGATGCGAAGTGAGCAGACCCTATGCAAAATGAAACTGCTCCAAAAGTATCTACCGCAACGACACGCCCGAGCACCGTGCAGCATGAAGCGACTCCGAAGAAGTCCCCCGCGGGTAGATATCGCCGAGGTTCGTAGAATTCTATTCAAAGGTCGTCCCTCCGGCAAAAAGGCCAAACACAATAACAGACACCATTGATACCATTTAAATGCTCCGTAGTCCACCGAACTGCGTACCCACCCTATTGATGAAAGAAGGCAAGCTAGACATAATCATTACTGGCTAATCTAATCGTAATAGAATTAAGTGCGCGTATGTGCGCTCTGTTGAAATAGGTGCACAGAAGGTAGATAATAGGACATATTAGGATAATAATCATAATTGTAATATTAATTACGATAACAATCGATTTTCCAGGTCGACGGCATATCCAAATGTTTTTCAAAGCATTATTGAACCGGTTTGCCAAAATGGATGCTAGCAGAGTATCTGTAATACATCGTCAGACAACGAAAAAGCATAAAGAGATGTAGAATTCCACTATATTGCCACACCAGTGTTGTTTAAGTTCGCAATATAGCAATATCGTCATTAACTCTACAATTAATATTCCACATATTACTACTACAGTAATGTGTGATAACATATAAGTGTATATTGCACAGTAGTATCGTTAGTAAAGCTACAATATTTACATCTCGTTTGCTTCTTCCATGCCCTTGTAAATATTCAATCCACTTATTAATTAACAATGTTGTAATACGAACGAAGTTATTTTTAATTAGCGTAAGTGAGTTAAGGAAAACGTCCGATATCATCTTCGGTCTCTGAAAGCCATTCAACAAACAGCTAAGTTGTTAAACCGCGGAACTGGTACAGCGGTAGAGCGTGTGACCTATTGTGCTGGCGATCTTTCATCTTCAGATCCATCGCGTTCTATAGATATGATAAACATATCAGAATGACGAATGTAAAGTATTCATTTTTATACAGGGCTTCCGCTGTACAATTAGTAATACTTATCTATGAACATGCTTATCTATAAACCAAGTTTACTTATATATTTAATAATGGAGTGTGGGTAAAGTGGATGGTGTTCGCTTTTTTTGATCATCGCAGTTTAGCTACCTACGATGTCCAATATATTTTTACTGATAATCAGAATGTTTCTTGCCTTTACAAAACAAAAAGTTGGGAATTATTGAAAATGCTCTTTTGTGTTTTCGTATGATATATCGATATGAGATTCTAAAAAATATGCAGATGACACGAGCTCAGAGGATCGACGAAAGCAGGTTTAGCACAATCAATATTATATTAAACGATTTTTTATACGTCTTTCATACCTGAATACCATTGTACTATCCACACGTGATTCCCCGTTCACTTTGATTCCACTTCCTGGGCATACTCATGGATTTTTTTTGACTCAAAACAAGTTTACGGAGTGTAACAGAGTTATGGTTTACACGACTTCCTCCAGTATTCTAAGTTCCTTCGGCTCAATACTGTACTCTTTGATTTCAATATATTTCCCACAAAAAAAAGCTGTTTAAATTTTCTAGATTCGATTTTATACTTTTGTTTTAGCTTAGCACATCCAACTCATCGATTTTGAAATACGATGCGTTTCTGATTAAGCCTGTAGCTAGACGGATTAACGTTTTGAAAAAACGACAGTCAGGTCTTTAAAAGTACAGAAAACCAGAAAAAGAAGGAAGAACAATACCAAATGATACTATGAAGTAATTGAACGGAACGCACTATTGCTATATATATATGCTCATCTTACCGCAAACTGTTGCTTTGAAATGGGTTGTGTGGTATTGTGCCTATGAGCTGCGTTCCTTCAAAAACGCGTAGCAAAGAACAATAACCGAAATCGATCGATTAGCTTAAAGTGCATCTTAACAAAGTCAAGAATGTATCAAAACTTGTAGTGACTTGACACCGGGATTATTAGGGGACATTAGGAAAAAGATGACCACGTTCATGTACAACCACAATAAGTCGTCCCAACCACTGGGTTTCGAATCGTATTACAGGCCTTTAAGGCCCTCATACACGCCCAAGCCCGGGCGAAAAGATGTGCCTAAACCGAATTTCAGTACTGACACGAAATGCCTCGTCCAAAAAAGAAAAATGCATCAAGCTTATTCAAAACCTTTGTCCGTGCCGAATGTTACCCTTTTCTAGACTTCCTAGAAGTCTACCAAGTGCCGACCTTACAGAAAGTCTCCTATAAATTTGAAAACATGAACCAATTTTAATGACGGTGATAAAGACGAACGTGGTTGTTTGACACTTTGCAAAGTTTTCGCTATCTTTTACTTTTTAATTATGCATCCTCTTTACTCCGTACTCATTTCGTGCAGTATTTAGTCACATTCTAAGTATTTACTACTAAAGCGATTGTAAACTAGAACAGCTAATTGCTGGGAAGATCTACATTAAGCGACATTTTGTTGTGTGGCAAACTACTGAATTCTGTGAGCGGTTAATGAGGAAAATTTAATGACGAGAAACTTTTCCACAATCGCGCGACCGCGAAAGCATTAATAGATTTCGTGTAGATGACCTTGCGAAGAAAAAATATAAATTACTAACGGGTCCACTAACTGCACGAAAACGACATACATTTTATTTATGTATAATAAAGCTGAAATCTGTGAATTTCCAATAAATGTATATAATCATAAATCAGTGCTATAAAGAAACCATGCGAGTTCTTTTTCATACAATTATTTATTTCAGAGTTTCAAATATTCGCCACTTAGTTGCAAGCGTCGCCATGACGCAGTCATCTACAGTGTTCAATTATTGACGGAAAGAGCACAAAATATTGACTCTAGGTAAATTATGAGGTCTTTAGGAAAATTAAAGTGAACGTAAACACAAGTGTTGCTGACAACAGAAACTTATAAATGCACCGAAAAGACGTATTCATGCAAACATATCTATGTGAGTTTGTTGAGAGATTCTGCATCATAGAAAAATTAATAGGGCTATAAAGTAGTTCTTTCTTGCAAAACATTATTCCTCGATAAAGAGGATTTAGATAAGTTTATATGAACTATTATCATATTTATATGTGTACTACATTTTGCTATAACTGTCATTATTACAATGAAGCTTCTTTAGCAGCGTCCTATGAAACAGGTTTTCTTCTGTAGGACACATCTCTTTATCGAGACGATTTTGGTACTCCGCATGCGTGTACATATTAAAACTCCATATGCGTATATATATATCAAGTTACTCCTCAACATGATTCTATATCAAAATTCTAAATTAGAATACATTTGAGAGATCAGGTGCAAAGTAACGGTTTAGGTTCGAATCCGAGCATAGACATACTTCGTTCGTGCTGGGACCTAACCGTATCAGTAATGTCTCGTAACCAGTAAAACTCGAAACATTTAGGCGTAATGTTCGAACTAATGCACAGCTAATGATCAGAGTTGCGCCTTTGCAATGAATATTTATAAGTTGGGATTTGCAACATATTATTTGTTCTAGAAAGTAGAAATAGGCTTTTTATAAGTTTTTAGAAAGTCATTTTGGTTTTCCGGGTGCTATAAGACAGAATTCGCGTCCGCGTACCATGGAAATTGTGGTAATATGCGCATATGTAAGTTTGTGTATAAATTACTTGTGTCTGTTGCTTTTTCAAGATATGGCTTCTAAAGTCAACCTTGTATATGCTTTTGTAACGTAATGAACTCTTGTGCGAGCACCGGCTCAAATGTAATCTTTCACTTTAAATATACGCGTGCAAGCTACAACGCAGTAGCCGGAATATAATCGCATATAATGCAACGTCTTACGAACTAAACCCCAATTAATTTAATGTTTTCTCACCCACATTCAGTTTTACTATAAATTGCATTCTAGTTAATAAAACATTGTGTGCAGAAAAATTATACCCAAAATACGATTTGCACCGTTTATCAGTCGCTCACGGTTAATTGGCTTAAATAGACTACATTAATATTAATTAATGTGGACTGTCTGTGTCGAGTATATGCGTCCACATTGAGTGCACACACATATATATATATATACATTAATATTCGCATTATCGTTTGCTCTTTTCCTAGCTCTGAGCTAGGCGTCTCGCGTATTTTGTCGTTAGATAGCCTGCACAAGCGACCGAGGCTGTGACAACATCAACAATTGTATCTCAGAATGGCGGCTCATCTGTAGTCGCAGATTGCTTCTATTTTTGTTCCGTCAAGTCACAATAGAGCCTGCTATCCAAGTGGTACGGCGGCATATTTTCGAAAATTTGAACATCACTTTTTACGCCATTGTCTTCAAAGCTTGCGATATCGTCGCGACGTATACATTTTATAATAGCTGTGATTCGTTTCATTAAGGTGGTCCGGGCATTCGCAAGTTTTTAATTTCAAATAAGTTGACGGTTCGAAAAAAATAAAAAATGTTTAAGACCAGTTCCTCGAAAAACCGCCCGGTCATGTCCGCCATTACGCGTTTCTCGGTCTCGGTAAGGGACGCACGTTTCTTTCGAAGCATTTGTGCATCTTTGTTCAAATTTTCAACAGTTTTGTAGTGAATCGGGCGTGTAGGAGTACGGGAGACGCCAGCTAGAAGGCCGGCGGTTAGTTCCGCATCAGGTTGAATACAGTGTGTGTGTGTGTGTGTGTGTGAGCAGGTGCCGGTGATCTAGTGCAGGGGGAAGCAACTGACCGCCCGTAGCTGGCCGTCGCGGCAAACCCAGGATTGGCCCACTTCGGATATTTACTCGACATTCGACGCAGGTACATAACCCAACAGCGTACATCTAATCAACAACAACAACAACAACAGAAAGGAGGAATGCCTCAGTGATACGCACAACTGCAGCAGAATTAGCAGGAATAACCGAAAAGATATTCATTCTTAGCAACATCATCATCGTCAGCAGCAGCAGCGAACCCAGAATTCCGAATAAAAAAAGGCCGTTTATCGATTGACTGTGCGAGCAAAAGCGCAAAGGCGAGTCGGGGCGTTAGTGAAAACATCCGCAATCTCTCCTTCTCGAGTACTTTCTCGAATCGTTTGACGTCGCATCTTCGGATATTCGCCGATCGACTATCGGTTGTGCGCTGAATTTGCATGTGAGCCTGTGTGCTACTAGCTTTTGACGTGTGGTTTCTTCGTGTTGTGACAAACTCTGGCGCATCTAAACATAGATTAAGTTAGCTGTAGGCCGTAACATCCTTGTAGGCTTGTCGTATCGCTGGTTAATATCGACACGATGTCGAATAGCTATTTCGGTTTTACGACGGGCGCCAACCAGTACGGTAATGGTACTGGTTACACAGCGGCGTCCACAGCGACGGGATATGGCCAGCCGAATCAGCAATATGGCCAGCAAATGGCACCTCAGCCACGGACACCGTACACAGGCCACCCCGGATACGAGCAACAGGCTTATCCTCAACAGGCGTACTCACAGCAGAACCAGCGCGCTTACGAGGCAGCGAAACAGCAACCACCCCAGGCCAACTATTATTCACAAAGTTATGGTCACCCTACACAAGCGGAGCCAAACTCACATTATGCTCAAACGATAGCCAAGCCGTATCAGCCATCGGCGTCAAGTTATTCAGCTCTGCGTACGGTAACCCCGGCCTCAGCGCCGGCGCCCACACCAAAAAGCTACTCGGTCTACTCGTCGCAGGCGTCCGGCTACGGCTCAACGTATCAAGCAGCTGCAGCTGCTGCGGCAGCTGCGCCGCATGCCAACAACAAACAGGTTCCACAGGCCAGCTCAAATTGGACAGCGGCTCTATATGCTGCCGCTGCTAATATCCCGTCGCAGACTGTCGCTGGCGCCAGTGGCGGAAGTGCCACGCTCAACCGAAAACCTGGTTTAGGAATTAAGCCTCGACCAAAAATGCCGCCGAAACCGCAGCAACTTCACTACTGTGAGGTGTGTAAGATCAGCTGTGCCGGTCCACAAACCTACAAGGAACATTTGGACGGTCAGAAACACAAAAAGAAAGAGGCTGCCGCCAAAACCGGAGCTCAGCAACCTGCGGAACCTGCCGCAGGCACAAGCAAGGACACCGCGGGTACATCGGCCAAGTCAGGCCGCCCTGTGTCACATGGGACGTCGCTTCGTTGTGAACTATGCGATGTGACATGCACGGGCGCTGATGCATACGCTGCTCATATTCGCGGTGCCAAGCACCAAAAGGTGGTGAAACTCCATACGAAGTTAGGAAAACCAATTCCGTCGACGGATCCCGTTATCCTTTCAGGAACCCGCGTTGCGAAAAAAGGAGATGAGGGTGGTGAGGAGAAAAAGCTCACGTTGCAAGATATCGTTGACCAGGATGTTCAGCCTGTAGGTCAGGACTATATAGAGGAACTGCGAAATAACGAGGGCAAGGTCATCTCGTTCCAGTGCAAACTATGCGATTGCAAGTTCAGCGATCCGAATGCAAAAGAGATGCACATGAAAGGTCGGCGCCATCGGCTTCAGTACAAGAAGAAGGTGAACCCCGATCTCGTAGTTGATATTAAGCCGTCGATGAGACGCGGTATGACTGGTCGACACTTTCGTGAACGCGAGGAGTTGGACTGGCTAGGTCCGCCCATGGGTCCTGACATGATGAGCATGATGTGGGCGCGACTGCGGGGAGCGCCGCCACCAATGATGATGATGATGGTACCATTCCGAAGGCCAGACACACCTGATGATCGGCATATACTTGCTAAGCACTCAAAGATCTACCCACCAGAGGAGGAGCTGGCTCGTATCCAGAAGATTGTCGGCCATACTGAGAAAGCACTGAAAGGAGTCAGTGATAAGTTGGCTGGCACACTTGAAGAAGCTCAAGAAAGCAAAACAAAAGAGGCTGCCTCCACTGGGGCTTCAAGTGCAGCGCAAAGCGGCCCGGCAGAAGGCAAAAAGGAAGAAACGGCTGCTAACCCAGCCACAGACGATGTTCCACCTCGGCAACTTCGCGGCGTCATGAGAGTGGGCTATTTGGCCAAAGGCCTGTTGCTAACCGGAGACACTGAAGTAGGCCTTGTCGTGCTCTCCGGCGACAAGCCTACGAAGAGTCTACTCCAGCGCGTAGCCGATTTCCTGCCTGAGCAGCTGGAAAAGGCTGCCCTGAGCGATAAGCCAGCTCCGTCACCTGCGGTAACCGCAGAAGGCGCCGACGGAACGACAGCCCCTGCTGAGCCTAATAAGTACACGGTAATGGCTGACCCCGATGAAGCGGCAATATATGTGCGCACAGTAAACCATACACCTCAGTTGAGCGTCAAAGTGACATTGACCTCGCCGGTTATGCGAGCTGACGACAAGGACGCGAAGACCGATCCAGCCGACGTACTCAGCCGTGAGAAGTGTCTAGCAGCATTGGCCGACCTTCGGCATGCAAAGTGGTTCCAGGCACGTGCCAGCAGTCTACAGTCCTGCGTGATGCTTGTCCGCATCTTTCGGGACCTCTGCCGCCGTCTACCAACCTGGGCGAGTATGGAGATGTGGCCATTAGAACTGCTCATCGAGAAAGTAATTGTGTCAGCGGAAATGCCCCTGCATCCTGGCGATGCCCTACGGCGAGTCCTTGAGGCTATTGCGTTCGGCATCCTGCTTCCAGGAGGAACTCCAGGACTATACGATCCCTGTGAAAAGGCACCGACAGATGCTTTAGCATCACTAAGCCCCCAGGCCCGTGAAGATATCACGGCGAGCGCACAGCACGCCTTGCGCCTGATCGCCTTCCGTCAGATCCACAAGGTACTCGGCATGGAACCGCTGCCACCACCGAAGTTCAAGCAAAACAGTCACTTCAACCGAAAGAGGCGGTTGGACAACTCGAGTGAATCAGGCGAGGCTGACGGAAAGAAGGACAAAAAGGACCAGAGTCAGGACGAAGCAAAGGCCGCTGCTGGAAGTGTTGTTCCTAAACCTACCGAAAGTTTAGAGACGTCAACCACAGGAGCCGTCTCAGCTACGCCAGCTGCATCCTCAGTTACGAATGCTGCACCGAAGTGATGCTGTAGTAGGCATTCAATTGATGAGAAGGGCCTTCGTTTTGCAACATAGAAGAAAATCAGAGAGAAGAAGAAAGTCGAAATGTATATATTACACAATATCTACTATAACAAATACACGAGTCCTAGCATCCTTACATCCATCGCACCGACAGGTCAACATCGCTACATTGGCAAAGGCCCCAACGTCAATCACAACCAAACAGCCACCAAACAAACACCCCAGATACTCCTTTTCCTTCCACTCCACACAGATTGTGACAACTCTTTATTCCTATTGATATTATTATTCTTATTATGAATATTATTATTGTTATTATATTATTATTACACTGTTTGTCCCAGCCGAGAAGGAGGTCTTCATTGTCGCCAACTTCAGGTTAAATATTTCATGCATAACTGCAAATATCTATTCGGATATAGAGAAGCATAACATCTAGACGAGACACACTATATGATATTGATATACTGAGAATTAATATTGCAATTGAACTATTGTAATTTAATGGAGATAACAATACTAATAGTATAAGATTTTTTATTGATTATTATTGTGCTGCCTGAAATGTTACTTTATTTGTTTGTATTTGATACTGAGGGACGCAGAAAGAACAATTCTTATTACATACGAAGTATGGTACTCGATCGAATTTGAATTTAATACTTTGTTTCTACTATATGCTGGTTTAACTTTTTCGTCCTTTAGGTAGCGGTTGGTAATTTTTAGCAAAAAATTCGGACGTCTCACTGTTAATTGAGCTGATACAACGATTTAGACGAGATTTTCGGATGCGTTCGCGCACGAGAGTTTCTACCTGCAGTTTTGTTTCTCTCGAATATAAATAAGTTTAGATGGGTATCAATTTTGGATGGGACCTTAGGCACAAATGCATCTTGCTCAATTGCTAGCGCGATCAGAGTGAACACCGTCTTTGGCTTTAACTTCCCTAAACAGATGATTCAGTAATAGACAACTGTTAACACGAAGAAGAATATTATTAATATTTCATTGAGGCAGTATTTATAAACAATAGTACAGTGGGTAAAGTACTGCACTTGGTTGGCTTGGAATGGACGAGGAAGTTTAGTGTCTGGATACACACTTTGGACAATTACATTAGCCTTGTGGCATCTGCTGTCCTTTCAAAAAGAGCTACTGTTTTGCAACAGGAGGATTATACATTTACACACTAATCATCATGTTGATAAGTGTCTATGCTTGACGATTTATATAATAATAGGATAGAGAATCCCTAACTACGGTGACGACAACAATAACAATGCCATAACGCAGAAAATATTGTGTGTCAAACAGCTTCAAAAATGCGAGCTCTATAGCATATAATACATATGAGATCCGCTGATCTCTTTAGAAAAAGAAAGATATACAAATAACATGATAAATGATTAGGATCAGCCGGGATCACAGAAATTGCAGCAAACGCAGCCGTGTTGAAAAGGCATACAAAACGGATATTCTCATGTGAGACTGGTAAAGTAATGAAGAAATCGTAATTACGTTGCTTCTCAATATACACACAAAAAAACTGCTACAAAACGATATGTGAATGATTCAGAACATACGATGCGAGTGTATTTGAGCAAGTGACCCGAGACCCGAACTTGCTTGTCAGGTCTTTGGAGAAGACGTGCTAAGATATGGCAAGCGAAAAACATACAACCAGAACAGTAACAGTGATTTAACGACTGCAGAAAATATGATGAGATAATGCTAAAACGTGAATCGAACCACACCACAGATACAGGAGTGAGAAAAAAAATAAGGTGGAAATACGAATAAGATAAAAATGATCGACTATATATAATTTTATATAGATATTAAGAAGATGAGTATAACAAAACAAATAAAGCTGCTGCGTCTGTCAGTTGATACCTCAAGGCAGTCTTCCTTCAGGACTTCGTTCAACTTCGATGGTCGTTAGAGCGGCAGGGGGTTAAGCGCGTGCCGGACAAGCCTTGAGAGTTTTACTCGTAGAAACAAAAAAGTCTCGAGATTTAAATAATAGTGAAAAAAAAGCCTTAGAATAATACTGAGGTAGCGAGCGTTGAAGTTCGAGCAGCCTGAAGGACGAGCGCGACCTGTTGTATACAATTGTGGCCGATGTATACACGTCAGTGTGTGTAAAATAGACAACGAAAGCGGCAGGGTGATCACACACAAAAAAGCAGTGATCAATGAGGCATCAACTAACAGAAAATAATTAACATCGCAGACAAAATTCGCACAGAACTCGACATTCATGCTCCAAATACAGGTCTCCCATTAACATTTTCCTGACACTCGTGTTAAACGTTCGCATCTAGTATTTAGTATGAAGTAATAGCACGAAGGACACCAGTAGTAAGAACGACCTTACCTCACTTCAGTAAATTTTTCAAAAATGTGTGTTGAGTAGAAGCCACATGGAATACACGTTATCATAAAGATAAACATCGTCAAATAGTTCGTCTGCATGGCAAATGTGGTGCCTAAAAGAGGCACCCATGCTGTGATCACAGGCAACGCATTACGGCGTCAAGGATAATTTGTAAGTGAGCACTCCGAAGCCGCCCTGTGTATTGGCTCAGTCTAGATTCATCTATCGGAACTTACAGGTGCCAAAAAAGTTTGCGAAACTGTGTTGGACACTGAAACGGCGCTTTAGTCAGGGCAGGTGGCTCACAGTTAATTTAGATTTTAGTCTGCAACAGGAGAAAATGGACTTACGGTTAGGAAAAGTAAGCTTTTTATTGATATAGGATTCTGCTAGAACTGTACACCGATTTTTTCCTTAGTATGACCTTATTTTTCCAAGCTGCAGACTTGTATATTGCGCTGCTATAAGCCTACTTTTGCTATTTTTTGTATTTGAGGCCTTACAAGCCAGTCGGTTTATAGCCGGCGTTTCATATCAACGAATGATAGACACTTCTAAGTGTTACGGATGCCCCTTTTGAACAATAACCCCCTTCCCCTGTAATATTTAATTCACTAACGGCCACTCGTTCCTGTTGCAAAAGCCGTTTATGCAAGTCCTTGAGGCAACCTTCAAACAAATTTCGCGCACAAACTGCGCGTCCAGTAGTTTCTATTGGCGGCATGCTCATTCCCTGCGTACGGGTTACATATGAGAAGATACCACAGACACAGATGTGTACAGACGACAACGCGCTTCCTTGGCACGGCCTTGCTTAGGAGAGACTACCTACAGGCAATTAACCGCTCTTCATTCTTATTAAGGAGAACTGTCAGGCACGCCCTTGGCCCACGCCATACGACGATAGAATTAAATATAAATTAGTTAATAGGCTACTTTTTAGTACACACCTTAAAGTAGTATCATACGGGGCAACAAATGGTATATTTAGGCGTTGTTAGTAATAATAGTAAGATCTCTGTCAATTTTTCGTTTTGCGGTAGCTTCAACGAAATTTCTTGTTCTTATTCGCACAGCATGGTTCTGTTACGGTCTATTTTTGAGTTATCATATATTTGTTATATATGATATACCATGAATACATAGATAATCTCTATTCGTGGGAGACCTGCGGTCGAACATGAGTCTCTCCGTGGAAGCCGAAGGCCTTGCCAAGGACGTCTCTGGTGGTGTAAGTAGGAAGCAATTCGCTCTGTGGTGGTCTCCTATGAGAGGTGAGGAGGCGGTGAACGGTCAAGGCCAGGGAGCATAGCTGGCTGGCTCTACATGGTGAGGACGAGTTGCGCGAGATTGTCAATCCACACAGAACCGAACCATAAAATCGAGTGGTGCACCACTACAACGGCCTAGGCTATGCTTCCTGGTGAAGATCGTGAAGCTCGAGCTGAAGGTGTTACCATCAGTGTTGAAAAGCTATCTCCTCACTCCGAGCCTCGGAGGTAAGTGCCACTCTTGATTAACCTCACAGGACGTCAGCGGGCAGGAACAACGGGAAAAACGAAATATGATTTTAGCTTCGTTGTTCTTTTTCTCCGAACACCAACAGGAGTTCATAGGGGACTCGGCCTAATGGACAGAATGTCACAACTGCTAACTACTATCTGTTTTATGTATTACATAAGCCCCTATGCGAACATCTAACTCTATTGTTAGAAGTCTTTAACATGCATTTGAATTTTTCTAATTGTTTTCTCCATCCAAGTCATCTAGTAGCTTGAATTCCTGAAATGTGCTAGCGCCTCGTCCTGAAGCGGCGTTAGTCAAAGGTGGCGACTTGTTTAGGCCGTGCGTGTGTGTATGTGTGTCTGTGTGTGTGTGTCTATGAGACAGAGGTAATTCAGTGGAAGAGAAGATATGAAAATAGCCGAAAGTCAGTCGGAAACCAACAAAAAACATCAGAGTTTCTTGCTGCTCCTGCTTCGGTTGCTTCCGCAGCCTCACGTCTATTGTTGCTTGCCTACCACACCGGTCCCATTTACAATTAATAATCAAGAAATACTTTAAAGGCAACGGATAAATGTTGACAAACGGTCATTAGCTTAATCAAAACTATCAAACTGATTGTACCATTTGTGTTTCTACAATATTGTTCATCACAACTTGGCCAATTCTCACTTCTTCCAAAATCACATTATAGTTAGGACTACGTCAGCATCCTGCATTGCTTAAACGTGTTGTGGACAGTACGGCCCTACAGCCCCACTAATTCCTCTATGTTACTCTATATTACATACGGCACACTTACTGCTGTTCGATATGGAGAGATCGTGTCGGCGTGTTTCTTATGCCGTGTACGCCATGGTACAAACAAGAATATTTTTGGATTCGTATAAAAACGATTGTAACCCCAATGTCATGATACCATGTGGTTCTGCTGTGCTGCGTATTGCACCAGTAATTAATGACTATACAAACTTATCGTGACACCGTAGGCTGTATGTGGTAATACAAGATAATCATAGATAAATAACGATTTGTGATGATGTTGGTGAATGACATTCGATGATTGACAGGTTATTGAACCAACGAGTTCGCCATGGAGATGGCAGGACATTTTAAAGGGAATGCTTCTGGTGATGGCGTAATACAAACGTTTGCCGAAAAGATGCTGAAAAAAATGGGCTGGACAGAAGGCAAGGGTCTTGGCAAAAACGAAAGCGGAATGAAGGATTTCATTAAACCAAAAATGAAATTCAACACTAAAGGTGAGGAAAAGCGTATATGTATGTTATGAAAGAGTTTTATAGATCATATTTAATATATGTGTTTTTGCATTTAGTTTTTTGCGAACTCTCATGTTCGTATTCCTATTAGATGCGGTCGAATCTCCAGATTAATTAGCAGGTAACAAAGTAGTGTTGTTTTATTGAACTGTGACAGGCATCGGCTTTATGGGTGTCGATAATAAGTGGGTAGCCCATCAGGAGCATTTTAATGACCTTTTGAGGAGTCTTAATAAAGGAGAAAAGTCAAACCAGCAGCAGGAAACGGCCTGTCTTACATCTGAATCGAAACTGCGGGGACGCACCAAATTGTAAGCTGCGGTTGAAAATTTGCTTTAACTTTCTATTTACGCCTTAATAGATCGCAATTTAGTTTACAGTGTAACAGTGATGCCGAATTCGGAATGCTGTTATTGCGATTGCTAAGCATCAGTAAAGCTACCCCTCAGGAAAATGCAGTAGTTTGCCATTAATCTTCTAATTGTCAATTTAGATTCTGAACGTTATCCATTCGTCATATCCAAAGGGATGTGTGTAAAAGCTCTGCCGGATCTATTTGCTTTACTGACAAACGCCCAAATATATCAGATTAATGATGTGCTATATTTCCTTTACCCTATTCACAGCTACTCAAAAATGATCCGTGGCAAGGATCTATCGAGCCGAAGTGCGAACGAGCTCAGTAGTATTATTGTACCACTGTCGAAAAAAGATGACGTTCAAAAGCCTGAAACCTCAAAACTTCCCTCTGAAATAGAAGATGGACTACTGAAGGCATCGAAGATATCAATGAATGACTATTTTGCACGAATAATGGCACAGCGAAAACCGAAGCTTTCTGGGACAGCGGACACGAAAGAATCGTCATCTGGTAGTGTCAGTATAGCCAACTCGGATAAGTCCAATGTGGGAGGAAAACAAGCTTTTGACCATCTTAGGTTTAGTAGTGCTGCTGTCTCGTCTGACTCAACAGAAGTTGACGATGATGCCCAGCCAAGCAAGAAGTCGAAAAAGAATCCCAGACAAAAGGACGCCGCCGCTAACCTAATCGATTGCAACTGTGAGAAATTCGCTGACCCAGCCGAGAATTCGAAGGATACCACTGAGAAACAACGAAGACAGGAGTCGCTCAATCTGAAGAATAGTAAGAGCAATAATTATAAAAGCTCGATTGAAGATATCGAAGAAGGTGAGGCATCAACGATGTTAAACAAAAATAAGAAAGAGGGAAACGAAGAAGCTAAACCAGAAATTGTTGAGCTCGTAGACGAAGGTGTCTCACCAAATTACGCCGCCTCTGACGAAGATAAAGGAAAGCCCCACAGGGATAAAAAGGAAAAAACAAAAAAGCGAAAACGAGTCGAGAAAGAGAGCAATACTAGAAGAGCAGAGCTGAGCACTATTGAAGATGAAGACATTGTTTGTCTCGATAGTATCCCTAAGAAAACAAAGCGGGACAAGTCCGACGAGTCTGCTGGAAGGACGAAGTATGAGAGGGCTAAAGTGACTAGTGAAGAAGTGAAATCTGAAAAAGAGCCGGTGATGATGGAAACTGAAAATGATCATGACAGCTCTATAAAACGCAAAAAGGACAAGAAAGTCAACGAGCAAATAAACGCTGTTGACGATGAGGCCCGCTTCGAAGAGTATTCAGATGATGCTACGCGGCTCAATATCAAGCTGAGAGTTCTCAGAAAGATTCGGGGACCATCATTGAAGGCTAGCAAAGTATGTTTTCTTATATGATAGCTACAACTTAACAATATTATAATTTTATTATCAGCTGATCGACCGGTAAATGCAATTAACTTTTGCCTTGGCTGGCATTGATCATGGCAGATTTCACTGAACTTGTTTTTTTGCAAGATATATTTTTTATCCTGTGTATTTTGTAAAGATTAGCTATTTATCTAAAAGTAGTTCGAATTCGGTAACCTGCCAAATGCTAAATATCGTATGCTATAAGGTAGACCTTTTCTTCAAAAACTTTGCAGGCTAAAGCTATTCGTGAACTTAACGATGAGCAGATCCAGGAAGTGTATAGCTTGTGGTCGAAAGGTGACTATGGAGAATTCATGCGAAAAGTGCATGCTGGAGAACTACCTCGCTGGGTCGGTATGGAAAAACATCAAGTCGCTCGCATGTCCTCCGGCGAAGGAAAGATAATCGACCTCGTCGAGTTACGCGAAATTTTACGGAAACGATTCAGCGGTTCGAATCTTCATGAGATCTGGGGTTACACAAGTATAGCTTATGTTGCTCTTTAAAACTACTTAACACCATAACGAGACTTGGTTATTTGTAGGTGCGGTATAACAGGTCCTGCTCACTTGGCAGATAACCGTATGACGACAACGAGTACTATGTCACCCAAGAATACCGTATATATAAAGGTATATATTTATCTACATAAAATTTGTATACTGGCTCTGGATTGTCTCTTTTTCTTTTCACAAGCATTTAGTGTCATTGGTTGAATATGGTACTTAATACAGTAGTTGAAGCCGGTGTTGTGGCACTTTACGGTACATTCTGATCTATTCAGCGTATACGTGTCATTTAGTACGCTGTGGAAAGCACAAATGTTGTACAGTACAACTTTTTAAGTTCGCCGGAGCTTTGTTATGCAAGGGGATACGAATCGGTTGTTTCGGTTCGGGTCTCGAAAGGCTCTTTATACGAGGATATTGAAATAAGAGAGCGTTGTGCAAGAATTGACATAATTAGGAAACATTTTTTTTTATAAGGAGAGAATATTTATATTTATCTAGAAATAAATGTTCTTGGTAAAATGTTCTAAAAGCTCGCGCTGAAAGTGTCAGCATCACTCAATTCTAACTCGTTATTATGCGAATTTGGAGAAAAAGTGGGTCGGAAGTTCATAATAACGACAAAAAGATTAGGAGTTGTAATAATACACCTATATTGCAAATAAAGACAACTTATTTACGATAAATTGATCTGTCGTTTATTCATTTTGGCACAGTGTATAATATTCTATATATTGGTTCATGGTAAATAATGTGACTATTTACAAGGAGCGTCCCTTGGCTTTCCCATTGTTAACGCAGTAAGTACAAAAGCTGTATGGTACGATGTTCGCGTTGTCTGTATGAGCGGAGGGCAACGATTTCTGTCGAACATGAAAATGCATGTATCGATTTCTGATATCGATGCATCATATAGATGTTCCCAAACGTATCCCGCCTCGGCCGGGAACGTCCAAGGTAGAGAACTATAAACAGTGGGCAGGAAGAATATTGTTTTCATACCAAAACGAACCACATTGGAAGACAAGATCGGTCAACACGGGGTGGGCAATACGATGTTGATTTGAGAATCTTTCTTGAAAGACGACTTAGACCGGATCCTTGCATACGCAGGCATATGCCTGCGAACTTTACACATACTGCCTGTTTTCGCCTGTTAATTTTATTTACGATCATATTGCACACGCCTGCTGTACCATATATATATATAGTTCAAGTGGTTCTCCAGAAAGAAAGTCTATCTGTTAATAGTAGTAATACCATGCACGTATATACCACGGAATCATGAAAACCTTGCTATACTTAAATAGGGTATCCGTATGTTTTCATATTCAACGAATGGCCAATCAGTTTAAATAAAGCAACTGTTAAGTTAGAAAAACTGAATAGTGCTCACCTTGTACCCTTTTTAGACTTCCATGTTTTATTTCTCAATAAAACATTGGCCGTAAGTAAAACAACTTGTAACACCTTCGTTCGATCTGTTTCTTAAATACATTACTTCAGAATTTATAATTTACTTGCTACCTCAATACATATATATATATATATATACACTTACAAATTAATGGGGTACGGGCAGCACGTAGGACAGGAACGTTTAAGTATGCTTTTGTATATACCGGAAATGTCAGATGAATAACTTTAATAATGTATAAGTTAAAAGGAACCTGCTTTGGTTTTATTTTTACTCATACTTTGTGTAAAAAGGCGTACATGATAATACGGAAGATAGCGCGCTGGCAGAGCAGGCGATACACAAGTAAATACGGATAACGGTCTTATGCTACTGAGAACAACTGTTTATAGTAATAACAATAATCTAAAAACGAGTAAAAGGTCACACGTACAATGATGGCAGATATATATGTTTATTCACAAGAGTATTCAAGTATTAGCTCATTAATTTCACTAGGCTGCCAAACAAATGCGTGACCATACATCACCTCTCGTTCGCACTACTGATTACTGCTACTAGCATTAACCAGCATACGTTACCTTAACCTCTGCTTCTCGCGCAAGGGCTGCTCCCCCATATCCTGTTCACTGTGTAGTAACAGCAGTTCACTTTTTAGGTGCTTTGGCCTTGATCTCTTAAAATTTAGTAGCTTTTTTTGCTATGTTTACCTGTACTTCGTTTGGTTTCTTATACAAATACATTTTAATCCTAGATCAGTATGAAACATTGTAAAAGCATCCATAAAATAATGTACTGATAAAATTAGATCTATAGCATTCAGCAGGTAAGCAATCTGTATTCACATCATTTACAAGGTGTTCAGAAAGTTTCAAAGCAACTCCAATATGTGCCGACGATAATACAAGTTTTCTTTATCCAAATGTTCTGCTCAGTTGCTCACCTTTCGATGGTTTCTTTAAATGTCAATGGCTTGTGTCACGCTCTGAGTGCTATTCATTATAGCTAGGGTTAGGCGCATTCTTGAACAGGCTTAATAAAACTGGCACAGTGGCGCATTTATTAAGATTTGCGCAGACCACGAAGGTGCAGCCCACCGCAAGGATGGGCCATATAACTCTGTTTGTTCAATTTATACCCCAAAAGGGGTATAAATTGTTTGAATATAAATCTGAGTAACCTTGTACCACATCTTGCTTTCCTTTTATTGTATTCTTGCAATCGCGTGTCGTCACCCATTAGGATAAACACATTTAATCCGATCAAGTTTAGACTAAAGCTAAGTTGTAGTGACTAACATTATTCCGCGAGGTTGGTGAATGCCAAACACCGAAATTAAATACGGGCATCTTAATTATGTGTTATGTTAATAATCAGAACTACGTATATATCAGTGTTTTGTTGTATACAATCAGTCAATGAATACAAATGCTACACGATGCATAAAAAGATATTTGCCTAGAAGATTGATTTTCGTAGCAACATTAGCGCTACAAGAAAGCTTCCTGAAAGCAGAAATTATTCTTCTTCAATTTGTCCAAACCAATCCAAATAGGACCGAATAATAGACATACTATTTTTTTGCATCATCCGCTTTCACCAGTAACCTTAGTTACTTTACGACTTTAAGTACATCATATATACATTGTTATGCATTTCATCACTATAATTGCTTGTATTCGAATACTTTTCGCTAGAAAACAGCCCGTTCAAGAAATATTGGTGCTCTATTTATTACCAACATTGACGATGGCAGGTCACTTTTTTGAGTGTTCAGAAAAAATACCGTTCTGGTCATGAGAAAAAAACGAAAAAAACGCCGACTATCCGGCGCTAATTACCGTAATATTGAAAAGACATGCGCTCCATGCCCCCTCCCCATGCTAAAACCACAGGTTCAACACATAATTGTCGGTCTTACACGAAGCATACTGTGCTGCATGAAAATACAGACATGGAGTGCCATCACAATCTTCTCTTCCTGACCATATTATCAACTCAACAAAAGTCACTATACTCATGCCAGATAATTCAATGTTTGGGCATTCTGATTCAGCACTATCAAAGCGCGTTGCGTATAGGTACAATACAATGGAAGATATGAAGGTTGCAGAATTAATATCTGTTTGACGGTATCAGTTCTCGTTTTTATGGTTGGTACCCCACATCATATGATGCAGCGTCTACGACCATCTTCTGTATGGTACATGTCGTAGCATTTGCTACACGTACGAATTCCACATACCCCATTATTTTCGCAGTAGCGTAGAGCACAGGGATACCAATGTATGCATGCAGTAAGACGACAGGCACAAGGGGCCCACGGAGCAGGATCGCTTGAACAATGCACCTGAAACCAAGAGAATAAATCGGTAAAAAAAGGGGTATACGCGTCAGTTTATACACAATACAAGTGAAAAGCCTCGTCAAAGAAAAAAAAAAAACATTTGAAAATGAATTCGTATGTAAAATACACATTTTTGTCCTGCCCCACTGAAAACATGGTTTTTTCATGCCTTTTTGAGTTCTTCGAACACTTAAGGATTCCTTTCTCATGTGTAATAAAGATATCAGAGTTACGTATCGCACTCCATAATGCACTCATAGTCGATAGTTGCGGCCGTAGCATAAATTTCGTGACGTTCATAGCTATTACATAGCTAAAGTTTGAAAAATTGTTCGAGGCTATCATATCAAAAAGACTGATTTTAAAAAAATTGTATGTTACCTGTTGCGCAGGCTTGAGCAGAACTTTCGATGTATTTAGAGCAGTGAGTTTTGGAGCGCCTTTAGATGACATCCACGACTGGAACAGAACAAGGAGTCGTGTATATTAACATTCAGCATACGCAGGTAACCAATACCTGAGGAATACCGATAGGATCAGCAACGGAATATGCTACCGGGAAAATTGTAGAGAACAGATACAAAATGAATAAGTGTAAAACTCGGAAAACATTATAAAAGACCGATCTTTCAATACTTCATTCACTATGCACAAAATTTTTTCAGGAATTGGATATGTTGGGTTTGCTGTATTTGCTTATATATTACGGTCCTTAATAGGAAACTACTATAACAAAGATATTCACATATTCTGACATTTCTAACCATCTTCTGTTTGGATAAGCTAACAAATGTTCTTCGTGCAGTACAATATACGGGGCTGCATTATTAGTACGGCCTACCTGCAAGTCCGTCTGTCTCGTATAAATGTATTCAGTGTCTGCGCAGAGCGAAGCCAGTTGTTCCGAGAGTGCGTCAGCAGACACTGTCTCAATCTTGCGGTCTAAGTAAATTTCTTCCCGGCCCTTGTCCCATTCCGCGAAGCGTACGACATTTGCATTGCGTTGCCGTAATTTGTACATTGCATTTACAGGAACCAGCGATTCTCTATTGCCGTATCGTATCCACAAATAAGCAACCGTTTTACATAACCCGTTAGCTAGTTAAGGTAAACATTTTATGATTCTATAACATTCAAGGTAGACATCAGCATATCTATTAATAGAGTATACTTCATTTGAATTAACACTATTTAGAGACTAGGAAGAGAAACTCAGATATGATAGACATGCCTCATGTGTTATCAGAGACAGAAAATATGCTAGGCTTAAGCTGCACTTCTCTATTGTCTGTACGTGTATGTCCGGATCCTCTTTCTTTAATCTTCAATAAAATAATACTGCTCAACTTACTCAGGAAGGTACAAATTTTGCCAAGCTTCTTTTTCGTATCATATATATAAAGTTCTTTGTACTTGAACAAACCTATCAAAGAACGTTGCATAGCATACTGCTCTTGTGACGCCGCCTTGACCAAGTTCCTCTTCCCCCGAAAGTAGGAAACGGAATATTTGCACGCCGTTCGCATAATCGTACCTGCAGAAGCAACAGAACAACAAGCGCTACTTTCGTGTCTTATAAATACAACCTTATGAATGAACGAGCGATTACTCTGTGTGAAGTTAGACTGTTCGATGGTTGTCTGAATTTTAAATGCAAGGCACCCAAACGTATGTTTGTTCGTAGCTTCCTGGGTTCAAATCTCCAATATCTATATAAAACTAGCTTATTGAATATCAACAGAAAATAAAACGACATCGTCTTTGTTATAACGCTATATTAGTACTTTTTCTTCAGCTCACCATAATGTGACTGCGGACGAATCTTGACGGTCGAACGAGATGATGATATGTTGTCCAAAAGTCGTAATATTCTCCTGCAGGATCTGCAATACAAATAGCGGCGTACGAGAAAATTTTTAGACTAAAATGTCTTGCGTACATCTGCGAACAGTATATTTTCGTGGTGAACGAGTTATTACAGAAAAAGAAGGCACACTACACCAAATAAAATATTTCCAATTTATTGCCCAAAGCAATTTCGTCATTTCATCATAGTCATTCAACTACGGCTCTTAATCAGGCTTTGTCCCGCTGAAGAATCGAATTAGGTTTTTCTCCGACACAAAAAGCATGTCTACTGATACACGCATTTCCTTGTAATGTGCCAACAACGTAGACCCCATTTGAGCGATGAGGTTATCGGCCTAAAATTTCAAGCAGAAAAGGGGGACTAGATTTGACGCCAGATTTGTACTGGACTCGCCTAAGCACATATACGCTTACGGATTTCCTTGAGCTTTCAGCTGACGGCTACGAGAAAAGGTAGTCCCGCCACCGGTTTTTCTATAAAATACCTAGCCCATGCCAGCTGAGCGGCGAAATGTACATTTTCACTAGAATATCATTTAAAGACTTAACAATCTAACCGTCGCAACGGACACTCAGATACTTAACAAACAAACCACATAAGCGCAAGTCTCAATGAACAATAGAACGTGTTACAACAGTTTGGGATCCCAGCATAGATTTGGTGTACTTACATTAAACATACGAGGTGTGGTCTGCGGGTGCTGTTAAACTCAGGCAAACGTAACACAGAATACCAAATGACCCAAGCTAACGAAATTGGTCTAAGCCAGACAACATGACGAATTATAGAAAATTGTTATTATCAATATTATTATTATTATCTAGGCTAGCTATACATTTTCAAAAAAAATATCACGTTAATAAAATTTAACTTTAAAAAAATAATTAAATTTAATAAAAGTTAAAAAAAGAAACAGATTTTGGATAAAAATAGATAAAACTGAAAACACCAGCGCTCTTACCCAAAACTAAATAAGTTCCATTAGCCTTCAGTTCAGTTTTAACTGTCATAAATGGTTAAATTAAATAAAATAAAATACAGAAGTTTCAGCAATTGCATTATGTACTGCTTAATGTTAAAATTAAAAATTTGTTTCGAAGTCGCCAATTCGGGTTCTCAATTATTATACACTCTGCGCTCTCTTCTCCGAACCCTGGGACAGTTCCTCACTTCATTTGAGAACTTAATATTGTTTTACAGTATGCCAAAACGTAATATTTAATCAATGTTGTCCAAGTAATCCCTGTCCTAAAAATCCGATCAACTACGATATTACCATTCACAGATAGGGGTCATAAAACACCTTGTTGATCTTTAGACTTTCCCCTATCCGACCTGCAGCTTTGTCGATTGTCCAGGTATTACTTACTTGTCCACCGGGATTCTCAACGAAGATCAGCAATTCGGCAGCACGCGTTGCACCCAGGAGAACGGCAAGAACTCCAAGGATCCCCCGTGCGACGCCAACTCGGCCCGCCATCGACCAGAAGTCCTCATCTCCTTCAACAACTGTGTTCAGCCTTCGCTGATTCCGCTCGGCCAAGCCCAGCTATCGCACAGAATGCTTCGACGATGCCTTTACAGTTGTTGATACTTTGCTTGACTGCTGCTACTCGCTATATACATACTTATAACTCTACGAAAGCAACTACTGCTTGCATTAATTCGATGGGAGGGAATCGGCAGTACGTTTATACATACATTTGCGAACTTGTGGGCGCCCTTTTCTCTCATCCGTTCCGTAACTCCGATTGATGGATGCCGTAAACGGGACACACACACACAGAATAGCCGCTGTGTGGCATCGAAATGAAACAGGATACACTCAGGTGGGAATAAAAGTGAGTGGGATGAGCTGGTTCACAAGCAAAGGCTGTCCAGTCAGGAACATCAAAGGTTGACTGGGCTAGCGAATAGTTCTGCAAGCGTTGCGCGAAACCCGCTTGATCGATGGTACGACAAAATCGGTTCATCCAACGGAAGACGGTGGACGAGTTTATCCTAATAATTAATTTATAATACTGTAAATAGATTGTTGCTGTCGTCAAGTGCCATTTTTCACTGTTGTTAAGAAACATTTATCAGAATGACGTTCATGCGTGGAGCAGCGCCGATCCGGCGTACCATTGAATTTCTCAAGAAAGGGAAACTCGTGTTTCGTGATCAAGTTAAAATCGTCTCACTTAATTTTAATACGGTTGGCCATCGTCGGGAAGCTCATAAGGGAATGCAGGTAATCCTTATTAGATATAAGTAAAATAGTTACACCTTCAACCAGGAATTGGTTTATGGTTCAAGCACAACCTGTTTTAATTGACAACTTTTAAGACGGACAAAAGTTATAGTCAGATAAATCGAGAGGTCTTAAAAACTTTTCCGTTTTTTTGTGATGGTGACATAATAACATAACGGAAAGAATAAACAAATATATTACGCTTTTTTATAGCATGCACATCCTAACGATGAACTTGATTATTTGCAACGTATGTTTCAGGATTTTGTATTTTGGAATTTACATCAAGTGCTGTATAAAAACCCTAATGTCCAGGTAGTAATTTTCAAGAATAAGACACCTTCGCCATGCATTCGCGCCTGGCTCGAAGATGGCAGTGAGGTAAAAACAGTCAAAGAAATATTTCAACTAAGGTTGTTAGCGTAATACGAGTAGTTTAGTGTTATTTGTGGATCGATTAATAATGTAATGCTTCTCATAGAAACATTAACAGTTTGCTATTGGCATTCGATCTAATTTTACTTTGTGGCGTTTATTTCATGAAACAAGTTTCACATAAGACAAAATTTTGATTTTTGTACGATTAAATGGGGTATTTACTATAACTAATTTGCTTATTGCATCAGGTGATCATGGATGTCGATGGACAATCTAGTGCTCAGATTTTAAGTCGTCTCATCACCACATTAGGTTAGTAATAACGCAGTCTCCCTCCTGCTTTTCAAATATTAGAAATATATCTACGACCATACAGACAGGTTACGAAATAAGTGTTTAAGTTTCAATAAAGTTATTAATGCTTCTCACATATATATATATATATAAACACGAAACAGCAACTAATTTATATATATATATATATATATATATATATATATATATATATATATACATATTAACGCAGTAGGTTTTGAAAAAAACAGGGTTCGTTTTTGTTTATAGCTTTCTATTTCTAACGTTTCGTTTGCTGGTAGTCGACTATGATGCACTGGTGGATAGCAATTTATTTGGTGGGCACTCTTATAACTGCTCGTTCACATCACAGAACTGAGTTCAAAACCCAGTGAGGGATCCTTTGAAGTAAAATTAAGTGAACTTGCAGCACCGACTTTTTGCCGATATCAGAAGCCGCAGAAGTGTCTCGAGAATTTTTTTCGCGTACCGTGAAATAGTTCAGAGTTAAGTAAAAGCAAGGGTGTGATTTTTAGGTGGAAGATGCGATCATTGAACCTAACAAGCCATGTTTTAATGCTCTCAGCATTATCAAGTCCTCACCGTTCATACCGCATCTATTAAGGGTTGTTTTGCCAGTTTTTTGATTTAAAGATAGGCGAATGAGCAGTGTTGAAAGTGGTACATTTTGTCAGTCGACATACTTTTTACATGTATTGTTAGAGTAGTCCGATATCAAAGCTAATTTGTACAGAATGACTCATATTTTGCGCTCTTTTTCTAGCTTGGTCTAATAGTAGATAGTATGCGAAAAACATGCCTAAGAAAACTTGTGTAATAAAGTATGTTTATATAATAATATACTAATAGTAAACTAATAACTAATAAAAGAATATATATATTCGTACGTAAAAATTTTCTCGGAAAGTGTGATTAATATTATATTTTTTGGGAATATGTTATGATTCGGTCAGGTAAAACCGACAAGCAGCTTCAAAAGGAAACCCTGATGCAGGAGAAACAGGATACACCAGCAAACTTTGGCCGTCATTACAGCAAGTGGTGCATCTGTGAGGTAGAAGGTCAGGTACCTTGTCCTGGTACTGTAGACCTACCGAAGAGTATGCTGGCAAAAGTGCAATACAAAATGGGACTTTTTAACAAGAAGGAGTGAACAACACATCAAATGGAGTATAATGAAGGTCATAGGCGTTAGTCGCCAACTGCTGTCAATCGAACAGAAACAAGTGCTGCTGTAAATAATATTTAGAATATTTAATTAAACCTTATACATTTAAATCACTAGCTAGTTTTAATTTTTCTTAGCTTACATTTTAGGGAGTTAATTTTTTGCAGGTATCCAGAGTTTATTATCCGTTCATATCCCTAGGTGTGCAAATTTATATTTGTTTGTGCATGAATTAGACTTTTGTTGCAAAACTAAATAAAAAAGACACTTGAATAGACTCTTCAGTTGATGGTCTTTTAATTAGGGATAATAGACGGGAGCTAGACGTAGTTGAACAATAAAGTAAGACCGGATTACAAAAGAGAACTTTAAACTAAGCTGAACACTTTTGTATTCGAGTGAAAGTAATGTACAAGTATGATGTTTGTAAGGATGCAAAGCTGGCATCAGCAAGAATTACAGCTATAAGAACGCATAATACAATATTTTCTCAAACTTATTTTTATTACATTCAGCATCGGAAGCATTAATATCGAAACTCACATTCACCATTTTATGTATACTCGTGCATTGAAGTTTCAATCCAAAATTCTAGGGTATCGAGTGTGCTGAAGGACAGAATAGGAAGCAATGCATTCTATCCAGGTATGTTCCGTGCAGGATTTTAATAGAGACGAATCATCTGTATATATATATATATATATATATATATATATATTGTTTTATAACACAGCTGAAGAGTTTTAGATATCAAAATTTGTTCAGGCACATAGATTTAAATCGTTGAGTTTTTAATGAATTCCGGGTGGATTCATTCTTTTGTTTTGTTCATTGTTTCGTAACACGGAATATGTATAGTAATTTTCAGAGAATATTCGTGATAGTTGTCCATTGAATGGACAAACAAAGATGAGATACAAGCGCAACCTACATAGACAAATGATTCCAGAAAATGTTTTGCGTCGTGCGTAGTCTATACGCTTGATTTAAGTGAAACGGACAGGATGTCAAACCAGCCAACGTCTGCGTCGGGTTCAAGTTTAATCAAGATTCGGTGACAGCAGGGTTTGGTTGCTGGAAGTAGAAACTTGGTCCGGATTATTAGATGCAAGAGGTAATACCTAGAGAGAGAGATAACAGAAAACGCAGGCATTAGCATATCTTCTTGTAAACTGATTGAAGTTTTAGTGCACGTGCAATTTAAAAAAATTAAGTAATTGAGTCTCCTTGTCAGCTTTACGTTTATTCAAGAGTTTAGTTTAGTTTTCATAATCACAAATACCACATGACAAACGGTGCTTAAAAGATGAATTTGTGATATGGATAAAAGTGCCCGCATCCTGACATAGATATTTACCGAATAAAAGTATTTAAGTCAATACGCGCATAAATAAGGTAACTATTACCTATTTAAAATTCGTTACGCTGATCAGCAGCAGCAATGAAACCATCACACCGATGGTGTACCAAAAATCTGCCGATTGTTAACAGGTGCGAAGAGTCTGACCAGTCACAAGCGTACCTGAATGCAGAATGTAATCGAGTCGTTGACGAGGAATCGAGGGCTTTCAAGGTCTTCAAATTTTACAAATTCGTGCCATACGCACGGGACAAGATAACTGCCCTGAGGTTTAGGGAAACACGGATCTCCTAGACGATACTCAATGTTCTCGGGACATTTTGTTCTTTGATCGACGAGAGTTACTGTAATGGGATTGTGGATGGGGTAGCCAAGTTGCTGGTCAAATTGGCCTTTTAGGAGAACGATTCCGACGCCAAGGAACTTTCCTCGGCCCGCACTGCCAATGCCATTTAGATGTAATCTCAGCTTGAAAAGGTACCCTGGGCTACCCGCGTAGAATGATGGTGAACTCGTATACTTTTTGTGCGAATGACGCTCTCTATATTTGATAACGAAAATATGGAGGACGAAATTCCGTTACATTATTCGGTATATTATGCCAATAGCATGCGTATTATACTTCAATAGCAAGAAGCTCGAAAAAGTGACTCAAATAGGGCACGTAAGAAATCTCTGATATCGATAAGAGCGAATATTATATGAAAACAAGTAAATGATTAAAAAGGCGCAAAATTTTTGATTGCGTTTTGTAGACATACTTGAGCTTAGCCTTAGAATATTCTGAGAGCTTCCACTGGAAGATTCCATTAGGGCAGACCAGCTCCTGCGCTCCGCGTTTAGTTGACATAGCACCCAATGGGGTAATGTGACTATCCCCACCATATGTGGTGATTGCCATTGGGCCAAGTTGTAATGAGAATGTCTTAAGAAAAATAGAGAAAACATAAAAAAGGTAAGCAGCTCGTAATAGGTGCCTGCTTTGAAGTCCATTTCCTGCGACTATTGAGCATATGTCAGTTCTGAATACATTGATATTTAAGACGAATTTTCAGATCGTTTGCAACCATGAGTACTAAAATACATTTCGAACCGATCTCTACGGACAGAGTCCCTTAGTGCCGATCACGTTAAGCAGATTTTTAATTAACAGAAAACGACTACACATCAACGCTTTAGTCTTTACAAACCGTTGCGGGCAGCTTTTAATTATATAATAAAAATATTCCAATTTTAGCATCATGTGTGACCCTTTATCTTTTCAAAACTTACGGGCTGTCGGACAGACTGTTGGGTCCCATTAAGTAGTGAATCAGTGCGGGGAGCTTCACACTGTTCAAGACGTAATTCCTCAATACGTCCTTCCAGCAATGCGATCCTCGACTTCATATCGGTCTGGTTTCGTGTCGCGTCCACGAGTGCTGCTAATGCTTCGTTTATCTGCGAAAAGGATGCGAAAATTAAATAAAAGCCTTGTTTATTACTTTACGCTTTCTTTACTTGACTGCGAGCAAAGTGCGCAGTCAATCAAAGATTTGCATTTCAATTTAATGCGTCAGAACGTTCTTTTTGTTACTAACCTGATTACGTAGCTCGTCAAGATGGTTGAGCTCTTGTAGCTTCATGGAGATCATCGTGCGATGAAGGCGCAGGTCGGACTCATGGGTATTAAGATTTTCTTCGTCAGCTTCAAATTGACAGCCCAGCCCACTGAGGAAGCACCTTTTTAGGAATTAACATATAAACGAAGTTACTACATTGCATAAACTAAAAGCTAGTAAATAGAACATACAATTTGGAATTAGTCCTCTGACCCTTTCGAAGACTGTGCCAAGAACAAGATTGTTTGTCGCGTCACAGAATGAGAACTCAAATCGACAGAAAATAAGTACTGTACTTATCCTTGATAATATATATATATATATATTTTGGACAAGTGCGTTTTTCCGCACCTTTTTGTGGCGGGTTTTTCTTGAAGTTTGTTGCAGGATTGCAAATGTACAGAAAGCGTGCATAACCGAATTGTCATGCCGCAATCATTGGGGCAATGCGCCCGTAATCGAAAAGCCGATTCTTGCACTGACGAATCCTGAAATACCTATATCTCACATGGATAACAACAAAAAATACAAGATATGAAAAAAGCAAATTTAAGAAATAAGTCTCAGTCTCCGTTTATGTGATTTTTTTTTAAATGGTCACGGAATGAATCATTTACGAGATAACCACAAATTTTTGGCTAGGTCGTGGACTTAAATGCGAGTAAATTGAGTGCATTACTTGTTCTAAATTTCCGAAGCATGCTAACTGTGCGTGGATAGCAGAAGTGTTTCTCACAAAGGAAATAGTGCATGTATGGATTTCATGTAGGTTCAGTAAGGGTGGAGTCAATTGAATGAATATATACATGGGCGATATCGTAAATACATCGTACGGTGACGTTTGATTTATTAGTCACAAGATTTAGTGCCAATCTTGTTGTAGCCTCGTTTTTAAAGTGTGCTATCTCACATCTATAAATCTCTTTATCATTGGTATACATAGGCCGCCCAATAATACTATTGAAGTGAAACGTTTTTTGAAAATGCCTAACTGTTAATAACCATTACAATCGTCTGTTTGATTTAATTATTTATTCAAAAATTATATATAGATGAGTTATTGCACAACCGGTAAGATATGTCTTGTAAAGGCAAAATCGCTTTTTCATTCTAATTATAGCGTGCTTACATCCCGACGCACCTGAGGCATAGCAACTCTTAGAGAAGTTTTTCTGGGGAAGAAATTTTTCTTAGTCGGCGTTATTTTTTACTTCGTACTGTTACCCCTAAGGATCAACATTCATTGAGGAAACAACAGAAGACTTCACCTAGCCCGCAAAGTAGAATGAGCCGTTGCCTATTAGACGATGTGGATGTGAAAAAATTGAGTCATACTTAGTGGCTAAATTGCTAAAGGTAAAATCCCCTACTGCAATACCGACTATACAGCGCTTCAAAAAACTAACGAATCTACCTACATTAATAATAATACGTGGCAATAAAGCTCATTGTTTTTTTGACACCTTTTTAAGGGTAGGTCATGTAAATGTTAACCTATTTATATTTCACTGCACTGAACCGATTGTGCTTATTATGGAATACCGGTACGGGAAGGTTTCGTGTTCAGTAAATCGAAGTGAATCTCAATTTAACTAGCTCAAGTTATATAGGAAAGAACTATTAATTCTACTCACGGCCATTCTGGATATACTGTGCTGATCGACGGGGCAGATAGTTTTTGCTACTTCTGTTGGCATTAGCTGAGTGAAACACGTACTGCAAAAGCCATGTCCACACTGAAAACTGTACAATGGCATGAACTTACAAGCATTGATCGATCAGACGTTGATTTGATTAAAAACATTAGATATTAATATATATTGATTGATAAAACGTTGGTTTCATTAAAAATATAATATAAAAAGTAATTCAAAATCGCAAAAAGCGTAGTATCTATTACTTTTATTATCTAATTATTTTTGACTTGTTCCTCTCTCTTCAGAATGAGGCAAATAATTGCTGTTAGGTTCTCAATAGAGTTATGAAGAATGGTCATTCATAATTACTTGATTTCTGAGTAAGTGGTGTCTATAGAAGAAAATTAATTGCAAGAATTCAAACTGCTATATAACAAAGAAATGTCGTTTGAAAATTTATTGCCTCGCAAATCAGCTCTTCGCCGTAGTAGGGTCTTAAATTTTTCAAAGATTCATAGTATAGAAACCACCTTGTGTGTGATCGCATACCCATTGTTCATAGACTGATGGGAATTGACTCGCTGTTTTTTAGTTCTACCTAAAAGAAATTCAAGGAATAAAATCTTTACCGCCAAAGAGAAGGTCCAAGACTTTTGCACTGGGCACAGAGTATATTTAATGGCGGCACATCAATAAAGGACAACACAGTGCATTCAGGAATGTCTGCCAAGCCTACGAGCTTGACATTTTTTGTTGCCGTTGTGAGACTCGTCGTAACACTGCCAGCTAATGGAAAAAGTTTGTAAAGTTTCACTATTAGCAAAAAAGATAAAAACCCGATATTAAGAATGGTCTATAGAAGAGTAATATAGATGATGACTCCATTCAGTAATGTTACACTAAATGATTTTTAACTAAAACAAACGCGACGGTTTTTACCACTAAAATGTCTAGTAATGTTAGAGTTCGCAAGCTGGGCAGCGTTGAAAAAGAGTTAGTTTCACGCATATCCGTAGATAGATCGTTCGGTAGCTTTGATATTCGTATGAATAAACGATTCAAAGTAAGTAGTGCCCTAAAGATGACGTGTTTAGCTTTATCGCATGCAGTTACTATCGCGAAGTAATTAAAAGGATTAACTAAAACGGTACGCGAGTAAATCTAAATGACTTTAGCATAACTTCATTAGTTGACAAGCTGGTAAAGAGTACTGCAGATAAAAACATGTCTTTAGTGCAGATGCTTCGCCTTGTGAGATGTTGACCATATAGGATAAGGACACGAGTCTTGTTCGTCAAGCATTTACTTATAATGCACCTTCAAATGTGATGATGACAGGGCAATTAGGGATTCCTTGACGAAGAGCACTTCATTCAAAAGTTAGGTACGCAGTATAAGCAGAATACTTCGAAGATGAAAAACTGTTTGTATGAGTTATTCGGTTTGCTGTTTCACATGCTCATAGCCCATGTTATACAGGCACTTTTATATAGTCAATTAATCAGTAAAATTAGCTTTCCATCGTTATTTAAGGATCCGAAGACGGAAGATCATTTAGAGTTAGATGTGTTTTTTGCCCAGCGTTCATAAATTCATAGAAGTTCAGTAAAGTTGTTTCAATACTGCTTGATTCTTTGCATTTAGGTAAAATACAATTTGCACCATGTTTACCGTTTGCATCACTCGCTTTACCGATATAATATGTCCAAACTGGGTTCGTTTCTCAATAAAAATATAGAAAATTAGTATTTTCGCGTCACATATATCTCAGCCAACTGTAGAATGTGAAGTTGACAAAGGAGTACATGCTACAGTTAGTAATTTAATCGAACGAATCCCTAATGAAGACCAGCTAAAACTTTTTAAGGGCCCCCCGCCTTTCTGTCACCATTATTTTAATAAATTCCGGTAGCTACCTGACGGAGTTCCGGCTGAATCCTTTGAGTGTTGATCCATTGTAGAGTTATTATCTGTAGCTCCAATCTTTCCTCAACAACTTTCAATTCTTCAAACTCTCTCAAGAAGTAGTGATTTTGGCCACTGGCTGAACTTCAGTCGCCAAATGGACACAATCCTATGAATCCACTCAAAACGCAACAGATTGCACACCGTGTGAGTCAGTGTTTAGTTGCATTTCCCATTTGTCTAAGGTAACTAAGTTTGATGTGATACTGTGTTTCCTCTAGCAGTAGCGACCGCCGAAACAGCTGAAAAAGTAACAGCACAAGCTCTTCAAACGGAGCTGCCTTCGCTGCCACAGTCTATCACGTAACCCAATTCGATATCTACGTATCATCCGCAAGGCGGCGCTTTGTTTCTATGCTTCTCTTCAAGACTGGTTGGTGTTGCTGTGTTATGAAAGCCTCCTGTTTCAGGTTGGCCTAAACAGAACTGCCTCGTTGTTAGTAATGACGCTTGTGGGTTATGTTGCTCAAGGAAAGCAGCTCCATGGACGGAAAAGCGTGTGCCGTAGGAGAGAATGAAGCCTTGTTGATTTCTGCCGAAGCCATCTTTGTTTGCGACTAGCGCGAACTACAAATCTGCCACTCAATTTTTTTTCTGCGCTATATCTTTCGGGTTTTACGTCGGCTAATGCCGTTAGCCATTCTACCAGACGGCTGGCTCCCAGCGCGAAACGAAGTCTGTCTATGCTCAGTCGCCTAGACCACAACGTGTTCCTAAGACTAGCAGGCAGATCCCTTGCCCACTAAGTCATCAAGGGAACTTTTTTCTGTGCTAGTGAATTAAAGAAGTTCGATAAAGAATATCTATCAGAGATATATCCGCGCTATTCGTTGACTTCGTATCTATATCCGGGTGTTCTTGTTATCACGATTATAAGTGTATTGTTCTTTCTTTATCTTCTAAAAATGTGCGTTATGTCTTTTTATCACGTCTGTTCAGTATAATTTCAGCAACACCATAGTGGTACTATTAAAAAGTCTTATACGCTGAGATGCCAACTTAGAAGTATATGCAGTCCGCAAAACGAAATGTTTAAGAGCTCCTATTGATTTCTAGCATGTCAGTAGCTTATATACTAAGGCTTACAGGATTTAGCAGGATTTAACTCTTGTCCAGGACGCGAACCTTAAGAGCATATTCATGCGAGCGTAAAATGCATCGATTGCATTAGAAAGAAAGCATCCACTTAGGCGTAACGTGGAATCAATCTTGGGCCTATCTTCCAACATAAGCCGAAAAAGTTACCATTTGACAGTCCTTCTCACATGTATTTTAGTTACTCCAGGTAAATCCTGGTTTGCACAAAGTATGGTTTGGTTATATCCGTGGTTATTGTATTATCTTTATGGTTTTGTTCGGCTGTTGAGTTGCACGTTGAGATCTACTCTGACAAGTTTGAAACTTGACATTTTCAACGGGACGGATCATTTCCCAAAACCAAACTGTTACCACAGCGATATCTTAAATTAATACTTCATGTGTTTCGAATATATTCCGTCGGAACAAACGGACCAACGGACGTTGACTTGAAGCTAACCAGCTGCGTAGCTCTGATCGACTCAACTTTTGGTTGACTGATGCAATGCGAACCTTTCATACTTGCGAATCAAAATTCTGCAACTTTTGTTCTCTAGACGTTCATATTCTTTACATTAAGTGACAATGTCTTGAAAGCTTCTAACGAGCGATGATTATTCGCAATACGATTCCAATACGCGGTACAAGAGAGACATTTCAAGCGCTTGCTGAGCGTGTAAATTTTCATTCTACATTTTGTATGTGCTGTTATATATTATATATGCTAGTTATATGAGCGCTAGTGCTTCGCACGGTAGCCACTTATGGACGGGATACTGTGCTAGTCTGTCTCATCATTTGGAACACGTTATCTTTCATAAACAAGTATTCTACTATCTAAGGTAAAGGCAACTTCGTTATTTTTGATCTAGAATGTACATCTTTAACAACTAGTCGCACTAATGACGCTAAAGTGCGAAATTAAAATAGCGATCCATCTACAGGGATTAACACCCGCAGGTTCGAATTGACAATTGAGATTCTCCGATTTAAACCTTAAACAAATCATTGAGGGCAACAGAGCACCAAAACGAAACATGTAAAAGCGGTTTAATTGTGTACAAGGCACTGGGCATAAATAAAAGTAGGTAAACCAGCGGTATTATATATACGGATTAGTCGTAAAAAGCTTGCCTTCTAAAAGCTTTAACATTTTAATTGTTTAAATAAATATATTCAAGTTGAAATATTGCGTTTAGTTCAGTATGCCTGTTCATAAATGTTCTAACGGCTTTACAAAGCACTTTTTTCTTTTGTAATCTATGTACTATGCGTACTCGCCATATCAACTAGGTAATGTCCTTCTTTAAGCAGTAATTTTTTAAAATACTCCCATGAAATTATCTCTTGTTACTATGGATGACGTGGACACTGTAAATACTGCTTGATGACAGTCTAGTTTGTGTTGCGAGAATGAGTCATTTGGTATAAACGGAACGGGGCCATCAAAAAAACACAGAATGGTAATCGGCAACGGACTTCGAATTTCGTCAGCCTTGAGGGAAATACGCGCCATTACGTGTCTGGTTTATAGTTTATCCTTAAATGAGTCATCCGACGAACCTATGTCACTCTGACTAGACAAGGAAAGAGTCCGATCTAGAAGGTCAATTGTAGGATACTGATAGTGTGCTGATCGTCTGCTATAAATCAGACAATTACCCCATTCTATATTCTAAACTACATCGATAATATAGCAAGCTACAACGCAGTGAACACGTTGTCTGATATTGCTTAGTCATTTTATACCACTATAACACTGAATGCTTTCCAAACAGTACGCTGTTGTAGCGTTATGAAAATCTTGGAGAGTTCTCATCTTGCCTACTATGTAAAATTATGTATAACTGATGTTAGATATAGCCGTTATAAAGCTGAATATGAATTTCGTATAGGTGATATCTGCACCAAATATGCAACTACTATGTTATACGAGTACCATCTAAAACATGGACGTTTCAACTTCTACGTGAGGTACTATTGTTAGGCATCGTTTCAGACAGCTGGCTTTTCCAGTAAACGGAGTGTGTCTACGCCCGACTTCAAACCTCGACCACCTCAAGTGTCCTTCAGTTTCGTAGCTAAAAGCGTTGCCATTGCATCTTTTCAATAACACGCCACCTAATGCCTGCCAGAAGGTATGCCTGAAACTTCAACGTGAGCAGAATTAAACTAACCGAAAATTCACGTCAATAACAATTAATGCTACATTTCGAATCTTTATTGAGTTACTCGGTTTATTAGGTCATAGCGAGCTTCAATTAGGCCACATGTAGAGATATTGTGAAGCGCTTCATAAAACTGCAGCAATGATGTGTTCGATATAAATAAACAAAAATATTTGTTTAAAAAAAGTGGATTCTTAACAGACTGAACTCTAATCGAAGACGTGGTATAGGAACAATTATTGTTAATATCATTGTTATCGTGTGCGACCACCAGTTTTATGGACTGACTGGATTTATACCGATTCTATAAGTGGGACTCGTGTAAAAAAAAAAAAGTATCACATTCCGTCCAATTGGCAATAATGTGCCTGTACATGCAATAAATATTCCATGAACGCTATTCATATCCTAAATCAAATAGGTGCTTTGTACTGAAGCTGTATCGGTAGAGATGGTCTCAGCAGCGTCCTCTGCAGCGGCCGTAGCTTTTGTGCTCGGTGCATTAGTGTGGTACGACGTCGCGGTTGAAGCCCTAAAATTGTTCGCTGTGGCTAGTGGTTTTGAAGGTTTAGCATCTAAAGTTGATGACACAATAGTTGTGACCATAGCATTTCCTAGCTCAGGCGAGATATTGGGGATTATTGAAATCGTCGAAGTTGTACCGTTCGACGCCACGCCGTTTATGGATATTATCGAGGACGTGGCAGACGGCTGTGATCGAGGTGGGCCGACGAGAGCCATAGCAGACGTCGGATTCATTGTCGCTGGTGGGTAAGGCTGGATAGCTGCTGGGTATTGAATTGAGGAAATAGCTGGTGTGAATGTTGTGCTGGCGGGATCAACAACGGAAGTGTTGGTAAACATTGGGTTGCAGTTGGCGCACGCTTGGAGAGCCTGATCCACAATTTTCTTCACGTTCTTAACCTTTAAGGCTAGTATTGGTTGTCGCTCTGTACGTTCAACGATTCGTTTTCCCAGATAGCGAAACTCTTCGCAGCGATCTACTCTTGAAGATTAAAAAATTGACATTGAAACTTCTCAAGTTAGGTTATAGAATAAAAAGAAGAGTCTAATCGATGACGAACGTTACGGTGAAAGATATAGAAAAAGTTTGGTCGATATAGCTGCAGAGGGGCTGCTGGCCCTCATACGACCAGATTCTGCAACATTTAACTACTTAGCAGGGAAAAAGCATTGTTCTCCGAGTATGTAGCGAATCAGCTGGTAACCGAGTAAACATTTGCCGCGTTTTCGTTTAGCTGTATCTTGTACACAACTGCAGGATCCTAAAACTAAAATGAACTTGCCTCCTTTTTGCATCCCGTTTTTTAGCAAGAACGCCTCCGAAGTGTAAATTAGCTTGATGGGACCCCGGCTGAAGAAATCCACTTCGTTTAGCTTGAAACCGAAAAAAATATCAAAACAATAATAGTTAACATCAAGCGGTTAAGATCCGCCTATGCTAAATAATTTTAAACAGCACCTGATCTTAATTGCGAATTATTTCATTAAACGATTGTGCACTAAGCAGTACGCACTGTCCAGTCCTCAATTCGTGTTATTATTGCACCAGGCCCAGATAAGAACCTGAAGATATTTTCACGAAAAGGTTGATCATTTAAATAACAAAATACGAATATGTAATACAACGGAAAATTTCAGTGTGTTTTTAATCACATCGAACAGCAAACACGTAGCTGCATTAATGCTTTCTGATACGAACGAACCTAAAAATCAATAGGCATTTATATTATTTTTTCGATTTTATCTGCATGCGTTAGACTTTATGAAGAATGCACCATGTCAGTTTAGCTGCTGTCCATTATTTATACAAACCATTTTGACAAAACAGTAATCAGCCCTAAGCTGAAAGCCGATATCTGCTCTCCAGTTTTGCATGTTGCCCGATACCGTTACCAAGAATAAGGTGGTAATCACGAACTTCATCGTGGACTGATTTCGGTTACTCTTATAAGCTGAAGAAGGCAGTCCCCGAACTTTATTCCTCATTAGTCGTCCTTGCGGTGTCAGGCCGTATGATATTGGCGGACCAGGCCACAATCGTCAAGCGGCCGCAACTCGGCTTTGAGCAAGGGAACAGGCAACTCGTTCGCGCTAAGTAGTAGTGGGAACGACCGCTTTGTGGTAAGCTTTCGCCAGAGTATTACCAGGTTTCTAATTAGGTCTGACCACTTTACTGTCTCGTGGGTGAATTGCACTTATCGGATAGCCGAGAGCTCCTCTTCCTCATACAAGCCACAAGGTAAGCGAAACCACTTCGTTACTTTGGCGAGGCATGACCAAGCTCATGGTCTAAACTTTTCGCTAATGTGACACAGAACCGGCCGGTTCTCTTCGTGAACGAACTACTCACATGAGTGTACTGCCTGGAATATAGACATATTCATCGAGACATCTGAAAAAGGTTCAGGCAAATGTAACAGAACTCGTAATCTTGGTAGCGGCTTCGTTATGCAGGCTGTTGTATGACCCAAGCTTCTAGTACAGTAAACGATTGCTAGGTAAATTGCGGCAGGTGCTTATATAGAGAAACTGGGTTAGAGGCGGAAAAAGGGTAATGGAAAGAAGGTTGAGGCAATACGACTAGTAGACAATGTGCTGTAACTCTTAGTAGTTTATTAGTCTTTGTGTGCTTGCTAAAGATTGTGGTTGGACAATGGTTAGATGAGGAGCGATAAATAGAAGGATTTCAGGTCAATCAGTAAAAGGTAATTTCATCATGGGTGCATTTGGGTCATATAAAGAGCGGCGTTTAGGCCTTGTAAGATCAGAAGGTTACGTCAGAGAAAATTGTGCGTCTAGCACTGAGTCAGGCAAGTATGATCAAGGGCGCTTCGTCAGACATGGCTTTTTTCTGAAGTCCACCTGCACGCTACTTAGCCTTTAGTTGAGTATTTACGATTATTGTAGAAGCAGTTGCGTAACAATAACCGGAATTTGTTATAGAACGGAATAGGAGGTCTTGTCAGATCTGTACCGTGAGCGAAACAAAAAATATATATCTACTCAGTTATACTTATCCAAATTTACAGCAGCCTATCTTGATCAAAAACAGAATAAAGCAAATGATAAATCTAATATAAGTACTATTCTACGACAAATTTCATGATTCTAACAATTAAGCTGTTCAGTGAATGCAGGATACAACTCATGTAGAAAAAACATGTTATATCTTCGCTCTTTACGCAACAAACTCGTTTTATCGTCTCAGGACTTGTTAAAAAGTGCAGTCGCTGATCTTGTTTATTTCTTTTTCCCTAAGATTTTAGCTACTAATGGCTAAGTGTTGTACACTATGGATGATATACGAACGAGTTATTTACGGACTCTTTATTTGATAATCAACGTCTTTGCTATGCTTTTATTCAGGTCGCAACATATTACCTAAAATTGCGACTCCAAAGATGGCTACGTACGGTAATCTGTACATTTTGTAATGCTAAAAAACTGTGGTGATGAATGAGCCTGACAAGTCAGCTATAAGTAGTACTTTCACCTATAGAACATGGCACACCTGTCATCGGACGTGCATATTTTAGGTGCATTCTGTCTGGCCCATGTGAGAGGCGAACGTGAAGTATGGAAATGGGTTGTACGAAAAAATGACGACAGCCACCTTGAAGAAAGAAACAGCGTTTTTAAGGTGTATAACATGATGCTATCAACGAGTAATGAATATTGAACAAGAACAAAACGGAACGCGATAACTACTACGTTATAGTCGAAACAAGCTAGAACTCAAACTCTCATCTGGGTCACGAAACCTATTCGTGACGAGATTTTTTCGTAACTTATATTACATTTATTCGTATATTTTTATACTAAAGATCCCATTAGGTCAGAAAAAAACTAAAAATCAGATTTCTACAATGGCTCGAACAGCTTTTAAAAGTACTTTCTGAAAATCATTAAAAATAAGAGAGTCTTATTTGTCGAAAATGCAAACTAAGTGGAATTTTTCTTTGGACCCGTTGCAGATATTCACTATTTATACGCTAATTGAATGAACGAATTATTTCGTAGACTGGGAGACATTGCATCCGACAGGTCTGAGTGTATTCATGCAACTAACATTTTATTTAGTAGCGTCAGTAGGTACATTTTTGGCGCCTAGACTAGCCCTTTAGGGAAAACGTTTTAACGCGCTAAGTAGAGAACCATTTTTCACTAGGTTTGGTTGAATTAATATTCATAAGTTTTGTGATCCTGAAAACTTCTACGTTAACCTTCAGTAAAACTACTAAGCTCCACATGCAAACACATTATTATTTTTCACTGTAGGATCTTGGCTAGAAAGATGCTGAACGGCAAGAATGTCCGGTTTCGTGATGGATACACCGAAGGCATGCAGGATACATTGTTATACATTGGGCGTACACCCACTCATCAATTTATAGCCGGCTTATGGTCCACAAAGATAAGGAAGAGCAGTCATTTGCACAAACAATGGCTCTGGCTTTTCTAAAATTGAATGAGCGCGGTAAATTTTCGGTAAACTTTTTCGGTGAATTGAAAGAGCCTTCTCTTTCTATGAGACAAAGTGGGTGACTTCTCTGGCACGTCGGCTCACAGGCATTCAAAAGCAAAGGTTCCTCTTCTAATCAGATTTCCTATGGAGTGACGCTGAAATACGACATGTGTCTCTTAAACGTTGCTACAAATGGCTGCGTTATCGAGGCTTGACAGCAATTGGATCCGCCAATAGACAAGAAAGCGTAATTTTCTATTATACTTCTGAGTCGATATGTGAAATCTGACAATATCTAGTGACCAACAAAAAAATAATATCTATATATACTATTTTGAATTGTCTTACCTTACTAGACGCGAGAGATCTTAAGAAATGCGCAGAAGATATTTCCTTCTTGAAGGCTAAACCCCATACGGAGACATTAAGCGTACAGTGTGTCTAGGAGCGTGACCAGTCTTAGCTATGAAAATAATAAAGTGAACGAAGTTTGTGTATATTTATTAGATCTAAGTTCATGTTGTTTGTGTATATTGATTCTCTTTCCTGTTTCGTCATTCTCTAAAGACTAGGTGGTACGAACTGTCTGAAACTCCTCTTTTGCCCTACAAATTTATGGCATTTTGTTTGGCCCCTAGGATGGGCTCAGGTTTTGTCATGGACATTCGATCTACTAAAAGGCGGCAATTTAAAAAGCGATAAAAGCTTTTATGAGAAAACGCAAACCGTATTTACGTTCAACGTGAATAATTAATTGATAGTGACTAAAATAGAAAAAACTGAATCAAATATTTACGCTGGGACGCATGTGTCGAAGCTATAACCAGTAACCAATTACCAGAAACCAACGAAGAAGCACTTCGAAAGTAATAATACAGTTTAGATTTTGTACCTTTATTATTGATTTAAAATGTTTCTGTGATTCTATTTTCTGTTTTTTAGTTTAGAAAGGTCGAATTACTTGAGCATAAACATAAAGGCAATTGAAAAAAAATAGGTAGTAGTAGTGCCCCTAAAGAACAAATCAGGCCAAAATTCAGTTGCGTACCAAGTTTACATATCTGACGTGTATCGTTATCATAGAGTCCGAATTCGTTCTGATAATATTATACATAATAATTCTTTTATGTATATGAAACGAGCAGCAATTTTGTTTTTGTTATTCTCAGCAACACTGAATTTTATAACAGGCTTATACGATTTCTCATACATCTATTCTCTAGAGCCGTTGCTGTTATAGCATTTATTTTTTATGCAAAAAGACTTAGGTGCCTACTTTGTAGGCCGCAGTATTTCACAGCTATATATGCACTACTGTTCTATAAATTCTTAACATAATGAGTATGTTAAGCTGAAATCTGTAGCTTTATTTTTATTCGTTTTCTGACGTAGGTTCTGGGCCTCTGAGAGCCAATACACGCTCTAAAGGCCCATCACCGGTGGTCCTGACAGGGCCACTCGGAACGCATTACAGTGAGTATTCATCTATTAACATTCGACGGTTAAACGCATTTTTCAATAGTAAAATCTCTAGCAACAGTTGGTCTACTGTACCTTGCTTCTACAACGTTGTTATATGCTATTGTAGTGTACGACCGCTAAATGACAGTTGAGCGGGTTAATCGAATGAAGATAAGGCTTTATTATTTCAGGACATCAGTGGATAGCATAAGTAACTGAGCCCAATTGAACCGCGCATTTTAAATTCGTTGCCTTTACCATAGGTATCTTAGCTAGTAGATAATGCATTTAAGTATATACATATCTTCCGCACAGAAGTTAATATGTGAGTTCTAAGTAGGTCTCCTCCTAGCGTTCAGTCAGCTTAAACAGCTGTTCAACATTCTTGCACCGATAAGCTTTGCGAATTTCTCTTCAATTCGTTCTCTTCCCATCTTCGGTGGGTAATAATTTATAGAAGGTCCGGAGAAACTCTAACTGGTCTTTGAGCTTGAGCCCTTTTCCAGCTGCTTGTTTTTATCGCGTCTTTGCAATTTGTAAGGTATTCCAATTGAGAATTAGTTTTCGAAGTTCAACCTAACTCGAATTTATTGGCATATCGCTTCTAGTACACGCGGATCAGGACGAGCCTGCGGTAGAGATTTTTCGACCTTTCATTCTGGCCTTTTGGCTTATCGAAATAATACGTGCAGTAGGCAGTATGCCGCATGCTTAAAAGAATAAAGCAACCGGACAATGTCCGTGAAAAGCCACTCTAAGATTACATAGCAGTAGATCAGTCTTATGGCGAACGCCTAACGGTTTGCATTAGAACGATTTAGAGGCAGCTCTAATAATTTAGCTTCGATAGAAGGTTTAGGATAACTGATAAACATTTCAGATAAACGATTTAATAACACAACCTCACGTCTCAGTAAATTAGGCTTTGTTCTTTAAGACCACCCACGAATCCACCTCGGCGCCTCCCGAATGACGAAGGTACAATGATTGAACTTTATTAGATCTACGACGAAGTTTCTATTTGGCTATTTGCTTCACGTTGATTTCCGCTAATGTTGTTCATTACTGATTTGGGATGTTTTTCGGTCAGGGATCTTTGATCGCATGCTGTAAGGACGGAGTCGAAGGGAGGCGTATAACAGCAGTCAAACGAGATAAACTCTAAGACATTCTTCGATATCCTCTCAGTATTCCTCTTCAACCATATCTACGTCAGAGTAGCGCGTCTACGGCTTCTTTCTAGTCCACTTTCGGTGTATTCGGAGCTGGGATGTAGCGCTTATGTCATCGACACTCGAGATGATTCGACGGAGACACATCGGTATCCGCACAACTAAGAAGGTACTGGTTGTCTGCTATATGTCTTGTTTACATGATCGGCCAGAGACCAAACCCACATCGTTTGCATGTAAAACCTGCTCACATACTCGGGGTTGAGAAGAAATGGTAGATTTTCTTTGTACACTTTGGAACTGTCGAAGCCCATGTACGATATCGCACTCCAGTTAATGAGGGAGATCCTATGGAAGGAAAATTCTGTGTTTAATAACGTCAACGAGGACGCAGGACGCTCACATCAATCTAATCGCTGATTGTTCAAGACTACTATCACGTTGGCCTGATAAAATACAATCGTTTCGATATATGATGAAATGTGTTCAAACAGCATAACATTTTCCACGAACATACGAATTTAATCCTCTCATCTTTCTTATCGAGAGACAGCGCAGCCTACCGAATGACGCATCTGTGTGCGAACAAAGGCTAAAATGCTTTCGCATGAATTACAATGGCAACAAATACAACAAGCATAATGTAACTTTTTTTTTTTTTTTGTAAAATAAATTAGACGTTTATATTGAGCGTCTACTAAACATGATGGAGCAAAGATAGATAATCTATAACGCGGACGTCGACAGCCACGGTAAAAGATGTTCAAAGTTAGAAAATAGCTCAAATCAGATCGAAAATCTATTGTTTTTAGTCTTTAGATTGACGTTTTTATCTCAAGCCCACGTTTTCAGCCTCACTCTAGCTCACATTTTCGCCCCATCCTAGAATGCCGTTCCAATGAAATAAACTAGTAAGGGCACTGTTATTTGTATATAATTTTTATGTTTGTATGAACTAATAGATCTAGATTCATTATTATAATTCATATGTGCAGACACTAATAGGTATACCTGCGTCCAAGAATTCGATTTAGGAAGTTTACGTAGGATTTTCGGACGTAGTGAGGTTTAAGCGAGCCCTGAAATAACAAGACACATTAATATCAAATGCCAGTATAGTAAACGAGATTACTAGGCTGCGAAACAAGGAAGAGTTGTTGGATGTACAATGAGTCGATTGTACACATCTTACTGTGCATCCTGGTTATGTGGCGTATGAGGGAGTCACTTGGTTCGTAGCGGCTATTTTAGCTTGTATGAAATTGGTAACTCGCTCGATTGGTTCTTGCCAACAGCGTATGGAAAATCTATACCGCTCGTAAATATTTAGCAAAGAGTTTAGTCTATATTTAGGATACGCTGTTTACCTTTCGCCCGGCAACTCGAAGCACGTTTCTAGTTCGAACTAACTTTACCAGAATAATAGTAAACTAGATACATGGCTCGTTCCGATTTGACATTTTACAAGTATAAAACCCCTATTAGCGCTTGTAGCATTATGAAGTTATTACTTGTTAGTGGTTTTGCCGCAGTGTCCATGAAAGGATTAGTTACTTAATAAGTCTACTCTACTCGGACTCTTTCGGAGGAGAACTGCTTTCACCGAACAAAGTCGCGGTGTTTTCAAAATAATATAAATGGATAAATACTGAGACTACAAATGCGGATAGTTCCTAAGAGCAATAAGCCATATAAACTCGCCGACGTTATCATTATGCCGAATCTCGTAGAGTTTTCACGTTTGGATAAATCAGATCGAAGTTGAAATCGTACCGTAACGAAGCATGGCTTCTTGAAAAACTTAATGCTAATTGAAGAGTATAGTTTGGCTCGTTTTGTACGGAAGCTCTTTACTCGATTTCGATCCATGTTGAAGCGCAAACACGTTCAAGTTTAAGGTGGTGCTTACTAAACGCATGAACTATTAGAGCATAACATACGATACCGGAAGGCGCAACGGACAAATGTAACATTTTCTAACAATGGACAAATACAAACACGGTCTTATTCAATCAAAGCTTATGAGGTGTAACATCAAATCTTGACCCAAGACGATCTCTTGCAAAGGGCGTTATTGTGCACTGGAAATACAGCACAACTTTCCAACAGGATTCAATAAGCTTTTCTTTTTTGATACGACATCCTTATTTATAGGTTTTACTGCATAGTTGTTGAACCAAACTTGATTTACGTGACGCTAATATGAAATGAAGGATAGGTCATTTGTAACAAAAAATCTTTCTTCAATGTTTGCAATATAGTCGAAATTACATATTTTATCATCATCGTTGGTAAAATGAAGAAGCAGAGCTAAAGGAAACGATCCGGAGAAATTCATAACAACAAAGAGGTGGTTAACTTGGTACTGAATGTTATATATATATATATATATATATACATATATAATATTCAGAAAAAGAGTGCTACGCACAAGTCTCATTTTATGAAATTGCGTCAATTTTTTCAACGCAGTCCAAACCTATTGTTGAATATACCTATTCTGAATTGTAACATTGAAATTTGGAACTTCATTTAATTGAGCCCTGACAAACAATATTTAACAACGTATATGCACTGCTCAAATAGGTACGGGGGATTATCCGGACTATTTGATCTGAAATTCAGTGCCAGGGAGAGAGAGAGAGAGATGATATGGAGAGAACGTCAAATATAGACAAAGTGTGAGATGCTTATTCAAGGTTTAGAGGAATCGCTCGGTCTGAAACTCGTCGTATATTTCGAAAGTTAAGTGTGTAGGTCAAAAAAAATGCATATTACTTTCGAAAAACCTCCAGATCCCTAAAAAAAAAAGGTAATTACGAAATGAAAACAAAACATTCCTAATGGCACTCACCATAGCAAACATAATCCCAGAAATAAGAGCAAAAGTCAGCTGGGGCCCATATGGCGGAATAGGGATTGTTTGTTTTTTTACACCAGCCATGTACAAATCCTGCAAAGGATGCTGTGCCATGTTATTTATTTTATAGTATAAACAGCGCTTTGTGAAGAGCTTTTTAATTTTTGTTTTGAATATAATTTTTCTATTGGCAGAATTGGCTCTCTCAGGGAAACAATTTTACCTTATTACGCACTATTTAATATGGAAGTATAGAACAATGCTTTACTTGGGCTTCTAGGTATTAATTCGTTGGTGATATTGCTTAACTGAAGAACATTTTTGTTGTATATTGTGGTAACTTTACCCCATTGGCTGTTGGCATTGCTCAGTGTGAGCAGGTCCCGTCATTCTCGTGGATAAATTATTAATTTGAAAAAATCATCCTTATTTTAATACGTTTTTGCAATATTTTGAAAATAAAAGACGACATTTTGCATGGCAACTACACATGTACGTCATATCAGGAAACGTGTTCATACGTATAGGGTGTTGCATAACGCGTATATGGCTAATCTCTCCGAAGGCCAAAACAGGTAAGAGGCAAATGTCGCTAGCACAGACGAAGGTATGGTATGCCATAGCTCTTCTTTTCCGTTTCTCTGGCGAAGGTAGCAGGCCATTCTCTGAAGGAAATAGGTGAGTCATTATATATATATATATATATATATATATATATATATATATATGAATTTTAATAGAAATAACATTTTAGTAATCGAGCTTTGTGTACGATATAAGGAAAAAAAAGGATAATCGTCTCACTTCCGCAGAACAAGAAGAATTTTGCATTCAAATATGGTCATTCAATGGCTAATTATGAAACACTCACGTTGTAAACACCGCAGAAGCTTGCGAGGCCGGCTCCAAGATCAACGGCCATTGTCATATTCTTCTTAGATAATATCCTTCGCAGGGCAGCGGAGACCGCTAGGCCGCTTCGGACCTGCATTATCGCCTGGGGAATGGACGATACTAGCCGAAACCCAAGCGATGCTCCTGCGCCGCACGCAAATACGATCGCCGACCTCTATGAGAATTATAGAATGTCAACGCTTTGACCCGTTATTGCAATGTTTCAGAGATTAAATTTAATTCATATGTTACTTACATAGAAGTAATTTCTGTTCGTTGATCTAGGCAATATAATTCGCAAAATTCATTGTAAGCATATTTACTACTATATACATAGCCTTTTTACTCGTATCGAAGCAATTCACTTCAAGTACCTTGAGCGCGAATGAAGCGCAGGTATCGATGTGTCTGCATAAATTTTGACCTTGTGTTTCGCAAATCGAGGTGCCTGTTTTGCTTGTCGTGCCGCCGCCGCCGCCAGCAGTGTTCGTACTGTCACTACTATTAACACAGCTCAAGTTTTGCTTACCAACAATAAGCCTGCGGCGCAATAAAAACTTCATATTATTAATTAACCGAGTAGGGCCTAGTGTCAAAACTGTACATTTATAGGCCCTTCATCCCAGTATTATCTGCCTATAATTATACGTATGGCGCCTCCCAGTGGCGTCGCGTCGAAGGACAAAAGTGAAAACGTCTCGGGCAGTGTATTGTAGTGGGTAAGGGTAAGCTTTCTTGTCAATACGCGCGATAGACGATACGGCCTGTTCGAAACAGGCCGAATTTCGAGTGTACGTTAAAATCATTTATCTCTACGTTTGCCTAACTCGCTATATGCATAACTATAAGAGCTGCGGATAAATGCAGAGCTCTTTGAAACGGTCAAAAATAGAAAGAAAAGTAGAAAAATAATATTTTTGTCGGAGAGTCTATCAAGGTTCGCCTGATCTCAATGGTGTGGTAGCGGTAAATGTTAGTTCGCTGTGTTTCCAATAGAACTGCGTAACTCGAAGACGGATGCGCGACGAAAACCTTTTCAAAGTCGAATTTGCTTGGTTCCAATGTAACTAGTCTTCTGTAATAGGTAAATATTGCCCCCGGTGTTGCTTACAGTAAAAAATTGCTGAAGTTCGTTTGGGACAGGCCATTCGTCCTTGAGTAATACGTGTGGGTGGCAATGCTGGCGGCAAGCACCAACGGCTGAAATCAGTCGAGAGATTTGGCAGTAATCGTAGTAACAAGAAACATAGGTTGAATGATACTTACCTCGAAACTTCGATATAGTAGGGGCGATGTTACAAAAAAGGTAACTTTTCTGTGAAGATAGGTAGTTATTAATAGCTAATAATAAATAGCTTGATATGAATGCCCATAAATATTGCCGTATGATACCTAAAAGCGTTTATAAACGACCAGTATCCATTTCAACTCTTTGGCCACGTAGGATCATCTAGCTGCTAAGCTGCGCCGTGTAGATAGCCTTCGTTTTACATACAAGAGAGGTTTTCAAAGCAAATCGTTTTGCAACACCGTACCAGCACCTTTTTGCCAACAACAATAGTTGTTTCGGTAGCAGCTGAACAACCTAGGATACTCAGCATGTCAACACCTGACAGGTTGTGAACATAATATTTTGATGGAAACAATGCGCAAGGTGATGCGCAGTCAATTATCTATATTAGGTAGATTTGTTTAACAAAAACTACTCAGAAGAAACGTTATTGTCACAGCGTAGCTAAGAAGGCAGAGATGCTTTATAAAGTGAATTGCTCACAAAGCCAAGTTGTCAATGCACAACACTCACTGTAATGATAGGATGGCCCTTGATCTGGTAGTCTCTTGCCAGAGCTACAAACATCTCGAACGTCTGAAATGTTCAACAACGCCAAATTACAATTGAATAAAGGGAACAATGGTACGTGCCTTTGCGGTGGTCCGTTGTCGCTTGGACGAAACCCAAAAACAGGATACAAGGGGTGGTCCCGTGTTAACTGTGCACTTTCGAAATTATCTTGGCATTGTCTTAACCGCCAACTGCATAGTGCGCCGTTAGTTTATGTGCGGAAAAACAAGATCACACTACGGTGTTTGCAAGGCATATCATTTTTTATCATCGGCAAGAGACTTTAGATGTCGACTGTTGCTGTCAACTGCGACATTGAACTTTCACAAACGAAATCCTTATGACAAGTTACCTATATACATAGAAGCTCGTAAGTATACGAAGCGCATAGATCCCGATTATTACAAAAACATGGTCTTTCTACGTTAAGTAGACACTATAGTTACATGTGCCAAACGCATCGTGTCATTTTCTGTTCTCCTTGATACTGTACGTAAACGTTTAATAGTTAGTTAGGAAGGTTGTATTGTGTTTAAGGTGTCCTTTAGTTTTGTTAAAAATCTCCAATACTTTTCATCATGCATACAACCTGATTAATTAGTCCACATGTGTAAAATGAAAGGTCTGGTTTTCTATTCTACTCAACTTTTCGTGATCGGCAAAAGAATATTCGAAAATTTTGATTTGCCCCTATCACGGAACGAAAAATGACCAAACATTCATAAGACATGCGATAATTGAATGAAGCTCGTGTTGAAGCATAATTATTGCAATTAGAATAAAATTTCGAGCAGAATAATAATAATAATAAAAAGATCGTTTAAATAAAAAGACCGAGAAAATCAAAGCTAGGGATACTAGATTTTTTTTGTTTGTGTTTGTTTAGGTATTTGTTATGTTTCTGTATATGTGTTCCAATGGACATGGTTAAATGACGAAACGGACAATCAAGTGTTCGTTATAGCAGTCTGGCCTGGCCCCCAAAGATCTTTTTTATCATAAGCTTGAGAAGAAATTCTATTCCACGTCTATGCCAGGAAGGTTGGGCATGAAAATACAACTGAAACTGGCTTAATCTTTTTACCCTTTGCTTTTTTTCAAATGAGAACTAATTTGACGTACGCCGTGCAACACCTTATACGCCTAGTGGACGCCTATACGTCTACTTGGTGATGCACGCAGGAACACGCACGTAACTTTAGCTGTTTCTTCATCATCTTCTTTTTCATAGGTACAGCCACGCTCTTTTCGTGATGCGCATGCAAAATCACGGCCTTTTTCCCGACCCTCTTACGCAGCTGCTAGGCTAAAATAAAGATATTCACATATAATGATTTGAGCTCGTGCATGGAACCGTTCCGCCCAAGAGCAAGTTTTCTGTACGCTTGTAACGTTTCACCGAGTGGCAAGCGTGCGCCGGTCTTTGCTCCGAGATACCTCTTCCTAATGTCAGTGCTGTGGGACGGCCAACTACGATAAGCTGCCTCAAGTCTAAGTCCAACTTTCGACAAACTTGTTTTCTGCTGCTTGCTATTTAGTGGTTCTATTTGTTTGTGTTGATTTGTACTCTCTTTCCTTTACCACGTATCTACTGTGCTCTCCAGTGTTCAAGTATTTACCAAAATCGAGGAATAGACGCCCTATTTGGCCAAAAGTATATAATGATGCTTCAGCCAGCCGGTCAATTAGAAGGTTACTTGGCCAGCCGTTCAGTATAAGTTAAATTAGATATTCACTATGTCATAATGAACTTGGAAACGAACAACGTGCAACCTGCTCGTGGGCAAGCAGAGCCAGCCTTGGCAGAAATAGTGGAAGTAGTATATGCGAATGTTTCAACACACGGCATAGGCCAGACTCCCTATATGGTGACGGCTAATTACTCATAGTTAGGCAACTGATCAGGTTGAACCCTACAGTTAACTTGTTGATGATCAACATTTGAATATAAAAACATGGATGACACAGAAATAGAACATATTACCGCTTAAATTGCAAACGCATCGTGTAGCACCTATTTCAATCTGTATAGGCTTCCGGCTTCTGGGCCATATCCTTTCATCACTGTAGAAGGTAGTACAGTAAAATGCAGAAGTCAGAAAATGTTCTGGCGTATAGAGTAATGGCAGTTTCGGTTGAGATATGCATAAACGATGGTCGTAAGTGACAATACCTTTCCTCGCCAAAATTAGCGCTTTAAAGTAAGATTAATTCGTTAGCATTCGTCTTTGCATACTGGCCGCCAGAATCACATTTTGTTGTCTTAAATTCTCAATTAAGACTGTAAAATCCGAAGGCCGAGTTTATAGGCCCTTGTTCGTTTGTGCCTGCCACGTCTCTGTGTTTCGAGTTTCACGTCGGGTATTTGTGTGAAGCATTCCGTCAGACGGCTGGCTTCTAGCACGAAACGAAGCATGTCTATGCCCGGGTTTGAACTCGCGTCATTGTTATATCCGCCTGTTCCTTCTTTATGCGGACCTTACCTAAATTCATATCTTACCGAGTAACTGTTAAAAGGAAGCTGGTTTCACCTAATAATAATAACAATCATAGTAGATAAAATATTTGCCTATTATCGAAAAATAGCATAGGATACCGAGCATTATTGGTTTTCCTCTCTTGCGTAGAACCTACGCACGGCTTAGGGGTGTTGCCTCGTTAACTAAATAATCGTCGTCTTACAGTAGCATCCATCTACATAGGTGCTGCTTTCCATGTACATCGTAATGTGTGGACACGTCTTGGAAAAGCCCTCATTGCCGATGAACGAGCGTTGGATGTGGGAAACACGGTTCGAGTGAATCAGATCGATACTGAGTAAATACACAGCTGGACCCTTCATTTGGCTATGTGAGTTACTCCCGTTCCTTCGATTGTCACATTGGTTGTTCAGAAATAAGCTCGCTCTACCCGTGATATAATTCAGGCAGCATTAGTCCAAATGGCAATTAGAAATAAATGGCTGTTATATAATAAGATCCAAAAGCTTACAAATAATTTGGGCATGCATGTATCTTGCGGGGGAAGTGTTTATCGTTGTATTTCTGTCATGTTATTGCAGTACTTGCTGTCTTTACTGCCTCTGCAGTAAAAACAACAGAAGCATGAGTTTTTTATAGAAACTTTTGTATCTTGCTCAGTGTCCAAGTGCTTTAAACAAGTTATCGGATACGTATAATTGGAGCCGTTGTACTTACTAGTTGTAGCATGTAGACTATATAGAGATGCAGGCGACGATCCGTCTCAACGATACCTGCTAAAAACGCCGAGACGAAGCTTGCCATGTACAGGATCAACGGATTGTAGAATCCAAGGTAATGTCTAAATTGTCAATAACCAAGCAAAGTAATTATGAATGTGTCATAATCTGTTACACAATTGTTATGAGAAAAATGTTGTTATGCAATGCATTTCTGCAAAAACGAATAAATCTTACGAAACTTACCGAATAATCCTAGAATTTCCAAAAACCAACATAATTTCTATAGCCTAACCTATATTGCAAAAGTCCATATGGAAGCTTATAGGACTAATGGGATGGATTACATTTTTCAATTCTAACACCAAATCCGTAAAAGTTCAGATTAGCTTCAGTCATTTCTTGTGAAATATAGAGGCGGCCTGTTGTATTTTTACCCTTGAAAAAGGATCAGTTAACAAATTAGGAGTAGGTGCATCTACAGCTGAATCTATCCAAGTGCCAATGCATATTTCTTTGACCGAACATCTATTTTTTTCTTAACCTTATGCTTGACCTCTCAACCTAGTTCTACCGGTTCTTCCACACTTTTTCTGCTTCTTATACCCTATAAAATGCATAATTGTTCCAGAATTCCGTTGGTATATTCTAGCGCACACACACGGTACTTTTACAGATTCTTGTTAATTTGCCATTTGTGAGACATGTGTTAATGAACCTCGGTTGTATTTTTCCGTGCAAAAACGCAGAACGCAGCTGGTTAGAACTGATAGAATGAACGATATCGTCAGATCTGCCACATTTTAGCAACTACCACATAACGTATACGTGCATCCGCTTATAGTGGATGGCCGTCACTGCTAAAATTCTCTACTGTATTGACTAGAGTGAGCGCGTGTGACTTTGGGGCAATAAGTTTGTTGGGCCTACGTACGTTGAGCTGGTCAGTTGTTGTTTAGAAATAATCGTCATGCAGGCTCACGCAATTCGAAGGGTCAAATGACCTTCAGCTACCTTAAGGCTATTAGCTTTCTTTATACAATACATGTGTCGTATCAAGTATGAGTGTTTGAGTAGAGAAAGTTCAGTAAGTCCGTTAAACGAACGAAAATTACTTGCATAACTTTCAGGAGAAGCAGCAATAAACTCGGTTAATAGGTGTCAACTTGAGGTTCATTGAAAGTACTTGTAGTAATAGTAATAACTTTCTATTTAGACGGCTATACAAAATATCAAAAAGTTAAAATTTCCCATATGAGTTAATTCAATGAATTCGAATAGCCGGCCGTCAACAATGACGAGTTAAAAATTTGTCAGACAGATAACGTTCGATATAAAACTTATAGAAGTGTGTTTCTAGAGAAGTTGACTCAAGGAACAATTATAGTTCGTACGTTTTCATACCCAAGCAGATTAGTACACCCTTTACTACTTAACTAGAGTAAATATAGTTCAGTTTCCAGTCGAATAAAACACTTGTATGCTATACCCTGACACTTAATAAGGTGTAGTTAGTTACTTAGTACGCTGCAAAAGAAGAATCCCTTTTGTATCGGGTTCGAATTTAGAAAAAAAAAAACCTACCTATGTACCAGGTCCGTATAGGATATTATCCATTATTCTAACCCTTGAAAAATTTTGGTCAGTTTATGCCGCTTCCTTATACGAAACAGCAATGAACAGACGCCTATAACTATCACTATTCTGTTTCCACATGCATATTCTATGGATCATACGTACCCTACGTTACAAAGGATTAATGATGTGACAAAGAAGAATATTCCAAGGGCTGTTGCTGAACGGTGAGATCTAACCAACACGGTGCGAACGATCGGCCATAAATTCTTATACGATACCGTTTTATACCGGTAAATATAAGACGATGAGTTCAAAAACAGATATAGTGGAAGCAGTGATTTGTAAGAATCGGTGAAGAGCTGAAGACGAACTTGACTACAGCTCGGGTTCCAGGTGTGGCCTAATTCGTAGCAATTGAATCGTAGTCGTGATAACAGAAGCTTTGATAAAATCGTCATTGTGACACTATTCCGAATAGTACGTTATTAGCTCTATTCCCAAAAGCGGATCACAAATAGTAGTCAAGTTCATTTACACACAATGTTTATCGTTGTGCTTGTGTATCTTTCGTTATATCCACAATATGAAAACACAAAAGCTGTACTTTTAATAACGATTCTATTGGAGTCGAAAATGCTCGCTCGTGTATTTGACGACCCTCCTAATCGATGGCCACCGAATAGTCTATCCGACGAATCAGTACCGTTCACAGGTCAATTTTCCTTCTGTGACGCTATGTTGGCAGGGCACTTTTTAATTTCCACGCATCGAAATTACATAAGCGTATGACGAAAACTTATCAGGCTGGTAAATAGTTATGTAGTTCGGCTCTTGGTTTCATTACGCCAACGGATAACACATACTGAAGTTTTTCAGTTTGAACGTCAAATGAATTATTACTTGTCGCGGCTATGTGTCTTAGGCGGTCGACGAGATGATTGTGGTAAGGGAGCCTGTTTACCATTGTCATCTTTTTCCTCAACAAACAAATAGGCACAACCAGGCGCTTTATACAGGCGTAAAATAGGAGAGTGGAATAAAACATGACGAGTGTAACATAACAAAGCAGAAAAAAAACTAAAAGAACAAAAGCTTTTGTTGGGTGTATACAAAGAAACTTGTACGCCATTTCAGCTTCCTGCTTTAAAGGAACCAGATAGCTGATTCTGTTGGAGTTATAGGCACAATTCGTGAAGGATTAAATTGTACACATTTATCTATTCGTTGCTTAGTTTATATTGTTTTTTTCTACTTCTGTCCCGTGCCTCCGTAGACGTCTACATGAGTTAACCGAAACAGAATGCAATCGGATTTGGAGGCCTATAATTAACAGGTAAAAAATTTCGCTATATAACATATTTATCACCAAAATGAATGATGGGTTTAGTGAACTAACACTTCTTTGAGCCAGTGACTGGCAGGCATTTTTTTTTATTATAATTAGAAAAAAAGAACAAGTAAAAAATATGTTCAATGTAGCAAATATTTTAACAGTTTAGTCTGGTAGACATTGTAAGTTTGGTCAACGGGAGACGACCCATGTAATATAGGCAAACAATGTATCCAGTCGTCAGCTCAGCATGCAAGGCGGGATATGATCCCAATTCAGACTAGAAGACTGAACATGCCCTATGTTGGAGGGTGTCGAAACTATGCGCAAGGCCTACAGTTCATTGGGGACGTTGACAAGTCAAGCTTGACAATTTCTGCTGAAGTTATTATTGCGCGGTAGTAAATTCCATAGTAGTGGTTCTGATTCTACATATATATTCTACAACTAGGCGCGTAAAATTTGCCCTTTTGGGATCATATTTGCCTGAGTCCTTGCCACCATAAATTAGCCCTGTCTAGTACGTCCCATGACGGTATGCAGTCGCTATATGTGTCAGTTTGATAACATATACGAGAAGCCATATCAGGATGCGAAGAAAGCCGCTAAGCAACCTGAAAACAACTTAATCATCTCAAAATTGTCACTACACAAATTAATCAAAATGAAAGAAGGAACAAACCGAAGTTTATGCCTATATTGTTATCATTCTGAATTTATTCAGAAGTCCCAAATTGGATAACAATAAAATCATTGTTGTTAAAAAGTCGGCAATAAAATATTTAATTATTCTATTGACTATCAAAATTATAAATAAAAGATATAAAGACATTATTAACTCCAATGTAATTAATGAAAAGATCAACTGTCAGCTGGGAAAGCAACTAAAAAAAGCTGACAAAAATTAACGAGACACTTTCTAGTAACTTAACGGTGAATACAACACCAGAGAAACGTGCTCATTACCACCAAACGACCTGACCGTTTACAGACCGGCAACGTGGCAAAGCCTACGGTCGTGACGTTTGTTTGTTTGTTTGTTCGTTTGCTGCTGTTAATCAACTTAGACTATAGATACAATTTTGGCAGTAAGAGACAGCTACTGAATGAAAAAAAAAACAACACAAGTATCGTACAAAGCATCGCTTTGAATCGTTCTTTTGCGGGAGTCATGATAATGCTCGTACCGTAAAAAAAAAAAGTAAAATATCGTATACGGTAAAAGTTTACGGCAAGTTGCCCGCCAAACGTTACGTTTTATTTGGAGAAAATGTTTTTTTTTTTCGCGCGACATAGCTTGTTATATAATGGACACGAATGCGGTCCGAATCTTATCCAACACAGCAAACAAGGTCAACAATGTATTCTGAAATTTAAATAAGAAATTATTTAGAAACGATCTCTTTCCTTACCTATCTTGTATATAGCGAACAAGACAGATATTCATGAAAACAACCCATCTCGCTCTTAACTATTGAATAGTGTATTTTCGAGAAGAAGAGGCTGGACCACTTATGTGGTCTAACGATCACAAATTCAGGTAATCTATATTAAATGGTAAATTAGGTAATCAGGTATAGCATGGCAGCAGTTGCCTAACCTCGTTATTTAGGTAGCCGTTGGCAGCGCGGTGTCAATAAAGAATGTTCGATCGTTCCGTTCGTCAACGGCGACGATAGTAATCAAGCACTATCAGTAAGGCTTTTTGAACAACTCGAGTTTATTGGCTGAAATACACTTGTCTCCTCGCAATTTTTCGCGCTATAGCACGATAGCAGAATTAGAAACACAAACAATTTCGCGAATCGGACACGTACTACAGCTTGAATGATCTTTCTCAAAATTACAGTGATTGAAACAACATAATAAACATGGTTGGTTATATCTATAACTATCGTCATTATCATGGCGTACGTCTGTATTCTTAATATTGAAAAATTCCCGAACTAGTTTAAATTGCAGCAAACGAACACTAGTTACATCTTTCTAGATGGCTGAACGATGACATATATACAGCATCCCGCATCCTTAACCGTTACAAATTGTCGTGACCTTATCCTCTCCTTTAAACTGACCTTGCCAGCCCTAGATGTTAACAACTTCAATGTCACACGGTGCAAAAACAATGCCATCAGATGACTGTATGGATCTCTATACGACATCTGCAAAGCTGAAATCGACCGTGGATGTCAGACGATTTCTTAGATTTTTATCAGAAGATCCTAAACCTCTAACCAACGAAGCGAAACGCGAGACGTCTAGTCGAAACACGTTTTGCAATGACGAATTAGGAAAGTGACTAATTTTTAAAATCGATTATAAACACTCGCTGTAAAAACAAAGAAAAGGACGTATACACGGTCCGTATTTGAGCTGAGGCATTAGTCACGAATTAGGCTTATGGGCCTGTAGCGAATGTTCTATTGGACCATATAAGTTGAACATGACTGATGTAACAACAATGTAACATTTAGGTAAACGTTCTACCGGCCGGCGAGTATCTTGTTCACAAAATGCCCCTATTAACCAGCTGTAGTTTCGACTTTTTCAGTTTGTTCAGTACGTTAAGGTGCTTAATGACATAGTAGGTGCAGGAAAAGCGGGTGGACACCGTGACGCAAATGGCGAGGAGATTTGCAAGGCTACTTTATGTTCCAATAGGGGCGCTTCTAACGAGATACTGCGGCGAAATTCGACAACGACTGAATCGTACCGAGGGGGGTTCAAACTAACTGAGCTTGAGCTGTTCAAGCCAACACTTCCCTAATCATTTTACTTGTTGAGGTCGTGTACATTAGAAAACATCTACGAAACTATAGGTGGTTTATATATTCCTGGCTGTTATAGTTAGGATACTGCTTATATCAGATGATACGCTATCATAACTATTAATATTCTGGATCATTGAAGCCGATTTCGAAATATCGGTATCATTCAAAGGTTGTCCCATTTTACTTATGACGTCAGTGAAGAGGAATTCACATAACGCTTTCCGTATTATCAAAAACATCTTTTTTTTCTCGTTTCGATCTAGCCAATATATTACAAATAAGAATTTAGCATTGCTATCGGCTGAAAGTGAACGTGTGTTTGCATTGGTCTGATGAAGTCCCAGTCAGATCAAGCGAATTGCATTCGAGCAAATGGGGCAAATCTGGTTTACAACGCCACAAAAGTCAACCGCTTTTTTCTGTACAAAGAAAAAGTCTGATCAATTTCGAACCTTTCGCAAACTTTCATATATTCACATCTCTAATTTTTTTTTTTTTTTTTTGAAAAATTCTGTTGCCGCAGCTTTCAGTTTATCACAGCTGCATCAGCACGAATCGCTTGTCTAAAAGAAGCTATTTGCTTGATTAAACTTTCAGACGCTGTTTTCCTCCGGCTCCGGTTCACGATGGTCTTGCACTGGATTAACCTTCGCAAATGCATGATATTGAAAAGTGTAGGAAGCTACGCTGCAGGATTGGATAAGTGAAACAGGTAAGGTTGTCGGCGGGTCGCAAAACGCGTGCGGGAGAGTTTTTGATCGAAAGGTAGTGTAATTGAACAAAAATATGTAGCTCAGTCACTTCAGAATCTTGATTCAGGCCATATATATTGAAGAATTATTTCTTTGAGTTGTAAATACGTCCCGCGCAGGAACAGGGTTCCAGGACATTTTTATTTGCAAGTATAACACGTGCACACGTTATCTAAAGCAGGCCTAAATAGGCTTTCTTTTGTATCAACATGTTGAATTTTATTTATTGTTACTGTACTATCTACGGTGTGAATCCGATGAACGTTTTTTGGGTTGTTACTTGCGTAAGTGTGCGCCTACTACAAAAAACCTGATGCTTTTGACATAAATCATTGAGAAATGTTTCTTCGTGATGAAGTAGACTAGAAAACTTTCACTGCATGATGCCTGCCGGAGAAAACTAATAAACAGTCGGCAAACGTTTACCAAAACAGTCAATCAATATTATGATAATATAAAACTATGGGAACTTGAGTTTTTTTTTTAGTTTTTTTGCAAATACAATGATATTATCTCAGGCGTACTAATGCATTTTCAGCTCAACCTCTGACTATCTCCGTAGACGAAATTCGCGAATATTATTGTTCTCTTTCACGCGTCAGACATCGTTCGACGCGTCCTAAGAAACACTGTTTGTTCTCTAATCTGAATAGACATCGAAATAGAGCTAGAAAATGTTACTCGAGGCACAATATGCTGGTTACTTTTCAGCTAACATATTAAATAAAATTTAGGTGATGATTCAGTGTGTGTGTGTGTGTGTTGCAACTAATAAAAAACAAAGGTTTTTTTTTAAAAGTTAGACATCAAGAGGGCACTTTGCCCCTGAATGATAATCATTGTCTAAGCGGTTCAAGAGCTTTTAGAATAGAAAACTTCTACATGAAAAAGAGCTTAACGTAAACATGCATAGAATATTCGGATATGATTTATATGCAAAACGATGACCTATGCAAAGCTGTGTAGAATTTCACTACTTTTCTATCAGGACATTGTCATTGCCAATAAGGCGCAGATTTTTTAGTCCAATCTAAGGCTCAATATGCTATTACTTTTTCCCAAACAAACTAAATATTCAAACAGAA